GTGTCGCCCACGCGGCTCCCTTTCCGGGCGCCTACAGGTGCAGGTAGCAATTATGCTTTGCTACACGGCCGATGCTTAATTGAAAGCCTCGCCTACACTTCAATTTGATTAACATTAACACTACCTAGGTAGAGAAAGACTCAAAGAGTAGTCCTCAAAGGGATTCCTAGAGCAAGATCTCTACATCCTCTCTTACACGTGCTCTAAAAGCTGTATTCAATATCGGTGTCTCAAAGCTAAGAGCTAGCTTTACCATACATTTGTTTGTAGGGTTTCGTAATAAAAATGGAATCCATATAAGATCACACACGTGTCTGTCGCAGATCTCAATAATATACTCGTATATTGCCAGAAATATAATGTAGTTTAGTGACCCAATAAAAAAAGCGTACGCGTCCTTGTGGAGCTAAAGTATAATAGGTACTATATTTTCGAATGCGTCTTTATATTTTAAGACACCTATAAATTACTTTCCACTTGATTTTTAACAGAAATAAGATGCGAGGAAAATATACGAGTACCTACGGAGCCGGCTATACGCGTGAGAAAAACTCACACTACTTAGGCCCTCTTTAAACTTTCTGAAGTATAATTCTGCCCTTGAATTTAAATACAATCTTGACCTACTAATATCATGTTTTAGAAACTTAAATACCCATGTCATTTTGAAAGTAAAATTTACTTTCAAAGAAAATTTTATAATCACATTAGATTTGCTCTTGTCACGATTATTTACGGCCGTCTAGGAGAATAATGTGTCTAAGCCGTAATCCCTAAGAAATAGGTGGGTTATTTATTTCTTGGGAACTTTCATGTGCCACTAACCAACATTCCATCGGGATCCATGCTATGGTAGCCATGACATCATTGTAAACCAGTTGGATGTCATAATAATTCACAATGAAGACCTTTATGACATCTTATATCCCTCATAAAGCACGCAGCGACACCTTTTACACCCTCCCAACATTTTAAACAATAACATAAAAGTTTATGAAATCGCTTTTTATGGGTCATGTCTAAAGAAATAAAACTCTACAAGACTTTCTACAACATAAATTAATACGTCCAAATCGAGTGACCTATTTTGTGCGTTCTATACTTCTATTCTCATGTAAATCTATGTCATAGTTTGTATGTCTGTATCTATTTACATGATTTATAACGCTTATCATTATCATGGAAATTTTTCTAGCGTTTTTACAATGACCAAGGAATATTTCATAACAAAACAATAACAAAATATGTTATGGGTCATTTACAGTCGTGTATGTGTGTGTTATAAAATCTGTTCTAATCAGCAAGAAGGTACATATCTTGTGCTTTACTAACTCTACAATCGACATATTAACTTATTTTTTATAGTATTTGACGTAAAAACAGTAAATAAATGCGTTAGTACTATTGATTTCATGATCATAATGTACCAACATGTATTATCTAGAGCAATATGTAAGTAGCTACGTAGAGGCAAGATGAAATCATATGCATTTTTGTTTGAAACCTAATGATTAGGTATTTACTTTTGTAAATAACTCTACATTTTCAAGTTAGCGACTCGAAACAACGAAGCAGTTTGTTCAAGACAATGAAGATATTTTTCATAATTATTATCTTTTTTTTTTATTAATTTACTTGTTCTTATCGGATAACCTTTGACACTGAAGTCACTCGTACTTTAATTAAATATCTCCTTGTCTTTCCATGCCGATATTGAAATCACGTAACAAACTACGTTCTCTGGCATTGAGTTAACAACGTGATTTTCACATGTTTTAAAGAATAAAAAAAACATTTATTGTTTATCAGTGTAGTATTCAGTTTATCAGTATATTTTTTGTAATGTTTTACTTGACGTAATACAACAAATAAAATCAATATTTACGAAACGGAAAAAAACAAACGTAAAACAAAGTTCCAATGTGCGGAAACCAAACTATTTAGAACTAGTAAAAACTCCGAACGTAGCCGAATGCTGTACTGACCATTTTATGAAATGGCCCAGGAGTTAGAAAACTAGGATACATTGAAACAACGTCGCGATCAACAAAAAGTACGACAGTTACGAATGTTGATACCGATAGGATTACGTCTCTACATAGATCTGCATCAAACAGAGACCAATAGCCTCTATTTACTTTCGGCTTTTAAGTTGCTTTTTATTTTGAAGTAAAGAAAGCTGTTAATCGCAAAAACCCTGATCCTGATAAAAGAACTGCAGATTCAGTCCTGAGTTGCTTTAAGTAAAATGTGAAAATGTCTATATTGAAATGTCTATATCTTCAGATCATACAACGTTGAATTAAACAATTAAAATAAAATAAATGTATCCGTAGAGACAATTTTATTACATGGCTGCCTTTTAAATTGATACACTTCATTCATTTTCTCATTATTCATTCGTCTCACAATTTAAATGACACAAAAACTAATAGAACAAATAAACTGACATTGAAAAGTATTTGGCATTAGTGTCGCACATAACACATGCGAGTCAAATCAATAAAATGTGATTGATTGTACGCGAACAACCTCAGATGGGAACCACAAAACGCATAAACGAGCAATAACCACTTACGGGTGTTTGCCTTTATCGCCATAGATTTGCACACAATGTTTAGATTGGGTACGAGCCGAATGTGTGGCTTTCACTACGCATGCGAATCAGTACTTTTATCAATAACTCAAATAACTCACTTATAACTCAAACAGTATTATGCACGCATCATACGGCCACTACAAGTTTAATGGACAAGATATTTGTTGCAAACTAACACTTAAGGCGTTAACTGGGACATCGCTGTATTTTTAATTATTAATACTAATATCGTTTGCATAAAACTTTCAAATATACAAGGTTGGGAGTCAAAAGTTGTAACTAATACCGTTTAGGTAGGTATAGCACGTGCTGTGTGACTCATCTTTATTTTTATTTGAAAATGATTTGAGACGGTAAAATGCTAATATTCCTTCACTCACTGATCAAATAAACAGAAAATATTATTTGGGTCGGATATTTTATTGACTGCACCAATCCTTCTAAAGAAAGTACCTATACCTTCAACAAATTCTCACAAACCAATATGTTTAGTACGCTTTCTAACATGTAGTAACAAATAAAGCCTTTACTATTCAACAAACGTACATACTACTCGGGTGTTTATTGTTTTATTCCAGCGAGTGGAACAATCACCACATGTTTCAATAATAAACAAACATTAAGTGCTATCTGCTGCTCGAATTCGTCAATTCATTCCACGCAAACATCCAGATGAAAACATGTGACTGTTCAATCACATTCATAAATTACGTGACCATGAAAATTCCTGGTCGATAAAATGTCAATGATCATTTCATTATTCTCTGCAAAGTATTTCGCAGTCAATCGCATCCGATGAATCCAATTTATTAATCTTAATGACCATTTAACGATTAATAAAACACAACTAATTGTTTCTACACCAACACATCGTTCAGTAAACCACAGCTATGTGTAGTAAATATTCGCTAATAAATTATGCAATCTGCTAAAACGCTTAACGCGGTTTTAACGACTCAAAATGACAATAATACTTTTTTAAATCTCGTGAATGATTTTTAGAAAATGTCAACATTTGTTATTTAATTCCGATACCGTCGTTAAGTAGTAGAAAACCGCCTTTCACCCAGCGTGCTTCAAAAGGCACTCTTTGTTCATGAGACAATCGCAAGCCTTCAATAAGTACCGCGGAGGAGCGGGACATAACATGGGCATGGATTCTAGGGAGCGCTCGCTCACTGTTTGCTGCCCATACAACCAATATTGACATTTTTCTTTGTCCACTAACTGACGTCTAATCTTTTGCTGTGGGATAGTCTTCTCCACTTCTTTGTGTGTCAATATTGATGTGCTTTGAAGTAGATCTTTTCATCAGCGTGAGGCGATGTTGATTCGCGATACAAGCTTTACTGCAGTAGTTTATAAGGTATCAAATATTTATCGGATCAATAAAAAGAGATGGACTTGAAAGCAAAACATTATTACTTCTTCGTATTAATATTTATTTTCTCATTCGCACATGTTTTTCATGAAACGACTCTCCGCGCTGCGGTTCCTTACGCAAAAGCATGCGGTTATCTGAAACATACGAATAACGATTTGAGAAAGTCCTAACGTATCGCCGATAAAATTTACGTAACGAACATCGGATTAAAGGCAATAAGACGGCGAGGACATGCACTTATCCATAATTAATATGTGTATGTAGGTAGGCCCAGTCGATCAACTTTCATACGGCTTGTGTGCCGTGGACGGCTGCCTCGCACATATCTCACAGATATTGCTAGAAAGCGTCCCAGTCTCAGTCTGGGACGCGGGAACTTCACTCGGCGCTATTTAGTGCGAGCTGCTGTAATACATAGCAAAGATACATCACTAGATTTCTATCCAATATTCATTCCATTGTCTCCATTGTTCGCTGTTAAGCATATCTAGTTGATTGCAATTAAATTACTAATGCGTATCTACTTAGCTGTTGTTATTTTCTTTTTATGAGTTAATTTTGTTATTAGAAACTATGAAAATCAATTTTATTATACGAGTAAGTGCTTAGTCAATTATGTAGATACAGTTCTAGATGTATGGAGACAAAAATCCACATTCTCAATCGGTGTGCTCGAACAGACCACATTATCATTTTTCCTCCTTGTGCATTTTGGTCTACAACCAATAAATAACGTTCTCTGGAATCATTGAAATTTCAGACTATACCTACTTATAGGAGTACTAAAATGTGTTCACCAAAACTAAAAGAAAGAATGAAATTCAGTTGCTTATGTATTTGTGTTGATATGAGCGTTCACAATGATTCACCAAATCACTAGGGAAATGTATTCGCATACGATTTAAGAGTCATCGATGACATTCAAAAATTGATTCCATTGCTGATTGTTTTCTTCATGTTCACAGCTGGTATTGTATTCTGTAATTCTGTATTCAAAGTTAACTTTCCTTGTTGCAGGGCTGCGCGAAACGAGCGCCCGTTATAATGTGACCGGCGCCAGAATACGCGCGTCTCCCTTCAAGGTAAGCCTCCTGTCTCTCGAGCAACCACGCAAACAGAACCGACAGTTCATCATACATATTTACGATAGCTCTACTCTAAAATAAGCACGACAATGTATCGTCAGGCTAATAGGCTCCAACCGCCTCTACCACTGTCAGATTTTTTTCTTTATTTAACAAATATATTTTAAATACACAACTTGAAAAAATCGAACTGCCTAAGGCGGGATTTTTTCTTTATGTAATTAACTTATTGCATTGTTATGGTTCAAGATGCACACATAATCAAATAAGGAAAGGAGTGGAGCCTAAAACACTCTACACCAGGGGGTAGTACGCCGAATGACACCTCATGAGGTGAAACTGCAGTTTCCGCTTTTCTCTACAGAATAAAAGTTTTGTATGAAGAAAATATGTATTTTATTCGTGAGTCAGATAAAACTTATAATAAATGTTTTGATAATTAATTAGGATTATTCCACGGAATATCATTGCGTCATAAATGGCTGTTCTCACTGTAGTGTGGTAGAGCTTTCGTCACAGGTGTCAGCGATTGTGATGAAACGTTAGCTAAAATACCAAAGTTGATTGCTTCTATAATCTGCACAACAACTAAGTTAGCTAGGCTGAATGTTATTATGCTCTTCGCTTAAATTTACTTCAAACAAGACATCTTATATGATAAATGCAGTTGTAAAATTCCATTTTATAGGCCCTAAATGACGCCATTCCTGGCCAATTCCAATAGCACTCTGTTTTAATTACTTCTAACTTTATTCAGTAAAGTGATTTCGAAATGTAGTTACTGAGAAATAAGTACCTATTGAGAAGTATCATGATAGGTTTTACGAAGTTCTAAGACGACCTAAAAAGCTACTCAAATAACTGACAAATATTTCTAAACATAAGTACGTATTAAAATTATTTCTTAATTATGCCACAGAATAATAATAAGTACTACGTACAGAAGTTTTACTTCACGAAGGTATTTAAAAAAATGTATGCTCAATGTCATTAACAATATGGTGTAATTTAGCCTGTCTCAAGAGTCAAGCCCCATTTTGTTGACAAACGTCAGTGATCGGCACTGCGCCGAAGCTATAGGGCTGACTTCGGTAAAATGATGTGACGTGAGGTGCCAAACTGCGGAAAATGGCGGAGGAAATACATGATTTAGCATGAATTATCATGAATAATATTAACTTCTTATTTACCTCTCAGTGTCTTGAGGCAACTTAAAAAAGTACATTCTGTGTTTTTATTATTATTTAGGCAAGTAAATTATTTAGTACACCATTTTCTTTATTTTCTTCCATCATACACAAGAATACGCGTGCGTGAGTCAATGTTCGCTCGTATGTGAGGCCTTGTCGAATAGTATCCTGTAGGTGGGCCATCGTGCGTGTTTTGTTTTCGATGCAAACTCGCGGAGATGAACTGGCCTGATTATGCCCCAAATACGTATAAAATAACCTGTAAAAACCACTCATTTACTAATTCCTACAAAAAAGTAAATAAAGTGAAAGGATCAAAATACCTATTTGTATTGCATACCTATAACAGATGGTTGGTTCCGTATATTTTATAATCGACAATAACTACCTTTGTGTCTATTTTATAAATAAATCTCTTGATTCTTCACACCAACAAATTAAAAGGTTCGTGAACTTAATGACCTTCGCTTGTGGATAAAAATAAAGAACGAAGAGCTTCCAAAGCGAAATCTCAATGCTAAACGAGTCCTATGCCGGTGCATTCAGGTAACCTTTAAAGGCTGCTTGTGTCTTATTCAGGGCTGCTACGAGAAGAAACGTAATATTTTTACAACAGTAAAATCAAAACAAGATATTTATCATGCTCCATTACCGATTGGGACAACCAGTTTCCAAAGAATTCAAGATTTTGTGTTCGCAACGCGTAAGAAGTCAATGACAAGGTTCGTAGTTGACATAATATTAAATTGGGCGAATTAATTGAACCTATTTCAGTCCTATAAATGTCGATCAGGGCTAAATTTAATGCCGTCACTTTCAATGTCCGCCATCGAACGTAGTTAACATTCAATTTGACCAATATGTAGAGTCGTGAACCCTGGGCCCATTGTGCGTGGATCGCTGCGCGGGCGCAAGCGGCCGTGAAGCAGCGCGTGATATATTATTTATTCGCCGGCGAAATCTGTCGCCGGCCGCTTCCTACCGCCTGCTTCCCTTCCAAAAATATGAAGGCGATATTCCGAACACATCGTCTCGGTAGGATGCGTACGATTTCGTATTCGCACGCTCATTTACGACGTCCGTTTAGAAACGCATTTGGTTATTAGAGCGCAAATTCAACGGACCCTTCATTCAGAATCCTGACCCTGGCTTCCTGTTTGACTGGCCAGTTACCGCTAATTTTTAGCGTCAGTTTAAACACAGTCATTGACAGAACACGAGCTGGAAATTAAAATGTTAGCTCTACCTATTTTCTAAACGGACTTGGTTGGTTTTTGTTTGCGTGTCTTTACTTGTGAGTACAGCAAGTTACACTAAATACACAGACCCTGAATGCAAATATTAATCCTTTCCTTGATTTATTTTCAATGCATCGTTAATGACTGCCTATTCATCATTAATCTCGTCCTTTAAATCAGATATTTCGTTACGTTACTCCATACACAGTGTAGGCAGATTGGTATAATTGTCACAACGATCATCAGTCATCTGATCAGGCCTGATACCTGATTGTAGAATGTAAAAACCTTGAATAATCAATTACAAGACTCACAAATAAAACATAAATCGAGTACAAAACATAGTAGGTAGTAATACCAAAACGTATAATTTGACGAAATTCTTGCCAGGTTACTCTTAAGTTAATTAGTGTTAATTTAGTATTTATAATCTTAATGTAATTATTAAACAACATACATGCATTATCTTCATACCGACAAAGAATAGTCTCTTTGATAAGCCTTTAATATAAATATTAGGTTCACATAATGATATTCCAACTGCGGTAAGCTGTTGACTGATCAAAACACGGCTATTCAATTATCTGCAATCCCTAATGAAGCCTAAAATTAAATGGAGATGAATGAATGGGCGTTTTTATAAATAAACCGAGTGCGTCGGGTGTCTCCCAAGCGTGGAGCGGAGGCCGGAGCGTAACGTCTTTGGACCGACTGTTCTTTAATTGTTTTCGACGTTGATATGCCACATTTGTTATGCCTTAACACATACTTAAAACAGAGGGGCGAACGTAGATAGAACGGCAGATAAACACGGATATGCTTTGTCGTATTTGAATATGCAACACCTTGTTGTCGTAACCCTAATTGTGCCGTTGTTTATTTTCCCATGTCATAAATTATAACTTTTCATTTAAATTCAAATGTCGGATGACTCTATTATTATACGAGTATTTATTGCCCCTAATTTTCCAAAAACTATAATACTTATTATAGGCTATGGGTAAGCCGAAGTTTTTTTTAAGAAAGGGTATCCGTTCTATTCCATTTTGACTTGTAATCTGCGTTAAGCTCTCTGCAGTCCCAGTTGTAGTAGTAGGTGGACCATTTAGACCCTTAAATTGGATACCAAATCTTGCGCATTGAGGAGAAGCCTACACGTCCAATTGGATTCCTAGCAATGGGCAATTGCCCAAACCTGCAGGCCTCACAGTTGTTAGTGCTGAATTTAACCTAGCTACGAGATTGCTCTAGGTATGATTGCCTGAGGCGTTCTCCAGTATGTAGGCGTAGGGTAGGTTTCTGTGTTTCACCTTTGCCACAAAATAAGACCTTTGCTTCAATAGGTTGGCACTTCTTCTGTGATAAGATAATAACTCAACGACCATGTATAACATAGTAACTGAATGAGATCTCTAACAAATCTACTTATTTAAGTATTACCTAAGATGACGATGCGGTTGTGTAAGCAGTGTAAGGTGCAAGGTAAAGAATAGATTACTTTGCATTCATTTAAATGTTGTTTCTGTTACACCTAAAGTTGTGGTTTGAGATCTGGAAATTAAAAAATATAACTTTTAAGTGATAAAGATATTTAGCGCTCATATCTTTTCATTTATTTACCAACAAAGAGGTTATCTTGCAGTATTTACTAGGCGACTTTGTAGCGTACTATTATAGTAAGCAGTTAGAGAGCTATCAACAAGTTACATTTGACGGTCATCGGCACAGGATTGAAAAAACATGAACGTGTAGTTTATGATATAAAAACGACAGTGAAATGTACAGACGGCAGCATATCAAGCTCCACACCATGGCTCCTTATTGTAGTTGTAATAGAAGTGATTTTGCACTACAAATGTGTAGTCTGACATCCTCTGTACATGTCGAGGCAGTCAGTAGGTCGGCCGCCGCTCTCTGCGCGACACACTTGTCCACGAGAGTGACAAAACATCTGCAAAAACCGAATTGCAATCACTATTCACACTCGGAGAGACCGATTGTTAAACTCAAACAAAGCATGCAATCGTAACAAAATATAGTGAGAAAGATTTTATTATGATTTTTATAATGAGTAGAAAATCATCTTTATGTAGAGCACCAATTATTAGAAGCTTTTTCTTTCATTTGATAATAATAAAAGAAACCAACTGAGAAGTGGGAGAAAATATTTTTTTTTGCAGTAATGAAAGAATAATTTTGTTATATTTTCCAAAATACATAAAGTATTCACACTAAAGACGTCTTCACACTCGTCTCAAAATATACAAACAATATTTTTGTACTCACTTTAAATTACTTAGGTACATACGGTTAATTACAAACTAGGAAAACGTTATTTAAAAAGACTCATACTTACATTTCTATTACCTACTTAACCAATTACACCAATAGTTTGTTCCCCACGGTATCATTAGTCACACAATACCTACAATAGTTACCGAAACACATTGCTCATGAGGTGTTAAAACACGACACTTAACGACAAAGAAATAACCGAGGTAATTTTAACTGGGAATCCACCAACTGAAGTAAATGCTATCAGCCAAATAGAACGTGAATAACGACTCTATAAAAGTTAACAGTAAAATAAAATTTTAACCTACGAGGAAGAAAATCCAGTTTCATTTTAGTACTGCAATAATAATGTCGGGGCTTAAAGACGATCTTCATAAGCAAACAAAAGAAGTAATGATACCACATTATTTCATAAATTCAACAAGTTTACTTAGAAAATTTAAGCAGTAAGTAGTATCTTCTTAACTACTAATAGATTGCGTAAAATCCAACTTGATAACCATGACAGATGTCAGGGTACGTCAAATTATAGGTAGGTACATTCGGATGGCCCTGACCCGGAAATGTGTGGATAGCCCAATTTTAAGTGAAAGACTGAAATAAACACCCTGTATTTTCGTAAAACTTACTAGGTCTACTTAATTCAGGTATGGATAGATTAATTATACCGGAGACAGAAAGTGGTCAATATAAATTATTTTAAAATTGGGTCACCTTTGTTTGTCAAAAAAGAAACAGAAGTCGCAGCAATTAACTGCCCATAGACGAGCCGGTCAAGTTACCTAACATGCAAATCTGTCCGTGTCGTGGCCGCGCAGTTAGCAGCAGCACTTTCTCGATGCTCAGCTGCCATTAACATACAATATGCGTTAACGGCCGAAATACACGTGGAACGACGGCTTCGATAGTGACGATTTATGCACATGGCTGTTTTAATTGCACGCAATACATGCCACAGAATCTAGCAACCCATGTTACTCAACAATGTATTACGACGCTTTAAAAAATCTTACGCAAAAAAAGTCTCTGAATTTTTAGGGTAGACATGTTCGTCCCCTTCAGTTTGGTGGCTCCCCAATTCGTTAATATAAAAAATACACCTGCCTCTTATAACAAACCTTATACCCCCACAATAAGATGCGCTATAAAAACGACCGTAGACACCTGCCGTCCCTTTAAGTGAGAGTAGTAACGATGCAGCCCAAGCGTGACTATAGAAAGTTACCGGCGAGATCCCTTACATGCTCAATGTTGATTCACGCACGTTAATTAAAGGAGCAACATCTAAATGCGTGCCGTGAGTAAGGATAACAGCTATTCGTCGTGACTGCCCGTCAGGCACTACATAGGAGGCAACATGATTCTACACCATACATTTCCGGATGCATTCACCGTAACATGACCGCTTAAAACACTGGATAGCTGCTTCACTGCAAATCAAAACGTTATATTGGTTTTTATTTTAGCAGTTTTAAAGCTCAGATAATTACCCGTTATCTTCAAAGCTTCATTGAAGTTTTAAGCCCATACCGTACCGAGTATTCTCAGAAACACTCGACTCAAATTCCGACTGGAAAGCTATTTGCGTGCATCCAGCGCGGGCGCACCTCCGCTGTGCAGCATCATCGTCTCACTCGCGCATACATGTCAAGGTAGGGTTCAACATTCGAGGATTCGACGCGCAGATAATAATACCTCCATCGAAACGGAATACCCGACGGTGTCTGCTTTATGTAAACAGAATGATCTAATTAGGTCAAACGCAGTCTCCTCGCGTGCATTAAAATGCTAATGAGAGAGCTCTCTCACGTAGAACACTGGGACCTTCAGTGTGAAAATTCCGATAGGGTTACGCCACGGAGCCGGCATAATCCCACTTTCTAATCCTTTTCACAGTATGTGAGGAGAGCTTCAATCAAGCACCCATTGAAACACGGTCAATTCCCGCCAGCCGCTTCCGCGTGCGGCGCCTGCGAGATCATTGCCAGATGCCGGTGATAGATCTCGGCGGGGTCAACAGCCACTGCCCTTGTTTTGCGCACTAAATTATTTACTCTGCGCCGGCGCAGAACCAAACAATCGAAGGCGTGGATCCGAACTAGGGTCAAGGAAATAACTTTGTTTACAACAATGTTGACAATGAGGCTAATTGCCTACGATATTTATCAAATAGGAGTAGTTGTACTAGTCACCTACCTAATCTACTTTGCATTTCTTACTCGTGTTATGTCATGTAACATGTTACATAAACAATTCATATTACATTGTTTTATGAAAAAGTATTCAGTTTTTGAACTCTTTGTAACATTTTAGAGTGAGAATGTAGATTTTCTGATATTACACGAAGTAATAATATGTTCGGAATTCTTCTTTCTCTTCAACTAAATCTGATCTTCAAAGAAATTGAAGTAAACAACAACGCATCATCAGGAATTTGTTTATAAAGACTATGCCTCCATTGTTTACACATCATAATAACATAACAAGTACCTACCCAACTTTGACTTTATTTAACTCTGCCTACCTTTCTTATCTTCTAAAAGCTGTCAAGAGTTTGAACACCACTTTGAGATAGAGCTTGTCATTCAAAAAATACTAATTTGACATCCATTACGTACAAGTCAGTAATGGGACCGAAATGTGTGCTTAAGTATAATTTAATGCGCTTTAAAAGTGAAGGCAGAGCTTGGCTCTACCGTGATTAAAAGGCTTTCACTTTCTCGAATGATAAAGGGCCTCAAGGTCGACAGTGCGGTATTTGGACCACAATGATTAATCAAATAAGCACCTGCATTTGGCATAATTATTATAGTTGAAGAGAATGCATTAACTCTACGTGGATGGTTATCGGCCGGCGATCGGTCTATCACTATTGATAGGATCGGAGGGGCTATAGAAGTCATAGCTCGTTGAATACGCCGTCATGCCCGAGCTATTGAATTAATGCATAACGCCGAACCTTGATCCAGTTGACATCACTTTTAGATCTAGATGAAAAAGCCTAACTTACGAGTCTGGGATCTTGGAGTTTACAAGATGAAACTTTTATATTTCAGTCACATATCAAATTAGAAAAGATTTAGGTACTTTTCTTCTTTACATTCTTCAATAAAAAGCATCTTCTATGTAATTATTGTTTTGTTTGAATAGAAAATCTTACAACTGTGTGTGCTCTACATAAGGTATTTTGATTTCCTAAATTCTGATTTCTGAATATAGTCTAAGATTAAATATCTTCTTTTCCAGGTGTTTGCGATGTGGTGCACGTGGGCAACGTTATTACTGGTGTCGAGTGCACTGGTGACGGCGGATACCGGCGCGGGAGCAGACGCGGTCGAGGCGACCACACTGGCTCCCGCCCCCGCCAGCACAGAGGCAGCGGATGAGACCACCACGACCAACCACGACTCCGTGTCAGCTGAATCTCGAGCGGCTGTAGCGACCACCCGGGCGCCGCCAAGGACACTCGACCGGCAAGCCGCCGAGCTTGCCTGGAGGTCCTGGCTCCAAAGCGCCGAAAATGGCAACCAGAACGCCCCCCCTAGGAGGATCACTACGAAGTCTTTATTCATTACGCCCCTCGTTTGTCCTAAAGGACAACGGATCGACCGCAATGCTTGTGTTCAGGTAAATTACTGTTCTTCTACCTTCCGTATTAGTTACCTACATGTATATTTTAGATTGGATTTCACGACATTTAATTTATGTCTAGTATGTATTTAACTCGGTTCTCGTTTTTACAGACTGTTACGGTGGACAAATCAGAGCACGAACGCATTCTGCTGGAGCAACTGAACGCCCTGTTTTCCTCCCCTTCGAGTAGCGATGTGGTGTACGACTATGGCGACAGCGAACCGTTGCAGCTGTCCATACCCATCAACCAGGACCCGCAGGCTGCACTCCTCGTTAACCAAGAGCCCTCTGCACAGGTACAATCACCAAATAACAAAAAAAATACTGTTTGCCTTGATTCCGTAAATATAAAGTAATTGTCCTAAATTCCAGTACCTATTTAAAACTATGAATTTCTTTAGTTTTTGTTTTAATAAAGACTAATACTTTAATTTTATTTTGTTACAGGCTCAAGAACTCCAACCAAATTACGCTAACATCGACAAGAAAGATGAGAATAAGGACTCCAGCATTGAAGCTGAATTAGAACTTTTGAAGTTGCAACAATCTGATAACATCACAGCTATCTCTGCTTCTGCTGGAATAAACCACGACATGAACACCCTCTCGCACTTGGCGGATAAACCGAAGCGCGACAGCCCAGTTGACGACTCCGCGGAAACCAGGCCCACAGGCAATAATGACACCGACGTTGGACAAAAAGAACTTGTTTACGGACATGTAAACGTGGACCCCGTACTATACAATATTAATAACGCAAACCAAGAAGCCCTGAACATCAACACTGAAATAACAAGCGACTTACAGACTAACCATTCAGCGGCTGCATTAAAGATGCCGAACGAAAAGATAACTGACATGGTTGATACTGATATAAAGAAAGTAACATCAAATGACACCAAAGAATTGCATAACAAAGAACAAACTAAACTTAATCCAGAAAACGATTACTCCGATATCGGTGAAGCTATTAAGCTCATAAGTCGGTATGCTGAAGTTTCCACCGATGATAATTTCGGAAAGGATAAAAAGAAACACGCAATCAAAGATGATAACATACTCGGCACGCGAACTAAACTACAATATAGACGCAATAAACCCAAATCCGAAGTACTTCAAGAGTCTCTACCAATCGACACTGTACCAGATTCATCATTGGAAGACAAAATTCCTCCTAACAGTTTTTACCCTAAGAGTGAAGCGTTCTACAGGTACCCTTGGCCAAGTCAACACTCAGCAACTCCACCACCAGACTACCCATTCCGCCATTTGCAAGACTACTGGCCCGGTCGAAATCACATCGGAGGAGTCTACAACAGCCACGGAAACCCAAGGCGCCATCATCATTCGTACCCCCATTACTTTAGACCTCATGGCTTCTATCCGGAAGTTTATCCTGGCCAAGACATATATCCCCACCAAATGCAGGGTTACCCTCATAAATTAGTCCAACGCCATACGAAACCGGTGCGATCTCAAATGACGAATCAGGGTTTATACAGCCTCCTAGGTTTGAGACATTGGTTTAGCAGTGAAGGTACATCAAAGAGATAGTTCGTTTTAATCTAATTAGACAATTTGATGTTACCCGACGACATATAATGGAAGCTATGGAAAATATTTGTTAGTAACGGTATTTACGAATTTAAACTTATTCTTCCTACATCAGTTTACCCATACTGCTAACTGAAACTTGGCTAAAATTTAAATTATGAAATAAGGAATGACTGTTAATGTAATCTTGATATGATACTGTATCAACCCGAACTTACGCGTGAAGTTATCTAATTAAGATAATAGTTAGTCTGGCAAAGTTAGTGAGATGCATAATTCAGGTGCCAACGCAGTTTCATTAAACTATTCACTAATAGCCATAGCTTTCATTGTATTATTATTTATTTGAAAACCAAATATTACAGTCATAGTTAAGGACTTTGTTAGCTGTTTTAATTCTTGTAAATATTTCTTTTAATTTAAGTGTTTTATTTTGCTGCTGGAAGTTGTTCACATAGTATTATTTGTTTTATATTATGTTAAATGTAATTTGTTGTATTGATCAATAATTTGTGTTTAGCTGGTGTATATTTTTATATTTTTTGTTAGATGTGAATGTAATTTTGTCTATAGATGTTCAGACTTTCTTGTTAGGTGTGTCTAACCATAGTACGTACAATTGGGCACTGGCTTGCCTATAATTAGCCGTATTATGTATGAGGACGACCGCGTAGAGACGCCGGTCTGCCGGGTAGAGTCTCTTCGTTGCTTATTGTTTCCAAGTGTATGCATAGCTTGTAATGAATGTATGTATTAATTATTTCAGACAAATCTAAATCAAACTCAAATAATCAAAACCCACCTGAAACATATGCATAGTGGCGAAAGAGAACCACGCTATTAATTATTTAGTTATTATTTAAATAAAACGATCTTAGCAAGATGAATAGATAAATCCACAAAACAGGAATTTTCGCAGTGTTAAAAATTGGCTAATCGTTTCTCACAATCCGCGCATTTTAATGTTTAATAAATTATAATCAGGAATTCACTCCCATGGATATATTTGAAAGTCTCGTGATAGAATTATGCAAAGTACTTAACGAGTTAGAAAATGCTTGTTGTGAATTGCCGGTCAAACGCCGAATATTAGCCGTTGAAGTAAGTACAGTCGAGTTTAATAATTATTTTATTACACAGTACCCATTTTGGCAGATGTTAACTCTTGTTATAAAAAGCTTCTAACGTATAATCTAAGTTCAAGTGTATATTTCTGTACTCGACTGTACTAATAATGTGCCAAACAGAACGCATTCATATTACGCATCATATCGTCAGTAGCCACAATAGCGCTGTAGCGCGGCGACAAGACATGACGCTAAAGTGCGCTAGAATCGCGTTCTACTGGCAAAAGAATCGGGAAAACAATATCAACAATATTGTCAATATAACTAAATGTTATTACTTTCAGTTGTAATTTAATAAAGCCGATTATGCTTGCCTTATGTACCTTTAGCTACTGAAGTTGTATTATCCTATTTAAACTCGAACTGAAAATCTAATTAAAATAATGCATTATGGTACTCAATAAATTATGCATATCAGTAACTAAGCAGTGCATAGTCTGCATCTGCATTTGAGGTACATTTCTCTGTTTAAGACTTAGTAGAAATTTTGTTAATATCTAGATACATAAATTACATTACCGAACTAATACACATAACGATCCCACCAAAGTTTAGTTTAAGCTTTAGTTTTTATTGCATAAACGTAATACGCTATTTACGACATGAAAATTATATAAATTGTATATTATTGTATTTTTCTAACATTTATCAAATAGTTATAATTTACTACAATGAAATTACGAGAGATCATTAATATTGACAGATTTATCTAAGGGTAGAGTTAGACAACATAAAATAATGCAAGAATGTGTTAGCCTTTTCTCGCTCTAAGTCTTTTATGTTTCAAATAAAACCAGTGCATCAGGCAATATACAATAAATATTTCTTTATAATAATCTTATCTACCTAAAAAAATATAGAAAGTCTTTTATCAATTATCTTATTTACACTATTTCAATAAGTACAAAACGGCGAAAAATGTTTAAAATTTATTAATGCAAATGTACTCTATAGCCGATTTTGTACTAATTAGTTTTATATACTTGCTTAGTAACATTATTGTACCTATGTTGATTAACTGCTACTATTGAATATTGCAATTATCAAGACAACTATTGTACAAATAATATAAGAATTTATTATACTTAAATTACAATGTCAATCTTAGGTATATCAATCAAGTCAACAATTTCTAATTCTCTAAAATTGTCATGATATGAACTTAAAGATCAATGCCAGTATTTTATTGTAAATATGGATGTTACATTAAAATGAAATGAAGTGAAAATAACGGCTTTTTCATTATACCCATAAAAATAAATAAAAAAATCAGATTCACTGTAAGATATTTTATTGAAAAAAAATATTCAATTTTATCAATAACATTGCTGAATTAATTCCTACGGTTCCACTTTGATTATAAACTTGTTCAAGTTATAGAGATTCCCTGTAAGTTCTCTGGACTTGCATATACTTATTTTACACAAGCAATAAAAGGTAACTCTGCTGAAAAAATTATGCACAATAAAATGATACAAAACAATACAGTATGTATAAAGTCTACTTATACACAAGTAATTTGTACAAAATATCACAATAACAACAAAACTTAGCATTAAAGAGCCTTTTGATTTCATCGTAAGGTTCTTATTGGCCAATAAATCATAAGTCACCATGTCACTACATACAAATAATATAAAGAGTATTGAGTTTTCAACATAACATATCTACAATCAGCCAGTAGTCAAAATAAACAGTCATTATACAGAAGTATATGCAAGATCCGACTAACATACTGAATTGTTCATTACAAGTAAAATAACTTTACTGGGATGTTTTGTTCTGCCTGGATCAAATGAAAATACTAATTCGCCCTCACATCTTTAACTTACATTACTGAAAAAACTTAACATTCTTAACCTTGTCTTTTTTGACTGAAGACTTAATGAACAAGTAAGTACTAGCGGACACAAGTATAAATCCAAGTTTCAATGTTGCCACACGCCACTTCATCTGAACTCGTAGATTTGGATGCTGTGTTCAGGAACATGACTTAAAGTCAAAGATTGATACCTGTAAAGATATACATAAGAATATTGTAACATTTGGCACTATCTATCTACAGATCCTACAAACCTTATTAAAAAGTTCCTACACTTTCATACAACATTAATGTAACCAAATAAAATTAAATTAAAAACACCCTAACATATTAACTTAAGTTTTATTACAACAACTAATTTCAATATACTAAAAAAATAAAAGACACTTACCACTCCGAGCTCCGGTGGTAGTAGTAACCTTCTATAGTTGCAGCTGATTTATGGAAGCATATATAGTAGAAACCAGCGAATGAAGCACCATTTATATCCTTGATTGTGTGATCCGGAACCAAGAAGTGTTCCTTCCATCTCATAAACACATAGTCAGCCTTGGCAAGAGAGTCGTAATCAAATGAATCTGAATTAAACGTTTTCAGATATGGGACAAATAAGTCAAACTTACTCTGAAATTCAAAAGAAGACAGTTTTATTATTTTGCATTTTAAAAACCTACTCAATTAATATACCAGCTGTTTCACATTAATACACATTTGAAAATACATTAGGCGAATAAGTTGTGGTAGTTCAAATTTAAAAGCAAATAGTTATCAAAATTTTGTCCAATTAGGCTTACCCAATGCTTTCGATCTACATCTTCGTCTGCATCCCATTTTCTCGTTAGGAAGGGGTACTTAGCTGATATAATTTCTCCATCAAAAAAGGTGGTTAACGTTGGAAATTCTTCTGTCAATCCTTTTATTTTTAAATAACCACATAAATAAGAATTTTCTTCATCAACATGCTGGAAAACAATATTTTTTATAAAACTATGTATTAGAGTCACGTAATTAAGATAGATAAGGAGTTCATTGGTAGTGGAAGTAGTGGAAATATTGGTGGTAAAGTATCCAATCTTGTAAGTTACGCATGAACCACGTATCGCTAATCTATTTCTTACGAAGTATGACCTAAATCATAGCAAACCAAAACATAAATGCTAAATAATAATTACAAAATTGCAATTGATTAGCACATATCATTAATTGCGTACCTACTTTGTTATTGTTACTAACCTGCAAAACCACTTCAACCTCATATGAATTTCCTTTACTCTTTTGATGTCCTTGAAATTTAGAGCCGTTATACAGCAGAGACTTCGTTACACCAGGCTGTTTGGAGTTAGCTGGTGGCGGTGGAGTGATATCGACTTTAACTGGCATTATTTTTCCATCAAAACGATGTCGGAGATATTGCACAGTGAAACGTTACGACTGACAGATGAAAGGAAGGAAAGTCTTTCGTCACTTGAAGTGCTTGCCACCGTTTTGACAAGTTATCCCCTAATATATTTTATGAAAGCAAGATACAGAAAATGTTTTCAAAATAAACAGTTACACTGTTTTGAAGTAATTAATATAAAAAATAATTAAATCAGTCCGTTTTTAAGATTTTTGAGCATAGAGAAAAGTAATACATAGGAAATAGAGAACCCTCTCTGTCAAATTTTTGAGCCTACTAATTGACAGCCTGGTGTTAAATTCGCTGTACTTAACCTACGTACGTAACGCTCACATACACACATAGTACACGCACACATACATACATAAAGTCCACGCACACATACACACAGTTCACGCACACATAGGCCCTCATAACCTTCAAAGAATTATTGTTTTTTTGAGTACAATGTAGAATTTTTTCAAATCCATTATTTTGAAAGTATTTATCTTTATGGTGTACGTATTGTATTATTTTCAAAACAATGGATTTGGAAAAATTCTACATTGCACATGGAATGCAAATAAACAAAAACTTTTCAATTTAATAATTTTACTTTATTTATGAACACACATAATATTATACACCAAAAGCGTCTTTTCGCAAAGTTTTCAACAACACTAAAAAAGCATTTGCACTTTGAGAAAACTCAGATCACTTGTTAACATAACAGAAAGTTTCTTCGCGATTCACGAAGGAACGAACAAAACTCCGATGAACCAGAACAGCAGCAGGTACGAAGGAATGAACTTGAATTTGACTCGACTCTTCAATACTTTAATAGGGCCACAGAACTCATAAACGATGGCTAAGAAAACAAGAATGCATTCAACCTAACAAAAACAACACCGGCCATTTTGGANATGGTTTGTTAAAATGAATCTTTCCAAAACAGTTACTACCATTTTAACTAGAATGCGACTTGGTCACGTGTGCACTCCAGCACACTTGGCTAAAATTCATGTACTTGATAATGATTCGTGCATTTGTGGTTCTGGCGTCGGAGACTTAAATCACATATTTTTTTACTGTTGCCTATATGATCGTTCCTCTTTTATTAGTTCTCTTTTAGCCATTAAAATTCCTTTTCCTACATCCATCACTTGCCTATTATATACCAATAACATTGATGTTTATAATATCCTAGCCGAATTTATTACCCATAATAATATAAAATTGTAAATAGTAATGTATATTGTACTTATGTAAATATTATTTTATTTTTATTATTTTGTAATTATATCACACCTAAATTGATCCTATGAAAACCATCCTTTGTTCCGTTTCCATCCGTAATTGATTCGTTTCCCTACCTTTTAACTTTAACCCAATCCCACCCTGTCTAAACGCAATGTCCGCAAAACTTATGGCAAAACTGAACGCAAAAATCAAGAACCCTGTCGTGGCTAAACGCAATCCGCGAGAGCCATAAAGAAAAAAAAAAGTATTGGAATTTATCGACTGAAGTCGCTGTTTGGAAGCAAGTTTGATCGTAGTATGGAAGTTTCCGTACCCTGTTTTTGAGGCTATGTTTGATTTGAGTAAAAAGGCTACTAATCATTCATTCATTCGGTCCCTGTCATTCTTTATTCATTCACTCATTAAACTACCTTGTCTATGGCTGCGTTCAGCCGAAAATAGCATTTTTTAGAATTTGCTAGCAAACATGGCAACTGCCGAAAACTAGCTTGATTTCAGCTAGGACACCTTTGTTAAACTTCAAAAGTGACGTTTCCCATACATTTTTGAACAGTGACAGCAGTTACTGCTAAAAGTACGCCATTTTATTTGCTAGCGCTAGCTAGTGCTATTTTCCGCCAAACGCCCCCTATGTTCTACAAATTGAGGTCTGAAAAAATATTAAAATTTATTCCAACAAAAAGCATTAATTTTAGCATAGCCTGCTGTATGGGAATTTCGTTAAAAATTAACAGGCGACGATGAAAACGGCATGAGAGATCAACAAAAAGGTTGGCGATACCTGTATTTTTTTTATTTCGTCAAAGATTATCTTTGGTAGACGTCATTTTGTTCGTCTGTGGTCATCTTTGTCTATGGCATTATGGTAGGGTTTCATCGTTTCATTGGTTTCATTGACCGATCGTCTTGTAAAGATTGTTTTGTTATGTGGTTTAGTTCTGTATTTAGTGTGAAATTCTACTATTTAGCATAATGGTTACTGATTTAATGTTCAAAGACATTCCCGCTGATAAATGCCTTACCTCTAACGTTTGTGATGTTTAAGCAATAGTAGTGATATTTTCCCACATAATTATGGTTAACTGACGTTGGACTGTGCATCCTCAATTATGGCAGACCCAGGTTATTACCACAGTGATTATATTCGCCACCCTGTTCTACATGAACTCGGTGTCAAGTATGGAATCAAGACTGAGTGTATTCCAGAAATAGCTTTGCCGTCTAAGCTGGAGGAGCTCAAGGATGTAATACGCAGAGAAATACGCAAGGAGCTCAAAATAAAGGAGGGTGCTGAGAAATTGCGCGAAGTTGCGACGGACCGAAGATCTCTTTCTGATGTCGCAAATCAAATCAAGAAAGCTAACATCAAACTCAATCAACTCAAGTCAGACCTTCAAGAACTTGAATCGCAGCTAATTTTGTCTCGGGGACAATCCACTCCGACCTCACCAGAAGACCTCTCCTATGATGAGGAGATCATCCTTGCTTCTGAAGCAGCTCAACAACAAAGGCAGCTTGGTGAAGGAACTACCGACAGAAAGTTAGCTTCCCTCGAAAAACAGCTAAATATTGAGCTGAAAGTGAAACAAGGTGCTGAAAATATGATTCAAAGCATCAGTAGCAGTAACCAATCTAGAGATAAGAAACTGTTAGCAGAGGCTCACCAAATGCTTGCTGACTCTAAAGATAAAATAGAATATTTAAAACTTCGTATTTCGAAATTAAGTAAGCAGCAGAAAGGTGATATAGCTGGTGCAAACGGGGATGGCAGAAACACTGATGGGAGTGGCATTGATGCACTGCTAGATGAAAGAATTGCAGAACTAAGAAACAGACTTCGAATCGAAGCAGCAGTTGTGGAAGGTTCTAAAAATGCCATAAGACTCTTACAAAGTGACAAAAAAGTTACTGACAAGAAAGCATTGCAGGAAGCTCAAACGAGTTTACTTGAATCAACCCAGAAGCTTGATTTGCTTCGTAAATCTTTGGACATGCGTCGCCAAGAGCTCCCTTCGGAAAGTGCAGCATTTGCGGAACTTGGACATGAGCTGAGGAGTACAGGTTCCAGCCCAGGTTATGTCAGTCTGTCTGGCAGCAGTGGTTCCAGAGCTCAGTTCCTATCGCCGGCTCCTATGATCAGCCCTTGTGTGCAAGTAACAGGAACCTTAGAGGTGCGGCTAATGGGCTGCCAGGACCTGCTTGAAGATGTGCCAGGTCGTAGCCGACGGGACCCCCTGGCCAGTCCCTCGGACTTGAAGTCTTTTGTGAAAGGTGTAACTATTCGGAACTCAATGAAATACACATACAGCATCAAAGAAGACACAAGCAATGAAATAATGGCTGTCATGAAGCTTGACAACCACACAGTGGCTCAGACCAGCTGGAGGCCATGCTCTCAGCAAGCATGGGACCAAAGGTATTATAAATGTTTAATGTACATACTTAATTCCACATTTCACTAAAGAACTGTACCTATTTAGATACAAATATGTGTCCAAGTGTGTAGTAGTGATCCAAGCTAAAATGTTTGGATTCAAAACTACCTTAGTTATTTATATTTAAAATAAAAACAAACATCTATTGTAACCAAAATTCAATTCTCACAGAGATTTATCTACCAATCAAGCAGGTACTTCTGAAAATGTGTGACATAATTCTAAAATGTTTAATTATGTTATCTTTTATACCTGTGCTTCCTTGAATTATAATCTATGTTACTATTACTCATATTATCTTATCAGCCTATGTATGGCACATACATATTTGCTAAATGAATAGGACATGTGATGATCTTTTAGGTTTCTTAGCATAATGTATTGTTTGAAATGAAAATAATATTTTTTTTATTAAAAAGACTAAGCATTTCAATAAATCATTAGATTAATTAGAATTTGTACATCTTCCTGAAATATTTTTTATCTGTTTCTTCACAGATTCACCATTAAACTAGATAAATCAAGAGAACTGGAAATTGGAGTTCATTGGAAGGACTGGCGTGGGCTTTGTGCTGTCAAGTTCTTAAGATTAGAAGAATTCATTGATGACATCAGGCATGGCATGGCTCTAGAACTTGAACCCCAAGGTCTCTTATTTGCAGAAATCAAATTTTTGAACCCCATCATCTCAAGAAAGCCTAAACTTCAACGCCAGAGAAAGATATTCAAACAACAAGGGAAAAATATTCCAAGACCTTATGGAGAAATGCCTATACCTGCTGTGGTGCTGGGCAGACTTCTTAAGCGTTCTTCACCATCAATACAAAATATTCAAACTGCTCACATTGCCAATCAACACTTTGATGCTACTGGTTTAGATAACAGAGATGTTGAAAATCCAAATGCCACACTTGGAGGCATGGCTGGTGTCAGACCGCTAGGGCTGCCAACAACGCCCACTACACCACCGATACCGGTCACTCCGCCGCCAAAACCAACTCTACCAATGCAGCCTCCTCCCAATGTATCCACTCTTCGAATGGAAAAAGAGCTACAAAAGGCATTTGCATTTTTAGAAGATTCATACACAAGGGATAATTACGTCACAAAAGAACCGCAAACTCCTTGTGATACTCCCTTAGTGGAATATCCACCTTCACCGTCCCCAAAACTTGTTTTAGAATATCCCAGTAATGAGGATCAGATTGTTGAAGTAACCAGAGAAATGATAATATCATCTTCTAGATCTTCATCATCAGTGATTGATACTATGGGGAAAGAACATGATTTGCGACGACAATCCGGAGATATGTCTATGGACAGTTTTAGATTTCTAAGTGTTCTGGGTAGAGGTCATTTTGGAAAAGTAATTCTTGCTCAATACAGACCCACTAATGAATATTTTGCTATAAAAGCTTTAAAAAAGGGCGATATAATCGCCCGAGATGAGGTTGATTCTTTGTTATCAGAGAAGAGAATATTTGAGGTAGCTAATGCAATAAGACATCCTTTCTTGGTCAACCTTTTTGCTTGTTTCCAAACAGATCAACATGTTTGCTTTGTGATGGAGTATGCAGCTGGAGGTGATCTTATGATGCATATACATGCAGATGTGTTCACAGAACCTAGGGCAGTATTTTATGCAGCTTGTGTAGTATTAGGTCTACAGTATTTACATGAAAATAACATAATTTATAGAGATTTAAAGTTAGACAACTTGTTACTAGATACTGATGGATACGTTAAAATTGCCGATTTTGGTCTGTGCAAAGAAGGAATGGGTTGGGGAGATCGTACTGGCACATTCTGTGGAACCCCTGAATTCCTTGCACCAGAAGTATTAACAGAGACATCATACACTCGAGCTGTGGACTGGTGGGGACTTGGTGTATTGATATTTGAAATGTTGGTTGGAGAATCACCTTTTCCAGGTGAAGACGAAGGAGAAGTATTTGATTCCATTGTTAATGATGAAGTTCGTTACCCGAGGACTTTGTCTCTCGAGGCGATCGCATTGATGCGGCGATTGTTAAGGAAAAATCCTGAGCGACGTTTAGGATCGTCTGAACGGGATGCCGAAGATGTGAAGAAGCAGGCATTCTTCCGAAACGTGAATTGGGAACAGTTGTTACTTAGAAAAGTGAAGCCACCATTTGTGCCAACGATAAACAATCTAGAGGACGTGAGTAACTTCGACAGCGAGTTCACGTCAGAGGCGGCGGTGCTGACGCCGCCAAAGGAGCCCCGCGCGCTCACCGCCACTGACCACAAACTGTTCGAAGACTTCACATACATGGCAGATTGGTGCTAGGCCTAAATATGTCGAATAAAGCATTAAGTTCTAGAAATTAAGTAATAATTTCTCATAGAAAAACAAACAATAAACCCCATTGCCTTACAATTGTGTGAAAATCTGTATTTTGATTATATCACTGTTATTTCTACTTGAGAGCATCTAAAAGAGATACTCTTGTTAACTTGTATTTAATGCAGTTAAATGCAATATTTTATAATAAATTGTGTAATTTAATAACATAAGTTTTAAATAGTGCTAATGTTTATTTTTTTAAAATATCGTGTTATAGATTTATATATGATGTAGTTATGAAATGATTAACGTAGAAAATAACAATATAACTAATAATATTCTAAGTGAAAGCGTGTCAAATCATATTACATTTTCAGTCAATTGTTTACTTATTCCGAAAAATAAAGGTAATCATCTTCAAAAAGTGTTTTGATTTGCATATTTCCCCCTAACTTCATACACCATTCAGAGTAGGTAGGTACTCGTACTGTGGCAGTAGTTAATGTGGTTAACGACATCTTTACTGGGCTTATTCCACTATTCCCCATTGACAATCCCCGTCAAAATAAAATCCTAATATAACGGGGATTAATCAATGGATTAATGAACTTTTTATTTCATTATTCCCCAATAAAAGCTCCAATTGGCGTCAACGGGGAATAGTGAAATAAGCCCTCTGCTGTACCCGGAGCACGAATAAATATGCATTCTCGATATGATTTGATACTACTAACACCACAGCACAAAATGTGTACTACTGCTATCACGAATTATTCGTGCTCAGGGTACTGTTGCGTCAGTAAACATACGAAATAATTCCACAAAATATATTTCCGACCCGGTCCTGGTTATAAACTACGAATCATTTTTTATGGCACAAACAATTTCTATCCAACCAATACAATGTTCAATGAATAGACAACTTTCGCCTATAAGGTCCATTGGTTGAGAGCAGTGGCGGATTAAGAGTATCCGAGGCCTTAAGCACAGAGCCTGTGTAGGCCCTCTATTGCTTAAATGGAAATGGAAGGAATGGAATGGAAGGTAGAAAGTATAAAATGAAAGTTCATCAAAAAAGAAATATTGTGGATGAATCTCGATAAAATCTATACTAATATTATAAAGCTGAAGAGTTCGTTTGTTTGTTACATTTTAAAAAACCATTTATAAATCCTATGAGAATATTTCGACTTCTACGCGGATGAATTCGCGGGCGCAGCTAGTGTACTGTGTAGATATGAAATGAAACGCCAGCAGAGGATGGAGGCCCCTGGAGAACAGGGGCCCCAAGCACGTGCTTGTAGTGCTTATACGTTAATCCGCCACTGGTTGAGAGTTGGTATGTTTACTAAAGTCCGGAGTTTGATTCCTTCAATAAATCTCTTAATACAACCATATAAAGTCTTTCAGGTATGGTCTTGGAAGAAAAAATGTGAGCGTCAAGACGTAAAGGCATATTAGTCCATGGTAGGTATTTTCTAAATTAAAACTAACTTTTGGTCCATTGGTTGAGAGTTGGTATACGGACCTAAGTCTCGAAGGTTCGGGGTTTTGATTCCTTCCATATAAACAATCACAAGTGTCGCGGGTATGTATGGTCCTTAAAAATGTGACCGTCAAGACGTAGAACGTAATTACATGGTAAGTATTTTGTAAATTAAAACCAACGCAATGTTGTGAATAAAACAACTTTTGGGGATTCAAATGACTATATTATTACCAATAAAATACAATCTGAAAAAACATGAGCAAAATCTGGAATTAATAAAATTTCTTGAAAACATTTTATTACAGATTTTCTTCATTTAACAGTATCTGACATTATAACTAAACCAAACTAAAATACATATTAGGTGTTATAGTATGATATTGCTGAAAATAAGGATTTACGAAAATTTATTCATCCATACAAACATTTTTGTAAAGGCTGAAACTAATTTTTTTAAAGAACCACAAATCTTAGTTTTATGAAATTTTGTAAAAGTAGATTGAGACAACATTATGCTATCTATAGGATACTCAAAAAAAGAAAGAAAATTCATACCTGTAAAAATATGTATTCATATTTTTACAGAGCTGTTTTTGAAAGGAATATTGACGAAAAAATCGGCAATTTCATACTTTAACACCCTAACTTATTCTCAACAGAGAACAAGTATTTGGTGTATAACATTTAAACAAATAAAAGAGGAGAATTAAACTGGATTTAATACTAAATATTGTCAGATGGGTAATAAATATGTTACAATCAAAAGTAACATCTAATAACACACAACATGTAGGTATTAAATTGAAAAATATATAATCTGAAAGGGCCAGTAATATCTTGGACCACCAACCTAGACAGCTGAAAAATTGCTTTATGCCCCCTAATTTGAAGGCTTTTCAACTGATCAGTATCTGCTGGTATTAGTTGTTATGATTGGTAGTTTATTATTCTAGACCAAATAACAACCAAGTTAACATCAGATTTCCTGATCTGAACAATTGTACTATGTATTTAGGGGTACTTTAATATATCACTGTTAATTTCTAAGCTGTCTTTCTGTGTGCACATTTAGCAAATATGTAGCTACATTTTATAGATGTAAAATTTGTGTTATAAAAATGGAACATGTCTATATATTCTATTTTGGTGTTAAATATACTTATATTATAGTTGAATAAAACTCACAAGTTACTGTAACATAAAAAGGCACCTAATTTTGTTTGAAATGTGCTACTTAATGTGCTAAATGTATATCTATGCTATTATAACTATAAAACTATTAGATTCTTTATATTAATATTGTATAAATTCCTTATTGGGAGTGACGTTTCAAACAGTTCGTAGAATCATTTAGCATTTACTCTCAAGCTATATTATTGTTTTAGACACAATCAACAATCTTAGTATTTCATCCCTTTGAATTACGGCTTGACCCCTGCAGAGCATGATTGTCCACAGTCCACACTGTGCAGGGTTCAATATATCCAACTGTTACAAACACACTTCTGCATGCAAAAAAAGCTGCAGGTTTTTAATACATAGTAACTTACACTAGCATTACCATAACTCACAAGAATATAAAATTTTAAGCTATAAAATGTAGTAAAATAGCTAACTGTTGTCTAGCCCTCTAATGCTTGTTGCTAGGTATTAATTGCAACCAACAAACTATGACTAAGGTCCAAGGACAAATCCTTGTTTGCAATAAAATGTCTAAGCCTGATATAAGTTAGGCATTGTAACATTTAAACAGTGGTCCGTAAAAAAAATATTTAGCTTCCCTTACAAATGTTTTACATGTTTGTGTAATATTATCTTTCACCAGAGACACATTCACAATATTTACACCTATTTGAACATTACAAGCAGACACATTACAAAATGTAAAAAAATAAAATTCAACTGTAATATTAATAATTACATTCTAAACTCTTCTTAAGACTTTAAGTACGGGTGGTTTATAATTTATATTGATCACTAACACTGGAGTACATAGCCCTTACTTGTCTAAACATGCTATATTTGATTCTACAGTTGTTTTATTGCTAAATTATCACCACCTTCTTTGTTAGGGAAGCTAGAATTTTACTTTCTTTCCACTTTACAGTCTGAACAAAGTTTATAAAATACAAGACACTCAACAAATTTAACAATATTATGTCATAATAAACATTCAAATTATACCTCTAGTTACCTCTGTTATATCAAACTGAGTATTTCTTTGTTTTATGACACCAGCCAAGTTACCAATCAATTGATGAATTGACTATTCAGAAAATCTAAAATGAACAAATGTATTAAAGAAACATAATAAAGACTGTCTGTTTACACTCTACTAATACTTATATACACAATTCACACACAAGAGCTGACAGTCTCAAAAAATAAGTTTGTACTAAGCTCACATACGTGAACCTTTTTGTTGGAGCACCTTGGCGCGGTCAGTGGGCTCGATATCATTGCTGTTCACAGTACTGCCACACTCCCGACTAACAATACACAGAAACTCTGCATGTTCATCGTTTCCATAGTTGTATTGGGAGCCAATATTTATCAGCTGTTCAAACTTCCAACCATCAGACATTGATGAAACCATTTGGGTCAACTCTTCTTCATGAAACTGAAGAACTCTGTAAACATGCTTTTTGCTATCTTTCAGTGGCCTCCTTTCCTTCTGACGTATTCTTTCTTTAACTAATTTAATCAGCTCCGTAATATTATAAAATTCTGCTTCCTCTAGCACTCCCTCTTCGGCAATATCATTATTTATAACCAGTTTACCGTGACGAAGATAATTGAGCACTGGAGAAAAATACGTAGGATCTCTATCTATTAAATAGGCGCCGGTCTCGTCCTGGAACAATGAAATTTGAATAAAGCACTGTACGCATAAAAAGGACACTCATTATCATACAAAAGACGAGAATTTTTGAACTAACCCTGTCAGAAATCAAGTCACTGTCCTCTTGAACTAATCGATATAAAAATGAATTAGGATCTCTACACAAAGTAGTTTTCGTAGTTAGAAAATATGTGCCACCAACGTTTAGTTTGACCCATTGCTTACTACTCCGCCTTTCATTGTTGAATTTTTGATTATTTTCTTTCACAAATTCACCGTGTCCAACTCGATCCGCCATGGCGTACCATAAACACAACAATCATTTTTTTTATATGTCACATTCTATCAAAATGGCCGACATGTCTATGGATTTTTTTACATGCATGCCAATTTAATTCTAGTCACAAAATCGACTAATTTTAGTTAATCGATATATTAAATAAAAAAAATAATTCTACATAAAATTAAAAGACACTGCATCATCCCTTTCATCAGCATTGCATTATTATGATGCTAGAAAAGGTTATTCCTTAACATTTTAAATATTTGGCTAATTTATACATACACATCATCACAATAATATGGAGCAATTTTATAGTATTTTTCAGTGTACATTAATATTTATGTTTATTGGAATTATAATTAATTTCCATAGGGGCCGTCCCATAAATTACGTCATCGATTTTTTCAGATTTTAGACCCCCCCCCCCCCTACAATCATGGGGGGGGTGATCGCCCCGGGTGCCAACCCATGCTACGCCGCCACTGTATGTAATATTATTGTTAGAGTATTTTATCTGTAGTTATTACTGTATTTGTGTACATCTATGTTGCATTATGTATGTTTATTATGAGTTTTTTTTAGTATTGTACGCGCCTTAGCCGCCTCTCACATTTGCAGTCTCACTTACTAGGTGTGCTGGAAGAAATTTCTTTTTAGAAATAATCTTTTTGTAGGTGAACAATAAACTATAATTTAGAATGACGTAATATATGGACGGCCCCATAAGTTTAATCATATAGTAGACCATATTTTTTTACGTTCCACGTTCTGATGTCTCTGCTGGTCTATGTAATTATTTAGTCGATTCTATAAAACTATTGATTTAGTCGGTTCAAATGTCAAAGTCATGAAGTTGGTTGATGTTGTACATCACTTTTGCCTCTTTTGCTTGCTATTTTTTAGTCAAACAATTTTTGTGAATAAAGAAATATCATCAATTTTCTCAAGTAAAAGTTGTTGATTGCGGTAACTGTGAATCTATCAATATAATGTCTTTTGGATAAAACACTGTAGTATGTCATAATGAGTAACAATTTGGATAATGAAAGATCGGTTACAAGTGGCAAAATGTATCCAATTGATTTAGCGCCTCAAAAGATTACTATTGTGAAAAGTGTATCTAATACGGAAGTTAAAATGGCTCATTTACTCCCTGGGCAACCGAAAACATCAGGTTCTGGTCAGATTATGACGCACGCCGGGCCTGTGGGCCTAATGCGTCCAGCTGCTCAAATCATATCTCCAAGCGTCGGTTCTCAGGTAACTGCTTTCCAAGACTCATAATTGCAATTTACTTTCTTAGATAAATCAATATTAAATAGTTATTAATAAATACCATGACATTAATAACGATTTTCTAATTAATGCTATTAATGCTCATGGTTTTCTCAAACTATTAAGGTTATCTCGGATAAATGCTATGTTTGCAGTCGAAAAATCATATTTTATTTTGTAGGTTAAACTGAGGAAAATGTAAGATCAGTCTCCTATACATTTAATCTCAGTTTAGTGTGGAAAACGCCAGTTATGGCTTAAGAAAAAATGCATTGTAATTGTCTTAAATAAAACAATATGCTTTCCCTTTTCCAGCCACAAATGATTGTGAGTGGATCACCAATATTGCAGGGCAGTCAAATTGTGAGTCAGGGTTCTCAACTTATTGGTCAAGGCACCCAGATAATTTCACAATCTCAGCTTATAAGTCCAAGTGGCCAGATTCTGAGCCCGGCCACACAGATCATAAGCCAGGGGTCACAGTTGTCTGCTCAAGTTTCCAATAACAGCACAGGATCAAATAATGTCCAAACGAGTGCTACCCCACCCGTGAGTGGATCTCAGGTGCTCAATGTTGGAGGAATGGTGGTCAGCTCTTCAGTGAGGACACTACCACCCAGTGTTCGAGTTTTGTCACCTTTACAACATGCCAACACCAGACCAGGTAATAGAGCATCCTCTTTTTTATAGTTCTAGCTAAATATGTGTATTTAGTACTAATATTACCAAAACTTTAATTACTTTTTAACTTATTTATACTCATGGTTCTATTAACTTTCATTACATTCTTTGTAGAATGAGTTTCTGATGATTCTGCACTACCAAAAGCCATATCTCTAACAAAATCGTTTGTCCTCAGCAGTATTATCAAGCGTGAATGTGAGCACTGCAGGTGGAGTGCTAGTGAGTAAAAGTGTGGGTATGACGAGCCATGTGCCGCGTGGATTGGCTGCCGGAGCTTCTCTAGCTGTCAGGCCTGTCACTCCTGCTGCTTCTCAAGGAGTTGCCCAAGGTAAGAATGCTTCAAACTAAATAAATCATTTAAGTACACATAAACAATTTATTTCAACACACATTCACTTGCAAATGAATTAGCTAGGTACTATTCAAATTGCTTTATAATCATTATCTGTGTTTATATTAATACCTATTTATAATCTCACTTTTTTATTGTTGTCCTCATATCTGTAATTATACCATAATTGAGTTGTGTGTTGCAACATACTGCTTTCTAACTAAATTGTATATTTATAGCATCTAGTTGTCTATTTATTTTTTTAAGACATACAAAACAGGTTACAGCCAAATTATGAATTTCAGATACAAATAGATTTTATGGACTAGGTTGTTACTTATTACCTTTACTACATATTGTTAATTATGAAAAATCTAAAACGTTAAAATAACGGTATCGTTGTGGCCAATGAGATGCTGTCATAGTGACATTGACAATACGTCTATGTCACGCTAGCATCAAACGTCAGAGAATAGAGGGACGCGCGGAGACGACTCCGCGCGCTTTTGTGCTAAGTGATGAATTGTATCTAAAATAAGGCAATATAATGTGAAAGATGAGTATCCAGTGTTTTATTTATGAAAAGAGATCGACCGGCTTCTAATAGTTCAGAAGTGAGATCTGAAACCTATGATAGTAACGTGATTTCAAAGTGTTCCAGGTGACCAATGTTTCGTGTTATTTGTCACGAATATTAACACAAAACGCCCACGATTCTATGATTATAATGGAATATGATGAAGAGAGAATGTCATGGAAACCACGCTGACAACTGTGTGAGATGCAGAAAAGTATTTAAGTACGAGAAATGATGACGCAAATTATGAAGATACTCCCTCCGTAACTTGGCTTGTGGTCACGTAAGTGGTGAACAATTTGACTAACGATGGCCCCAGAGCAGTTATGATTTATTATTATTATCGATTATTCCAACAGCAACAATATTAACACATTTCCTTTTTGAGCAAAATAATGCATGGAAGTGAATGATGCATCAAATGTTATAGGTATTGTCAGTCTTTACTGATAATGCCAGGAATGTGTGTGAAAGCTATGGTATGTGCCTACTTTAATTGCAATGCCTAATAAACTATTTTAGTAAAGTAAATTTAATTGAACGGTGTTCATTTGTTCATGTTTACATTCTGCGAAGAATAACCTGTTGAGATTTAAAATCTATAAAGAATAGAAAGAATATGGTCAGATTAATTAAAATAAGTTTGGTAATCATGCCCGAGTAACCTCTTGGCATTATTTTGGAGAAGAATTAATAATTAGTTTTATTCAAGTAAATTGAAGCTAAGGCCTGTGTTGTGCAAACCAGTTTTAGTATCATGATGTTTCTTTCTTGATGTTGAGTAAGTACTACAAGATGAGATAGCTTAAAATATTTATCTAATTGAAATTAAGTAAAGCAGCCAGTTATACCGTTGAACATGTGATATATTTTTGGTATTCTTATAATGATTGATACTTCAATTAATTGTTAAAGCAGCGCGGTCAGCGCGCCCGCTTCGGGCAGCAGCAGCGCGGTCAGCGCGCCCGCTTCGGGCAGCAGCAGCGCGGTCAGCGCGCCCGCTTCGGGCAGCAGCAGCGCGGTCAGCGCGCCCGCTTCGGGCAGCAGCAGGGCGGCCAGCGCCAGCAGCGGCAAGGGCTCGCGCTCGGCGCGCAGCAGGTCGCGCGCCAGCGAGTGCGCGGGCAGGCGGTGCAGCCGGGCGAGCCGGCGCGTCACGAGCGGCGCCAGCGCGGCGCGGTCGGCGCAGCAGGAGTCCAGCAGGTGCCGCGCGTGCAGCAAGAACGCGCGGGCGGAGCCGGTGCGCGCGTGGTGGAGCAGCAGGGCGCGCGTGTGGTGCGCGAATGGTGGTGGAGATGGCAGAGTGGACCTAGCAAGGTGCACAGCGGATCCCAATATGAGGCGTCAAGTGTGCCTTGGGTAGAGAAGACCTTCGAGGGCGAAGGAATTGCAGGAAGGCCGAACTGTTAATTATGAAAAATCTAAAACGTTAAAATAACGGTATCGTTGTGGCCAATGAGATGCTGTCATAGTGACATTGACAATACGTCTATGTCACGCTAGCATCAAACGTCAGAGAATAGAGGGACGCGCGGAGACGACTCCGCGCGCTTTTGTGCTAAGTGATGAATTGTATCTAAAATAAGGCAATATAATGTGAAAGATGAGTATCCAGTGTTTTATTTATGAAAAGAGATCGACCGGCTTCTAATAATATCAAAAAAATAAACAGCAGATGTTATTGCACAGTCCAAAACACAGAAAAACATACACATCAAGAATGTTTTAAATAGATGACTTATAACATTTTAATTTCTGTGACGGATCTGGGTGTTGCTATGTATGATATATGTATTTACAAAAAAAAAAGAATTTAAGTATGTTTATATCCGTTGTCCAGTGCCCACAGTACAAGCTTTGCTTAGTTTGGGACTGGAAGCGTAGTGTAAAATGTCCAAGGATATTTATTATTATTATTTATATGTTTTTTTTTTTTTATCTGCTTTAAGGGCTGGTAATATAAGATCAGCTACAGGCATGGCCAAGTAATTAATCTCTAGTTGATTTTAAAATATTATTATTATTTTTAAAGTGCATTTTGTCTAGGGGGGCTGGCGTCATGAGTCGACTCCAGTGTTGTATCCTAATTTATTGTTTTTATTTTTTGTTTGTATTTTCTCAACATAGCAAAATTGGTGCGGTGAGATAGTGGCGCCCTCTTGTCAATGTCAATGTCTTGTTTAGTGTTTTGTTTTTTGTATTTAAAATGATGGTTGGAGAGGCACCCGCTGAAAACCAGCGTCGGGGCACGCGTGCATGCACGCGTGGCTCGATTAATGCTGAGCGGGCGCCTTTTTGGCACAAAATATTATGCGTGTATAGTTTTAAGTCCCTTTGTTCTGTTTTTCTGTTTTCTTTTGTGTCAAATAAAGTTTTTCTTATTCTTATTCTTATTTTGAATCTGTTACCAGGAGCATGGGCAACCAGCAACCGTGGAGCTCGCGGCGCGCTGGTGTACGGGGGCCGCACGCCGGCCCCCCGGCCCGCCAGCCGGCCCCCCGCGCCGGTGGCGGCGCCTCTGACCGTGGCCCCCGCGCTATCGCAGACCTCGCTGACCTCGCAGCCTTCACACTCGACGATCGTCACATTGCCGCCTGCCACCGTCTTGACTTGTAAGTGAAAATATGAATATTGAGAGATCTCTATTTATTTATATAATTAAACCTAAATAATAACTATTGGTAAAGGCACTGGATGCAGGCCGCCACCAACCGGCCATTGTAAAATCATTGGGGGAGGCTTAAGTTCAGCAGTGGAGATCCTATGGCTGAAATGATGATGATGATGATGAATAACTATTGTAAAAGTACATTTGGTAATTCGAAATTGTAGAACTGATTTGCTCATAGCCTTGGGGCTAATTGCAAATACAGAAAGCTAGAAAGTAAAATTTTAAATGTTATCTCAGTATTATTGTTTTAAAAATCATCTTTAATTCAGGTCATAGAAATCTTTTGAATGACATGATGGTACCACAACATGTAGTGTGAATAAAATCTAAAAAATAAATGTCTCGATCTTTATTATCCACAAAGTTTATTTCACTTCATAATAAGTGCCAAATCTTACTGTGTACTTGCATCAAATAAATACATTTCTTTCTTTCTTTCAAAATATAAAGTAATATAAAGTTTGTATAACAAACTTCATAAAACTGTAGAACATATAAACCATGATTGTGATTGAATTTAGCGAGCGGTGTTATATCGGGTACAGTGCGAGGCGCGGCGCCGCGCTTGCAGGCGCCAGCGGCGACTTCCACACCATCGCCTCGGCCTCTGCCCCTGCTGCAGAGGAATTATCAGCCTAAGGTGAGTGGGAAAATATATTAATATTATAATATAGTTCATTATGTTTTATAAATAACCCAAGTCCTTAGTAAGTGGACATCATACAAATCAACTTTATACTGAAAGAAATTTTACATACAAGCTTAAACAAAATCATAAAAAATCTTAAGAAATCCACATCTATGACCTTCTTTGTGTATTAATCTAAGTGTGGGTACTTATATGGGTATAATGTAACAGAGATTTGGGTCTGTATCTTCTAGCTATACATCAATATACACTCGACATCAAATAAATCGCACCTCCCGCGACAAGCATTTTCAAACGTATGCTTCCCCACTTCCCACCAATATTGGCACCATTTGAAAGCCTAGTTCTAACCTTTATTTCATTAAAGGAAAGGTTTTTACCCCAAAAATGTGTCTTTAGAAGGATCCAGAGTCACTTCTTCAAAAAATAGGTAGTTACGCTAGAGCCAACTTTTATGGCTATAAAACTGTTAAGTTGGGACTAATCGCTATCCATCTGTTAAAGAGGACACGTGAGATCATTATTTGGTTTTATAACCATAAAAATTGGTCTAATTGATCCCATAGGTGGGCCCAAAGTGAGGTATTTTTTCAAGTCACATTTATGGTATATGTTAATCATTTATTAAGAAATTAAAAGTGTTTTTCTTCAAGGATATTTATTGGGCTTTCAAATAACACCAATATTGTTGGGGCACCATGATTGTGTCAGAAGAAAATCGTTAAAGTTCGCGTCGCGGAAGGTGCGGTTTATTTGATGTTGAGTATATTATTATCTGTTTCTGAAGTGTTAAATGTTTCATTAGAACCTTTCTTTTAAAGTAAAACACTACTGTTTTATTTATAAATAACATAGACTTAAAGCTTATGATATGTTTCACTTTCTTGTTTTCCTTATTGTCTTCTATCTTGTCTTTTAGGATAAGTTCAGATGGTCAATAATCATGTAAATGGTCCGTAATATGTATAGGATTTCCACGCGCTTCGACATGAAATTATCTGATGCCTTAATGTTTTGATACACTGTATACCTGCTTACCAATAAATTACCAAAATTAAATAATAAACGTTCATATAGGTGGTGGGCGTGGCCAGCGTAGGAGTCCGCGGCGTGGTGGGCAACAGCGCGCCGGCGCAGCTTTACTATGAGGTACCGCGCGCCGCCGCGCCGCATGCGCCGCGACCGCTAGCACCGTACTACTCGCAACACCAGCCGCCAGGTATGCGAATATAGTTCTTATTGCTTTACTTTTAGCTAAGAAACATTAGCGAAACCATGAAGCCATGAAGGTATAATATGCCTCGTGGCCAGCGCGCCGGCGCAGCTGTAGGTACTACGAGGTGTGTGCACGCGCCGCGACCGCTAGCGCCGTACTACTAGCAGCACCAACCGCCAGGTAACTAAAAATCAAATCAGTAATTTATTTCAGACTTACAACAATCCATACCTACACTAAGGAGAAATATTTAAAATTCATAACAGTCAACTTTACATCATAGAAATAAAACTATCAATTTTGCACATGCAGCCGAACCCACTGCGTGATAAATGGGCAGTCTACTAGACCTGGGCCCCGATTACGCTAAAAAATTTTCGGACGAACGAACATCGGTGTTTTGACAAATGCGTATCGCGGTGTCATTTTGACAGCTATTTGACACGAAGCATAGACGTAAACGTAAAGCTAAATAGGTATCTCATGTGACAATGAAAATACTAGGAGGGTACGTCCATTACCGTGATACCGAATTTGCACCTCAGCTGGAAAAGCGGAATGAAAAGCGGAGCGCAACTGGAGAAGAAGCGCGTATGTATTGGAGACTTTAAAAATTAACGTAATCGGGGCACAGCTACAATGCGCAGAATGTCGTTGGAGCTCCCACGCACACGGCTCAGCATAGAGGCTGCCCTTTTTCGAAGGTTGGCATGGAAGCCATCAGTTAGTGCTTCGGCAAACATGCCCGATGCGCTGCAGTACCGTGGCAGCCCCAGCAACATCCTGAACGCGTTATTATAGTATGGGGAATTATAAAACGAGCGACTAAAAAAAACCTTTGCGACTGATGATGGCATACTGTTTTAATACCTTGAGCGGTATGAATTTGAGTAAGCGAAAAATTTACCAAACTAACGACGAATATTGATCAATAATAAAATCCAGAACGAGCTTACAAAATGTGGGTTTTGATTATTACATTTCAAACATAAAAATACTATCCGGGCGACTAAATTACTAAGTGAGCGACTAGAAATACATAGAGGGCAACTTTAATATGAAGATACATTAGATTTTTCTAATTGAGGTTACTAAACGAACGTTTACTGAACGAACTACAAAAAAGTTAATTCTAAGCAAAGTTTTGTGAGCTGCTTTATTAATGATTATTGGTTACTGATATTATATTTGAGGTCTCATGTTTTTTTATTTTGATACGCTTTATTAATGAAAACTACAGATTGTTACAGCGCGCGAATTCGAATCGGGGCGGGTGACTGTCCCGAATTTTTAACAAAATATGTAATATGCAAACACGTTTTGGGTCTAGCAATTCGGCTCAAACTAACAACACCGCCACTGGAAGCAAAACTGATACCTATTGGACAAAAAAGAAAACGAGGCCGGCCCGCTAAGTCCAAGCCAGCACTTATCATACAGTGACGATGAGTAGGTAGAGCTCCTCAATCCTCATAGGTACCAATGAGCCTTATTAATAAAATTACTTTTTTTTGGGTCTACAGAAGCGACTTATTTTATTTTGTTTTTTTTTTTGTTGATTCGATTTAAGAAAATACAAATTTCATTTTTAATAATACATTGTTTCATTTGATTACCTACCCTTAAATTTTAATGATTTATTTTTTTCGCTACTAGAATAGTGTTCCGTCAAATATTTATTTCATAAGATCATTTTTTATTTAAATGTGGGCTCATAATACGCTGCTCATAATAGTATTTTTCAAAGTAGTTTTTGCATTCGAAACACTTCATTAAAGTTCAAAATACCACTCAGTATAAAAAAAGCATTTGCCAAATATTGAAAAAAATGCAGGACCTAACGTTGACACTCAATCAAATATTAGGTCGCTCAAATATTATGAAGCTTCTCATTTTGTATTTTAAGGAACTCGATTTTTTTTTGTAAGTTGCTATTCTTTTGATTTTTCGTCACTCGCACGCAGTCGCTCACTTAGTAATTCTTTAGCCCACATTAACTATTTTTGACACTTACAACATAAATTTACAGTCACTCGTTTAAATACTACCCTTATAGTATTAGTCGGCCGTTTGGTGTAGTGGTTCGAAACGGACTACTATTCCGGAGGTAGCGGGTTCGATTCCCGCACAGTACAAACATTTGTGTGCATGAACATATTTGTTTGTATTGGACTGGGTGTTTTCTATGTATAATAAGTATGTATTTACAAAAAAAAAGTATTTAAATATGTTTATATCCGTTGTCTAGTACCCATAGTACAAGCTTTGCTTAGTTTGGGACTAGAAGCGCAGTGTAAAATGTCCAAGGATATTTATTATTATTTGTTTATTATTATTATTATACTGTACATGCAAGGCGTGGATGGTCTTCAGCGTATAGCTGACCCACAGAAATATAAAAATAATGCATTGCATGCAGCACCCTACTACTCGCACGCCATGATACTCTTTGCTTTACTTTTAGGACGTAAGCTAAAAAATTGCATGACTTGACATCTAAGTAAGAGCAAAGAGACACCTGCGATATTATCAAGAGTTCCTCACTATATAATCTCTGCATAATGTAGTTTTCCAAACTTACACAACATATTCTAATGTTGAGCAATGCAAGATTTTTCCTAACTCATTGAACAAATAAAATTTAACTGACGTTTTTATTTCAGCTAGTACTGTGAGCACTGTAACAGTAATACCGGAGAGTCGGCCTCCGCCCACTTCCGTCCAGACTACGCCCGTGGTGCCCCGCCCATCCATACTGAGGAAACGCGACATTGAAGGGTAAGAACTGGCACTCCAAACTTACCACAAATTATTAATAGCTTTTACTATAACCACTTTTCCTTTCACATTTTTTTTATTGTTGTTAGAACCAACCGACCCACATGGGATCAACATAGTGGGGCAATTGAGGGGCTCGTGACTAACGCGTGAACCTTCGATCACGAGTCACAAGTTGTGGATGGGTCCGGTAGCCCACCGAGCTCCTCCGTGCCTCGGAGAGCACGTTAAGCTGTCGGTCCCGGCGGCCGACATAATGCCGGTGGCTGTTACTGGTTGGTTACTAGCCTAGAACGACCTTCATTCAATCACAGGACCGCGGAATTGGCTGATCAAATTCATTATTACAAATAATATTTCAAAATTTTTTCGTTTCAAGATATGAATCTGAACTAATAAAGTTAAATGTTTCAGAAGCTGCTTCCTTCAAACAGTTAATCACCGGTTTCTGAGCCAATAAAAATAACAGCTTATGTCACCGTCTGACTGCTTTGATTGATCCGATGCTCATGTCAACAAAACAGTTGTCAAAAATATTATAAGCATGTTTGTTTTTGTGCTTAGAAATCGTTTAAACTCGAACACCAACTGACTTTGTCACATCAACAGGTCACCAACGAAGCCGACTAATGTTGTGCCGCCCGCCCCGGTGGGGCAAGTGTCAGTGGCCCCGGTGACCCTGACCCCGCTACCGTTGCCGGTGAGCGTCAACAACACTTGCTACAGGAGCGAGGGCACGTGGGAGGACGTGAACCGCGGCGGAGGCCCGGGCTCCGGTGGGTCCACAACGATATCGGCGTCGTCGTCGCCCGCGCCTGACGATGAGCCCGACTTGCCAAGGATGGACGACGTCTCGCCTAGGAAGAAGCCGAGGAAACAGATGTGAGTATGATGATTATTATTTTTATATTTTTTTTTTTTGTAAAGATTATCAGTAATTTGTTATTACACAAATTACTAATACTCCCGTTAGCCCTTCGTACTAAGCTAAATATGCTTGTGTCATGAGTGAGCTCACCACAATAGTCGAGCGGCGGCGGGGACCGAACCCGCGTTCCCCGGATCACGAGTCGGCCAGTCCGACCCCTTCACCATTCGGCTATCGTGGCTATGAATCGTGATAATTGATGCCATGACTCTGTTGGTGTACCCTAAAGGATTATTCTACTTTGCCCCACCAGTAGGGCGCCTAATTGTGTTCTTTCAATAAAACGACTATTTCTTGTTGCCAGGTTAACTAATGAAGTAAGACAGTGTGATTTCACTCCTGACGAGACGCCGCCCACACCACCGCCGGTCAACATCAATCCGCCACCTAAACGTAAGTAAAAATTACCAAAGTAACATTCCGTCATCAGTTTTCAGGTTCACAAATCACAAAATTTGAAAACTCGTCGTGGCGTCTTACTTCTAAGGGTAGAAAAAATCTACGGGAGTGTCGCGTTTTGTTTGACAGCTCATAAAATTATTTCATGTTCACTACCCAATGAGGGCTTATCAATAGTCCATCTATCGCTTCAGCGCTCACCAGTTGGCACCACTGTCTTAGCCACTAGCAAAGAGACTATTCCCACCTCTCGTTCCCACCGCTGCAACTGCTGTGTAGCCAGGATCTATAGGTTGACCGCCAATAAAAACCCACTGGCAAGTGACAGTGACCTTACTCTCTAGTGGCGCCAACTGATGAGCACTGAAACCCCTCTGATAGCTAATAGCCCTCATTAACAAATCATAAAACAGTTTCTCATCTATCAGCATATAGTAAAATTAATCTACTGTATCCTCGGTCCTCAGTTCCTATCAGTTACACGGTAAAATTATACTTCTATCTCCCCAGGCCCCCTACTTAGTTCAAGCTACGTATGCGGCTGGCGGGGGACGGCGCTCCATTTCACGCGGCCAGCCGACGTGCGGCGTCGCGAGCCGCGCGCCAAAGACATCCTCGCCATCGCCAGCCAGAAGCACGTGCTCACCAGCGCTGAAGGATGGAAGGTGCACCATCTCACCGCGCAGATGGACGACTTGGTAAGAGTCGTAGTTAGAATTTCAACCTTGTTATAACTAATGAGAGTGTACAATGCAATGGCGGACGCCCTCGACATCGCCAGCCAGAAGCACGTGCTCACCAGCGCTGAAGGATGGAAGGTGCACCATCTCACCGCGCAGATGGACGACTTGGTAAGACATCCTTAGAATTTCAACCTTGTTATAACTAGTGAGAGTGTACATTGCAATGGCGGACATCCTCGCCATCGCCAGCCAGAAGCACGTGCTTACCAGCGCTGAGGGTCGGAAGGTGAACCATCTGACTGCGCAGATAGACGATTTGGTAAGACATCGTAGTTACAATTTCAACCTTGTTACAATAAGTGAGAGTGCAAATTAAAATGGTAGCTGCCACTAGAACATCCATCTCGTGCAGACTCCGAGAGACTGGGTTCCTCGGGAGGCTGCACGAGTGTGTGGAATGTAAAAATGCGCTTCAAACTACGATTAACTACCTCGAAAACTTCTTTGAAACGAGTAGTTAGAGACAGGTTTATTCACTAAACTTCATAATCTGTTTCTCAGTGGAAAAAAATACTGAATTCTAATCAAAACTATTTTCGTAGGTCTCATTGGAAGCAGATGTTGGTGAACAACTGTCGGGAGTTTTGAGGGCGCTGGAAACAGCGTCAGGGCGCGCGCTTTCCGCCCTGCAGCCACATTCTCATACATTATTGGAGCTACTTAAGGTAATGACAGAGAAATCCTGTGCTGTTAAAATTAAAATACTTTATTCCTGCTTATACGGTTGATATTTACAATCTTACATTTTTCAGGGCAACATACAAAGAAGTAAAATCGTCTGTGAAGGAATACAAGAAGCCCGGGAAGACATTTTACGAGTGTTCACTCACAGGAACTTTGTATCGGAAATTCTCACGCGACAGGCTGATAAGCGGTGTTTCAGGAAACACCGGTCGCAATCATAGCAAAGATCCAGTTTTGTTTGAAATAAAACTATATCGTGTAAATAGCCTAGTTAATGTGTACATTTTTGAATAAATGAAGAATAATATTTATGTTAGAAAGAATGACTTGAATTTTGTTCTGTGACTTAGAATTATTTTAATAATAAATATTTTATCTTAATATTAAGTAACGAGTTTGTTTTCTGACGTAGCTAAAATGATAGCTGATAAGAGTCAATACATGGAAGGTCAAGGAACACGTTATTTGCTAAACTCCTGCTCGTCAGATCGAGATATCCTGTTTACAGGCAGAACGAGTGTAACATACATACATAACATAGTTTCCTTTTTATGTCAGGAAATGCATAAGATTGCTTCCCTGATCCCTGGGAGCTCCCTACGAGCTGGGATAGGTCATGATGTTGATGAGGCAGGCATTCTCCCTTCGCCGCCTAAAGCTAAAAATCTTTATGTTTCGGACCTATTTCATGTTTTCGGACCACAAACAAACAGTTGTGTGTCTATGGTGTTCATAGACAGGATAGCATCACCTGTCAATCCTGTCATTCATTTGTCAAAACAGGAATTAAATTAAAAATAGGTTCAAAATAACCTAAAAACATCCTATTTTAATATTTTTACACGAAAAATTAAGTTTAACAATTGTAATAAATTAAATAAATATGGCTAGCAGTAGACTGGAGCGAATTGGAACGATACTTACAAGGTGAGTCTTAAAAGTTCTGAAACTACTCTTCATTTTCTAAACAAAAAAAAATCATATTCGAAATTCAAATTTAAAATTAGAACACTTGGTAAAGCGCGGGGTATTGCGTGTAGCTGTAGTCTTGTAGTTAGTTAGAAATAGTTTTTTGGCGGGAAACTATCAAGAAATATATTTTTACCCAATTAATTTTCATTATAAATAGAGAAAAATTACAAGCCTAATAATAATGTCCAATTTCAAAAAATCTGCTAAAGCTTCCAAGTTTGTTGCTGACGATATCAGTGAATTTATAAATGAATCTCAATTTCTAAAAGATTCCCCAAAAGTGAAAAAAACACAGAAACGGCAAAGAACTGCTGAGACTAACGAAGAAGAAGACATTTCTAAGTTGATTGGGCAGTATCAAGCTAGTGTTAAGAAAAAGAAGGCTGATGTTAGTGTGGAAACATGTAAAGAATCCCGACAAAAATTACTGGATGTAATGAGTCATCAATTGGACGCCAGGTAACATTTTTTAAAGTAAATCTGCATACTTTCATAACTTGCATTCTGAGCAAATAATATAATTCTTTAATTTTTGTGTATTTCAGAAAGCACAGCAGTGATAATTTGCTTAAATCCCTCTCAGAAGTTTTGTCACAGTTAGAAGCTGATTATGGTGTTATGAAAGATAATGAACAAAAATTAGAACATCTATCAGGAGCACTTATTAAGTGTATGCAACAAGCTACTAATGCTCACAAGCAGAAACTGAAAGCATTAAATGAAATACACAAGTCTTTTAAAAAAGAGTAAATATTTCTATAGTTACTGTAAATGTAAATTGTATTGAATATTTTTATGTTGACTAATTTTGTAATGTTAACAGATGTGAAGAAATGGATCATGACCACAAAGCTGAAACAGATAAATTGGCAGATGAACTAGAAGATGATATCAAGAAACTTCAACAGAAACTCATCTCTGAAACCAAACGCAATGGATGGGAAGCACTTCGGAGATCAATTTTCCATGCTATGCAAAATGACTTTTGATTGAGATTGCATAGAATTGATTTTATTTTCTTAAAGCTTATTATTTCTTTGCTTACTTCTCAGATTCATTGATTTGTGTTCATAATGATAATAATAAAATATTTTCTTAAATTATGTGATGTTTTCTCTGTAGCCCTTTTAATATTAAGTCCAGGGCCTCCGCTAAAACTCGCGCAGGTCGCGCGCTGTACTGTATCGAAAAACACCATTCCGATCGTAATGGCATTTATTTATCACATACAGATTAAGTACCCCGAGCACGAAAATATAGTAATAATGGTAATCGCTTGTTTTGTATGGAAAGTAGAACAGCGCCCCCCGCCGATTGTGTAAGGAATACGATTGCGACACTAACTACAGTTCTAGGGATTCACCAATCTGTATTGAGCCTACGTGGTGGAGTAGGTCTCCTAACATCTCGCAGTCCTTTGCTAGAATAGTAACACTTTAGTTCCTACGTCGATTATTGAATGCTGGCTGTCGTATTTTTTCAGAGTTGAAGGCCTGCTCAAAAATGGGGCGATGAAACCTGACGACAGACCGTTGTGGTACGACGTGTATCGTGCATTTCCACCTGCTGTTGAACCTAAATTTGCCAGGCCGGTACCTGAAATCAAGCCTATAAGACAAATCCTGTATCAAGAAGACGTTGTACGAGCGTAAGTATCGAGATGCCCCTGATTTCCTTTGGAATTTAAATTCAGCAGTCGTCAATAAGTTAAATTTTCTAATGATAACTACGAAAGATGGTGCAATAAAAAAGCTACCTATTATTCATATCCCGAAGATAATATGCCATGTATCTTCCCACTTAAATAATATGTTAATTAATTGATTTCAGGAAATTTCACGAAAATGGTCATGGTTTGGGCGCCGTGAATATGCTCAGTCCCTCAGAAGAAACTCATACCAAAAGACTTTTAAAGCGATATGAAAAGCTGAAGTCTGAAGGAGTAGCAGAAGATCAACTGGTAGAGAAGGCTGCGTCGGAGGTTGCTAGCGAAAGACAAGAATTTGTCAAAGCTAAACTTACGTCCCAAAACCCTGACTCGGTTACGGCGCAAGTTCTTACTGATGTAAAATTAAAAGATATATTTAATGAAAAGTAGGCTCGTCTCAATAAATTTTAGTTTTTATAATGTAGTTGTAAAAATAATAGATGCAGTAAAGATGTTAGACATATAAATTATCATTTTATTTTTTATCACTCCTTGGAAATGTCTAACGTAGCGTAGCTGCGTAGTGGTGTTCCAAAAGGTAACTGGAACCTAATTCTATGAAATTGACTCATATCCGTTTCACTTTGTCTACTGTAGATTGTCTTGCAAACATACAACATACTTGCGTGTGGGTACTAATGAGTTATCTTATCAACCTGTAGATAAGAACCCTGTGCTACAAACACTCCTACCCATTCGCTAGTGTGTCATCAAGCATCCTATAATTCACGTATTAATTATTTTGGACAGTGAAATTGTGTCAAAATGGCGTCAAGGAGACCCATCCTGTTTTATTTGGCTGCAATTCTGGGTAAGTAAGGGTCCAGACACCTACTTGCATTCTATAAAGTGGTAGTACTACCACAGGTACTACGTCGGAATACAAAGATATCATAGTCATGTCGCTACTACGTCTATGGTTTTGTTTCTTTGTATAGGCAGGTTGCCTCATTTTTCGATGTTTTACAAATCATCGTGTCTTACTATTTTAGTTGAACTCAAATTCGGGATTGCTTAAAGATACGGAAAGAGGGAATCCACATTAATTCCTACATAAGTAGATACCTACCTATATCTCGACTGTTAATCTCAAGGGAAAACGACTTCAGAGGCAAATTATTATTTATAAAGAGGTCAAGGCGCTTGGCATGAAGACCCAAATAGGTACTAATATGGGACATGGAGTTTTTTAGTGATAATTGCGTCTTCTAAAAGCATCTCGCTGAAATTCATAATATGATTTTGTTTAGAGATTTAAACTAAGGAGCTTTGGGTTCGATTCCCTATCGGACCATACCTACCTACTTAGATACATCCTTCTCTGTGACATGAATGTTTGTTGTGCAATACCTGAAATTAAATAAACAAGACGGACACGAGCGTCCTGAGTGTGCTGGGACGTGATTCCGGCAGACACCGGAATCTTTGGTCCAATCATTTGATGTTTGCATCCACAATAATATTGTTACGTATTTGCTAATTATACTGCATGTCTGCATCTAAACAAATGGCACTTACAGACATTTTCTCTTTCAGTCGTTCTCAGTACCCTCACTCAAGAAACTGAAGCCAGAAGGAGAATTCTTCGGGGTCGGCGTGTGATGACCCGCACTTATTACAGTAAGTGTTTTGCATAGTTGCTATCCTTTCAATACTAAGAAACCCAAAAGATAGACTAGACCTACTTATAGGCCACGACAGCTACGATTGCGGGATAGATTCTCGCAGGGGAAAATGTTAATGTGGTTTCTGGTACGAACAAGAACTTTAACGGTTACCTAACTGTTGCGTAGTTAGCTTATTTGGGACTTGGGATATAGACAAGTTGGACTAGCTGTAGAATTGTTAATTTATGAGTGATACTTCCTGGCCGCGCCACTTGCACGACCTAAGTAAGTAGGTATCTACTCTTTTTCTCCAATTTGCTACGTTTACTTCTTTGAATAAGTACGGTTTAAGTATTAACTTCCCCTAAATATGCCACCCTGCATCCCTACTATATTTCCCTGCAGTCTTTTTTCAATATTTTAATACTAGCTTTCCGCTCGCGGCTTCGCCTGCGTGGAATTTTGTCTGTCACAGAAAAACATTATAGTGCGCGTCCCTGTTTCAAAAACCGGTATAAAAACCATCCTATGTCCTTTCCCGGGACTCAAACTATCTCTATGTCAAATTTCATCAAAATCGGTTCAGTGGTTTAGGCAAGACAGACAGACATCGTTTCGCATTTATAAGTATACCTAGAATAGATTGTGTGGTAAAGTTACCTAACTATAATTTCAGGTGGAAATGCTGTTCCTGCATGGGCGATTAGTCTAATGGCTGGAATCGGGATGTTACTAATAGGCGGTGTCTTGTACTTGGTTATGAGGAAAATTGTCTTGTCTTCAGAGACCGGTACTCTGAACACGTATCAGCCAGCACTACAGAACGAAGAAGTTTAAAAATATATTTTAAGATTAAATAATTATTTTTATACTATTGTATTTAGCCATAAATCTACGTCTACGGCCCTCTATGATCACACCCACCGTGCTGCAATGAACGAAGTTTTACGACAATAAAAATCGAGATAATCGAACTTATTTTTCGAACTTGCAATACACTTTGAGTACCTACTTACCTACACCTACGGTACCTACCTATGTATTAATGTTAGATGGTTACCTATTTTGTGCATGTTTTACTAACAGTAAAATTGTAGGTGTTACTGTGTTAATGATTTTCAATAAAACTACTTTGTAATGTAATTCATTTTCCTTTATTTTTAGCTGTTAGATCATAATTAGAGATAGACAAAAATGTAGTCACTTAAATAGCATGTCATTAGATTTTATTATTGGGACAATGACAATTAAAAGGCTCTGGAAGTGGCCAAAGAGTGAATTAAATTAAAATTCTCTGCGGTGATATTTGTCAGGGTCGAAGTAGGAAGTGACGACGACTCGGTTGCTAAATTTACGTCCAGTCAGTGTTTGTTGCGCCTTCTGGCAATCTGCGATACTGTTGAACTCGACGAATACCTGCAAAACAGATGAATAGTTCAGTCATTTACGATTCGACCCAACTTTTATCCGAGAATAATAACTCCTGGTATATGCACAGTATAACTGGCAGATTGACAGTTTTAGTATGGGAAATATGTCCAAATGTCGAATAACTGACGATTAATTTTGAGATTAATATTTACTCTTGTTTGGTCGAATCCACCCCTAATATAATAGCCAAGAAAGAGAATTTAGATGTGAGATATTTATTATGATTGCCACTTGCCAGACATATTATTACCTTTCCACATCCAGGTACTTCAACTCCTTCAATAGGTCGAGGGATTTCTATGCTGCGCACGCAGCCATATTTGTTGCACTCCTCCCTGTAATAATAATGTGCATTGTTACAAGAAAATATTTAATGGATGATCTATTAATCATGGGCGACAGCAAAGCGAAGTCTCGCGACTATGCAAAAAAGCGCTGAAGTGTATCGAAGAAAATCTTCGGATTATCGCGATGTGTGCGGCCCAGAGATTAGAGAACAAACAGTGGGGGGAAAACTTATGCTAGTTTTTCATAACGTTTTGTTTGTATCAAGCACTGTCTAAGAATAGATTTACATTTTGATTTCAGTGCCGTGAATCGCATAAGTATAATAACATGCGTAATTTTGCCAGTGCAAAATTTAAGCCCACACAAGGTGTTTAACTATTCCATTCCGTAGATGTCTACAAAGTACAAACTCACTTGATGTCCTCGAGGATGTCCTCATACTCCTCCTCGTCGCGCAGCTCGTCGGGCGTGACCATGTTGAGCAGGCACAGCACCTCCGTGGGCGGGCCCGCGCCCGCCAGCGTCAGCCCCGCCACCTGCAGTTGCACCGGCGCCGCGCCCGTCATCGCTGCAACCACATTACACAGACCAGTCTACGAACCCTCACGTGAACAAACAATTTTGAGCACCCAAATTGATAACAATTCGAGCCTCCAACGATAAAATAAGAAAGATATCTACCTAACATACCTAGCGTTGAGTTCTTAGCCCCAATACTAGCCCGTTGCACAATAAGCTTCTTGTCGCCCAGTTGCATTCCGTTCAGCCCTGCAATTGCCTACAGCAAACGATAAGTATGAAGACATTATAGTAGAAAAATAAATGTGATCTTCGGTGATTACGCAGTGTTCCTGACTTACCTGATCAGTCATCGAAATGTCAACATATTCTGCAAATGCATACCCCTTGCTCAGACCAGTAGATGAATCTTTCACCAGATTGAAAGCTCGGAGCTGCCCAAATGACATCAGGAGTTCCTTTACCTGTTTCACACACAACATGATGAGCACACGAGAAATTTCCCTAAGTAAATAAATATTGAGTTACATATACTTTATATTGTTATGTAGATTCATACATTGTTACTCTTAATTTTGTTTGTTCCCATAGATATTTGCTAGGTATTTGCAGCAAACATATAAATGAATGTTATCTGACCTTTGTCTAGCCGCATGTTAGATTCAGATGTGAATGGAGGAGACTTGCCTTGGAGTGTCGACGTCTCATTCAAGTACAAGACGTATAGGTGAGCATGAGAGACAACAGTGACACGCGGGCCGTGAATGTGCCAAATCTAAGCTAGGGAGGGGCAGAAAGCAAACTATATCAGTGAGTTGTTTCATAAAATAGCGAGCGTGGTGCGCGCACGCTCCCCGCTACGGGTACCTGAAAATACCTGAAACGGACCAAAATATATCGCGGCTCACTGCTGACGCCACCGTAGCTGTGTCAACTGTTGAATCTCGCCCTGTAACTGTTGCGGATGCTAGAACTACCTAATGGGAACTGCCTACTCCTAACTGAATGTAAGGTTGTTTATTTGCTAAGTTTCACCTTTGTACTCCAAATTAGCAACTTTTATGTACACATCATATAGAAATCATCCAAAATCTGTGACACATTAAGTTCTATTAAATACAAAGGTGAACTTATCAATTGTTTGGTGAAGCAATATTAGAAATAAATGTATGTTACTCATGGTTAAATTAATACAATGTGGAGTCTGGGTACTGACCTGGAAAACATAATTTTGCAATCAAAACCAGTTTTATAAGGTTTTCTCAACAATACTCATTTTAAAGATGATTTTTTTTGTAATTTATCTAGTCACAAATGGACCATTCAGTAACTGTATACTGTTTCTAACTATAATATTATTTATAGTTAGTTAAAATGGTAAATTAATATCAATAATTTTAAATAGTATTTCTATATTTACAACCAATTGGTAATCAAATTGGGTATAGATAGATAGATCTACTTTTTCAGAAGATATTTTATGTGATTTAGGTAATATTTCAATATTCTGTGAAACATGGATTGGAAATTTACAAAATATCATAAATATGATTTACAATACCTAAATGTAATACATAGATATTTATGTTTCACAGGCAACATCAGTTTCAAATATAAAAATGGTGAACTTACTTGATCCTCATTGAGATAATTAGGCAGACCCCCAATAAATATTTTATGTGGAGAGTCTGGAACTACAGTACTAATAACACCAGCTGTAAAAGAATACAAAACATATTGTAAATCCTGAGAATTCTATTTATAGCTCTAATTATTTAACACAAAAAAAGTCAAAATTACCTGGCACATTGATAGCTGGATTCTCTGTTCCCGGCATGGGCTGATAATCATGAGGTCTTCGAATCTTCAAGCTCTGCCCTTTGAAGTTAATGCCATCAAAGGCCATAGCCTGTGTAGTTTCATCAATAGACCTAAATTCAAGGAATGCAAAGTTTTTGTCCAAATTTATCTGACAAGCCAAAACAGGATTGCCGGCCGCTTGAGCCAATCCAGAAAGATGCATCTGTTGGTTGAAAAACTCCATGGTTTCTTCTTCAGTCACACCGAATGGTATGTTGCCCACGTATAATCGCCTGGCTTGCCGAGTTATCGTTGAGCCAACCACAGGGACGGCCGCTTGAGGCGTATCAGCAACAATATTCGCCGGTATCTGTCCAGCCGCTTGCATGGCCTTATACTGCAATGGCGTAATGTGTTCAAAACCTGGCGGCGGGACATCCCAGTATAGAGAAGGCTTACGACGACGTGACCTTTTATTCGGAGACCTAGATCTGCTTCTTCTCTTTTCTCTGCGCTCTCTTGACCGAGATCTTGAACGCCGCCGTCCTCCCTCCCTTGAACGGGACCTGCGTCGGCGATCTGGAATAGCCAGAAAATTCTGTAACTATGGCCTATCACTTAGTTACCTCATCTAACTATCAATAAACATATATGTATCACCTTTATCTTCGCCCATTTCTATATAATTTTAATGTAAGGAATTAGTTTTGAAGAACAAATTCAAGAAAAATACTATCACACGCACTACATACACAAAATGGCGTCAATTTATCATAGACAAATGACAATATTAGTTTTTATTTTTTAAGGTTACATCAAACGAAGCAAAGGAGAAAGAAAAATGAGTAGTAAAATAGTGAAACAATGACTTTTTTTTGGATGTTGACATGTTTTTATTGATTGTGTAGGGAAAAACACACGCTTGAGACCCGGCTTTAGATGAACTCTCGACCCTGACCCACCCGATGACCCGATTTGGATAACAAAATTGAAAATGATTGATTTGAATCGATTATACGCATAATACGATTTAGTAATCTACTCGACTAAACTTTTGGTGTTCGTTCGTTAGATTTCGCCAATCGACTAAATTACTCTATGCTAGTGCGAACAACGTTTATTGTCTATGGTGCAGTGTAAAACCTCTATGAAAAAAAAACTCTCTGCTGTCAATGTCAATTCTGTCATATTGTGTGTTGTGTGGTGTCATGTCATTTTGGAGTCGTGACGAAAAGTGAAAGTTTCGAAATATTGCTAGATAGTTTCAATTATTTTTAACATAATTTTGGTGCCGCATGGATTGTTTTAATCATAAAATTTAATGTGGTCAAAACGCGTGCTGATAGGATCGAAAAATGGTAGGGTATTTACTCAAATAATTAATAATCTAGCGTACAGTATTTTTTCTGTCGTCGCTGCGTTTAAATCTTATTTTAAAATAACTTCTGTATTTAAGGCTCATCAAGAAACCAATGGGATATTAAAAAACAGAAAGGAGAATGTTTATCTTGATAAAACAGACTTGAAAACTCAGGATGAGACTAAAAAAAGTGATGCTAAAGACACGTCTACGAACAGCCGGATAATCGCACTTGTGTTTTTATCCTTATTACTGGACTTGCTGGCGTTCACAATGATTTTGCCGCTGTTGCCGTCTTTGATGGATTATTATGATAAAGAAGAAGGTCATGGAAATAGCTTATATTCGTCGCTTCTTCGAGCGGTGCAGGGTTTTCAAAGGCTGACTGGAGCTCCCGACCGCTTTGCTTCCGTTCTGTTTGGAGGCGCCTTAGGATCTTTGTACAGTTTTCTACAATTTCTAACTAGCCCTATTGTGGGAAGTTTGTCAGATGCATATGGTAGAAAGCCTATGTTGTTGATATGTTTGGTGAGTTGCCCACACAAATTTAAAAATCATTGTTGTTTAGCATTTACCATTCACAGTTGTTTTGATATAACAAGGTAAACATTAGGTATTATTTAGATAAGAATAAATTTCATTACAGTTATAGAATAACAACCACATCTGTTTCAAGTAAGTTTTATTTGTACAAGTGGTATAGAAATCCAAGGTTGAATTAACATCAAGGATCCTTCCTCAGGTTTCACTCAAACACTCAGTAATTACTAATTTAAATTGTTTACCTCGAAAACTTAGCAATTAACTTATGTATAAATAATTTACTATACCAGTTAGTCATTCAATGTTTTAATCAGCTTATTTTCTTACAATGCATCCTGTCTGAATTTTCCTGTTTAGTTCTTAAGTTTTCTGTTAAAATGTCTTTCATTCTAATATTAAATATTCATGATATTCCTTTAGATAGCCTAGTTGATGAAAATTGCATAGGATTGATTTTTTTTATCTAAGTTTCTTTTGTATTAGGTACTCTGTAACCTAATTATTAATAATTTGTGTTGTAGTTGAACAAATTAATTATTTTCTCTGAACCTCTCTAATTAATTTATGTTACAGACAGGCATAGCTTTGTCCCATGGGCTATGGAGCAGAGCAAGTACATTCAGTTTATTTGTATTGGCCCGTATAATCGGAGGTCTAAGCAAAGCCAATGTGAGTCTGAGCATGGCCATAGTCACTGATGCCTCAAATGAAAAGACCAGAGCCAGAGGAATGGTGAGAAATCTTGATTTTTTATAGTTACTTTTGACTCTCAAAAAAATAGCCACAAAACAGGCAATTTGACATTGTGATAACTCACTTAAAACATGCTAATACAATGATTTATGTTTACACATTATGTCCTGCTATTTATCAATATAATATGTATGCTTGCTTTTTAAGCAATGTGATATCTGACATATTTGGGTTATCAATTATCATGATTAGATGTTTTAGTAGGTATCATTTTGTAGTATCATCCTCTTGACATGGGCTTGTGACTAATGCATCTATTTGTCTACTTATACAAGCTATTGGAAAAATTATCATCATTACTAACAATATTTTTTCATAATAAAATCAAATTGTTTTTATTTTCAGGCTCTTATAGGTCTGGCATTCTCTGTAGGGTTCATTTTGGGCCCACTGGCCGGCGCTTGGTTCTCGAAAACAAGAGACGGGTCTTCCGGACCGTGGGGAGAGCGCCCCGCGTATTACGCCTTGGGTTTGTCCCTGGCCAATGTCGCGCTAGTCTCGTTTTGCATACCTGAGACATTATCAAAAGTAAGAAGTAAATTAGTCGCTTATCTTTCTACTTAGCTATTAGTTTTGTTTTAATTAATTTGCTTCTAATTGCTTGTTAATTTATAGTATTAATTAGATTGTATGCTTATTTGATAGACTTTATTTTTCCAGCAAAAAAGAGCACCTCTCTCATTCACACTTTCTAAAACTGTGGACTATGTATCCCCATGGCATCTATTAAAGTTTACGGCAGTCAAAAACCTATCGCAACATCAAAACAAAGTTCTGAACAAATTGGGGCTCATCTACTTCTTTTACTTGTTTCTTTATTCGGGACTCGAGTTCACCATAACATTCCTAACTCACCATACATTTGGGTATACTGCTATGCAACAAGGGAAAATGTTTTTAGTTATAGGTAAGTCCTAACTTCTCTAATATACTTAACAAGTACTTAAACTGATTAGATTTATCCCCCACTTGTTGATATTGTTAAAGTCTTCTTATCTTTTTATGGGTTTTCTTTACGTGGCGATTTCGGTTCTTTTCCGCAATATTTTTTATTTTCGCTTTGTAATGTAGGTAAGCAATGTGGGCAAATTAGTAACTTTTTGAAGAAAATCTCTATAGTTGTTATCATTATTATTTTTTAAATATAATTCTATGATGTCACTGAAGTAAATTGATATTTCCCAGGGGTCATAATGGCATTGCTGCAAGGCGGAGCGGCCCGCAGGTTGGGGGCCGCTGGCGCCGAGAAGGCAGCGCGGGCCGCTTTAGCGCTGACTCCGCCCTCTTTCCTATGCGTGGCGTTCGCGGCGCTCCCTAAGCCGCCATTGCTAGCACCTGTCACCTGGCTGTGGCTGGGGCTTGTGCTGTTCGCGATATGTAAGTAAAGGCATGATTAACGTGACCATACGTCCTGATTTGAGTGGAACAGTCCTGCCCAAAGCGGGCCGCTTTTGCGCTGACTCTGCCCTCTTTCCTGAGTGTGGCCTTCGCAGCACTCTCTAAGCCGCCACTATTAGCACCTATCACCTGGCTGTGTTTGGGTCTCGTGCTGTTCGCGATATGTAAGTAAAGACATGATTAACGTGACCAAACGTCACGCTTTGGGCGGGAGCAGTTTCGCTTTCCTAGAGCAAGACATAAAATAGGCTTGCATAAAGTCTAAAACTATAAAATATTGAAATTCAACCATCATGTAAGTTTAAATATAGTTTTCAGAGTGATTACACAAATCACAATACAATATTTTTTTAAATTATTATGACACAATTACAAGTATTTAATGGCTAAGTCACGTTCGCATAAATACATCGTTCGTCACTTGAGAAACATAATTTTCTTGTTTGCTTTTTATTGATTCGGTATTTTATATGACGCACCTGTATGAAATACTTGTTTGATAAAAGGTCTTATGGCTTCCTTATGTACCTATTTAGTTTCCTCATTATCGAAAAAGATAAACGGTGACATGTTCAATTTTGATGAATATTTATTAAACAATAATGACTCATTTATAGTCGCATCCAATTTCGATAAGATTAGCGTTTCGACGTGCAATTTTGCATGGAGTTATTTTATGTGTGAAATTGGATTTTTTTCTGAGATATAAAGATAAAACATTGTTATATGGAGATGGTATCTAGATTTGATTAGTAACGGGCCACGTGCCTTCCCAGCCCGTCTGGCCAGCGCGTGGTAAGTGTAGGCTAGTAGGTAGTTTTTATGCTTGATAGTTGGCACCACTGGCGATTGACACGACCCTGCTCCCTGGTGAGTGCAAATGCGATAGTCTTTCTACCGCTTCAGCGCTCACCAGTTGGTGCCGCTGGCAGATGACAGTGACCTTACTTAGCGCTAAAACTATAGCCCTCATTCCTTCATTTGCCTCTGGAAATTTAGAGAGGGTCGTTCTCCTGCAGTAAAGACCAAAATGGCCAGATATAGATGATTTATTGTTTTTTTAGCCACGGCATTCGCGGTATCGTGCATGACATCAATGGCGGCGGGGCAGGCGCCGGCAGAAGCGCGCGGCGCGGTGCTGGGCAGCCTGCGGTCACTTGGAGCGCTGGCCCGCGCCGCCGGACCCCTTATTGCGGCCGCAGGTACTAATAATAATCCTAAACTCTGATTTTTAATTCGACGGAATTTTGACATTTCAGAAGTGTGGCCAACATTGAAACTTTCCCACTAAGAATGGAGAGCATTTTCACAAATTAAAAAATAATACTTTCTTGAATTTAAGGTTTCACTTGAAAAACTAAGGCTTTAAAATGTACTGATCATTTCAAAATGGTTATTTGAATTTTTATCATCATATTTTTGAAGTTACAAAAAAATTGGGAAATTATTTTTATATTACTGGACTCCCTGGCCAAAAATCCATGGGTTACAAACCTTTTTTATGAAAATCCTTTTGTTAATAAAATCTTAGCTTCATAAAATAATCAATTTAATAAGATGCCAATTTTATAATCCAAGTTGATTATGATGACGATAATGATGATTGATGATCAATACATATTTTCGTTTATGATAATATGTTGTTTTACGGTACTAAAAACACGTTTTTTTCTATTTAATCTCTAAAATGTACATAATAATTAGTGTACATTGAATTCACAAAACAAACAACAGTTCATTCTTATAAGTTGTACTTTATGAAATTTCATTTCATATTATTTATTAATAATTCAAAGCAAAAAAGGCTTATTACATCTGAATTGTCAAAAAATCACAGCTGTCAGAATTCCGTCGAATTAAAAATCGGACTGTAGCACTTTTATAGGTCGCGCAAAGAAAGTTGAGGTGTTAATCGCCTCAACTCTTGTTGCATGACCTATAACATGCACAGCAAGTTCAAATATTGTTTTTCGACCTTAGTGCAAGTTTGTAAGGTTCAAAATATGAAACACAGTTATGTATAGCAAAAGAGGTTTAGTTTATAGAGGGTTATCTCTGGGACTGCTGATCTGATAGTGAAAATTATATCACGATAGATAACTAGGTACACTGTTTACGGATTACTGAGTGACAGATGGGTAGATAGATACGTAATATTATTTACAAGGTGTTCTTTAAAAAAATCATCCACCATTGCACCAGCCAGCTTATATGGATACATTCTGAAAGAAGTGTGTACTTTTCCAAAACAACGTGTTTCATTTCATTGTGGGTTTAAAATTAATTTCTCGAAATGTAAATTGTTCATCATTTAATCTTTTTTTTTTGTTTCAGTGTACTGGTGTTCGGGAGCCGCTACCACTTATACAATAGGATCAATAATTTTAATCATTCCAGCTGTGATGATCTTCAGACTGAAAACTTAATAGCAGTTTACTGCAGTACCTCTTGCCAAGCAATAATTACATTTAAGAAGTATTCCATTATTTATTGTTGTTTACAACTATTTTCTATCTTTTGTTAATTTATACGTATTTTTTAATTTTTATTGAGCAATAATATTTACATAATATTTTTAGTGTTTATCCATCTCGAATAACAGTATTAAAAATATTTTTGAAACGTCTCCTGTCGTTTTTATCTCCGAAAGGATTTATTATTTGTTAGAAAAATGTTTTTCTCCGTCATCAACCCACCTCCTGAATGGGCTACATTAAAACGTATTTCTTTAAAGTAACTTTAGCGTGCAATGGTGCAACCTTGAGTACTTACTTATTCTGTGGTGCAAGTAAAAAAAAAACTACAAACGTTGGAACTATATATATCAGTTGGTATAGACTATAGACGGTTGCTATGGCAACCGTTTGTTTTGACGTCGACTTATTTACATTTTTATTTGTTTACGGTTTACGGACAGTAAAAATGCCTCTGTTTAGCAACAAATTCTCAGCTAAAAGTATACCAGTTCGAAAACAAGACACTTCTGTGATAAAAAACGAGTTTGGGAGCGATTACGCATCGAAGGAGTTGTCGCTCGATTTGGGGCAGTTATCCCTAAAATTGGGAGATTTCGAGGTATCGTTTGAAGATGGTCAATGGATTCCAGGTAAATACGTACCCATTGGGGGAGGCCTATGTTCAGCAGTGGACGTCCTATGGCCGAGATGATGATGATGATGACGTACCCATAATTATTATTTTTTGAACCTAACTAAGCTGTATTTTGGTAGGTAATTAGGAACATGTCGGTTTTTAGCCAACGTCTTGCGTTAGTAAAGAAAATTAAATATATTTTTTTAGTATCAAGGACCAAGTTAGAACTCGCAGATATATTACATCATCATCATATTTTTTATTATTCACAGCGTCAGGAAAAGCTGGTGCAGCGCACAAAGAAAACCTGCGGTTAAAAAAGGAACTAGAGAGGCTTGAAGAGGAGAACAATATGTTGCGGCTAAAGTTTGAGATACTTTTGGACATGATGACCGACAAAACGGTAGAAGCTGAACAACACGCTGAGATACAGCGCGCACAGAGCGTAGGCTCATTAAAAACGAAGAATAAAAAACAAAAGTGGTAGTAGGTAGATATTTAGATAAGTACATAATTATTATGAAGCCAATCGATTTCGAAACGTGCGTGCGTTCACATTACTAGAACAATCTCGTAAGTGGAGAAATATAGAATGACCTAATTGTACTTCCCATATTGTAATCTCGTCCCATCTATTTTCGCTGCGGAGACGTTATTAACTATATCTTTTCAAGAGTTTGATATAAATGATACATAGGTATGAGCAGTTGTTATAGCATGATCATTCTTTATAATAAGTTATTGTAAATAAAACTAGAGTTGTAAACATTTTGACAATTTTATTTCAACAACTTAAAATTAATATCACTTATCTGTCTTGCAGATTACTTATTATTATTCACATATTATAAACAATATTACTTAGCGCAAGAAAGTAGAAAATGCGAACTAGTGTTCTCCTATATCTTACAAATTTCATTATATCTTACAGCAACTTTCCACATCCTTTTGACACTGAGACTCTTTTGTCCTGACTACACCTAAGGGTGTCTTAACCCTAGTTGGGAAGCATTTGTCCTAATAACTAGCAGTTAATCCGTGTTAAGGTTGGGACAGCGACTTCTGACGTGACCTTCCTGACGGCACAGTCCGCAGCGGCGGCCGCGGGAGGCGCTCTGACCGCGACCTCGGCCTCTGCTAGTGTTCGCGCTACCCCATTCTGTAACTAAAGAGAATATAACGTACAGCTAACTACCCCAATGCATTTTGAGATTTATATCTTTAGTTTAAGGTTCAAAATTAATTTAGAACATTTTCGTGTCTTGATTTCACTACATCTCAGGCTAATAAAGTTGTAGTCAATGATGGAAGTAAATAAAATGTAGGCAGTAATTGTTTACCTGTGCTACCGCCATCATCTGCCCATTGAAAGAAATTACAACGAGCGTTGTATTCCTTCGGACAGCCGTAAAACGGGCGGCCTTTATTCGGACCTTCTTTGTGGACCGTGACTCTGAAAGCGAAGCAAAGATGTAATTAGTCGTTTTCAATTAAAAAGGGCTGAAAGACACACAGGTTGTGAAGCGAAAATGCTTACTTTTTACATGGCACACCGCAGTTACACATAACATTATCGTCGTTCCCCTGAAAGTCGTCCCTAGAAAAGCTAGGTGTTATACCCCAGCCCCTAGTAGTGTTGTTGCTGCTAGGAGCGGCGGTGGAATTGCCCCACGAGTTACTCGACTGAGGCGGTGTGTCAAAATGCGTTTGCCCACCACCGTCAGCCGATTCGGGCGCCCATAAGAAGAAATCGCAACCGCCATTTTCTTTGCCCTTAGCGCATTTGTAAAATTTCTTTCCTGAAATGAAAAATAACGCTTTTCAGTTGATTTTGAACTTTGAGGGTATGATACAAAAGTTCAAAATCATAGGAAAATATTTTTCATTGTGACTTTTTGGGTTGTTAAGATGTAATATTTATGATCCTCACCGAAATTAGCAGTTTGCTTTCGGACAGTTAACAAGATTGCAGTTTGATTACACCCACACATCACATTGTTGTCATCTGCATTTGCGTTGCTGTTACTTCTAAGGACCGGCATCCGGGTGTTGTTCGTCGGATTTTGAACTGTATTCGCAGGAGGAGGAGGTACAAAACTCCTTGTTGGATTACTGGGTCGGTTTTGAGTTGTTCTAGCAGGCATAACGTTAACCGTGTTGCTAGTTCCTCCGAATATACTATTATTTGGTCTAGTAGGGTTGGTGGTAACCGTCTGCGGACGACTTTCAGGCACTCGTCGGACACTAGAAAGATTGATTTTGAGTAATTCTAGAAAAGACGTATCACAGCCTCCGATACAGGTAGTGTAAGGAGGCGGGTATAAGTGACTTATCGAATTATTTCTCCATTCGAATATAACTTTCTTGTAATTTGGCCCACACTGAAATAGAACATAACTTTATAAATAAGATTCCAAAAGTTACAAGCCATAAAGCTATTTAAATAAAATAGGTAAGTAGTGCTACTTACTGTGGGGCATGAGTCCGGTAAAACTTGCAATGTCTTTACAATCGACGGGAGCCACACTGCATTTTTACATTGTGGATAAGACAAGCAACCTATGTACAATTCTTCAGGGTTATTCTTTTTCTGTCTCACCACCATGTCTGTCCCGCATTTAGGACATTTCAGAACTGTAACAAAATCCATAAAACCATGGTTTTAATTACATCTAGTCAATATAAACCCAATCATAGAACATGAATCAGAAGGAATGTTATGTTTTCTTACCTGAGGGCATCTGAACAGGCAAGTTCTCAGTGCTAGGAGTGTATTCATTAGGCCTTTCGCTAAATCTTTCAGCCAACGCGCTGTCGATCTTATTCGCTTCCGCCGTCACGGTCAAATACACCTCTTTGTATTTTGCTACCTAAAATAAAAAAAGCAGGGTTCGAAAATATCCGATATTTATTATAAATATCAAAATATCGGATATTTATGATATATATCCGATATATATCAACTTTGATATATATCAATTTTGTATGAAAGCCATAGTATTATTTTATTGCATTATTCATGAATACTATTGCATATGTGTTACATAAACATGTTTTTAATGTTTTTAAAACTTAAAATCAAATAAATAAAGCAAAAACATAAAATATCTTTGAAATACGGCCAAATCACCTAAAAAAATAAAAATCTTATGTCAAAAAGTACAAATACAGTAACAAATTTTAAAAGTTGATATATATCATCAAAACATCTTGATATATATCCCTTGATATATATCCTCGAACCCTGAAAAAAAGAGTTATTCAACAACAGTGACCCTGATCTTGCAAAGAAATTTAGTGTTACTTAATTTAGTTATTGGTATTATTTAGGTATTAGGCCCGGTTTAGAAGTCCGTCTATTGCTGTCCGCGCCGCCGCTGCCGCTGTCAAATTCTACATAGAAAAAAGAGTCGCCCGACACATCTCTCTTCTCCTCTAAAAATTGGGGATTCATGGTGAAAACGGGCCTTAGTCTCCTCTGCAGAAACATAATCCTCTCTAATTTTGATTTATTCCATCCCATCCTGGCTAGACGAATTGGGGAGGCCTTATGCCCCAACAAGGAGTTTTTATGTTATCCACGAGTAGAGTGGGAATGGCCTTTATTATGAAAATGTTAGTTACCTGTTCAGCTAGCACTATCTGCGGATTCTTCCTCCCTTCGCTGATAGCCTTCAAATCGGCCTCCAACTGCGCCCGCAGGTGTGGCTTGGAGATCGTGAGCCCCATCGCGTCGTAGCCTTCTACTAAGCCCATGCCCAACAGGCCGGGAACGAAATGTATAGCGTCCGCCAGTGCCACATAAGACCTGTTCTTTATTGTTTCTATATGTTCTGCGTGGGTTGCGTCGGTTCCTGAAAGATTGAAAGGTGACAAGACAGTGGAAATTGTAAGGCGAGAATAATGTAAGACAATAAGTTCGCGAATTATGCCAGAAACCCCAGACATAACGTAGAGTGGGCGTGGTCTTTCTCAAATCACGTGACACTAAAGCACCTCGCATTCCGAAATCATAAACACAAACTATAAAAATAGTGATTTACATGTCGCAGTCAGATTGTATAATCCGCCGTTTTACATTACAGCTAGGCATTTTGCATTACAGCTCTGTTTTGTAATACGACGGATTAACGTTTAGCCGGATTGAATACGGCTGAATGAAAATCCGCCGGAATGTATTCGGCGTCAACCGTTCTTCAATACAGCTAGCCGTAATGTAAAACAGCGTGTCATTACCCGCCGCTTTGACAGTTTTTAGTTCCTATTTTCAATACCGTGGCGCTGCCGGACAAAGTGGCTATGGATTCTGGTGTTCGGCGGAATCCTACACAATATTATTAGTGTAAAAATATGAAATCATGGCTGTGGCCGGTGAAGATAATTTTATCTTAAAGAAAAATAACCCAGAAAAAATGACTAAAACTTTATAGTTTTGAGTTACCTGTTCCCTTTGATCATTTTTAATGACTAAAAAAGACTAAAGCCAAATATCTAATTAATTCTTAAAATGTTTAGAAAAGTCTAATTGTTTTGAGTTACTTTTTTTTAGATGGCTATCCCTTGTGATTTATAAATAAGTAAAAAAAATACTGAAGCCAAATATATTATTTAGTATACAGTAACGAAGGTAATAATTCTTAAAATCTGTCTTATTAAAATTTATTTTCATTAAACATTGTTTTATTTTGTAAGTATGGTCACCCTACAATCTATAGTAGTACGATGCGGCTAAACGTGGGCCGCCGTATTGAAGAACGTATCGCAATGACAATCCGCCTAAACGTTGAACCGCCGTATTACAAAACAGAGCTGTAATGTAAAATGCCTAGTGGTAATGTAAAACGGCGGATTATACAATCCGACTGCGACATATATACCAATTCCATGTTTTTCCATTAGCGCGATAAGATCAGCTTCAGTCAAGAGATTCGGCGGACTTGTGCTTCCATCTACCAAGTCTATACTGGTAGGGTTGAATGTTTCGCCTGCCTAAAAGAAAAACTAATTACTTCTCTCTAAAGACTGAGGCGACTGATGAATTATACATGACACCAGCAAAAAATTAGTGTCGCCCTAGATGTCTGACATAATAATTCATCGACATCGACGGCGTAACATGCACAAAGCAGATCAAGCGGAAAACAAATCTAGATGTTATGAGAAGAAAAGTGCAAAGATATTGCTCCACTCTTTAGTGCTTTTCAAAAATCCGATGTCGACAGTTAAATGGTGGTGATGATTTAGAAACAATAAGTAGTCTAGATTTACAGAAAGTTACCTACTCCCTGGCATGTACTCTTTTGGTGGTTTCTTTGATAGCTGGTTTCTCAGATTCCTGGCCGTGATCATGAGCCCGCTGGCCGCGAACCGCTCGCCCGCCACGTCTATGACCACCGTGGACTCTTGGCCTTGGACATCTTATGTATTCTATGACAGATGCACATTCTAGCGCTTATATTAGTTTTACTCACCTGATACACGTGTATTTCCTTAGACGACCACTTATCGTACGGGTAGACTTCCAGATAATTCCTGGCCGTGATCATGAGCCCACTGGCCGCGAAGCGCTCGCTGGCCACGTCTATAGTAACCGTGGTCTCCTGGCCTTGGGCGTCCTTGGAGCAGCACGCGAGGAACGAACGGACTATGAACTCGTAGAGGCGTTGCTCGTTGCCGGATAAACCTAAAAAGTTTTAACAACCTTTCATCAAGGACGGAATTTAGGAAAAGACAAAGACCAAAATTGTATGGAGTTTGGCCCAAATGTCCACCACTAACGAGAACTATGTAATAAAATAGTCTACTAAATACTGATTCATTATAACTAAGTAAACCGCAATCAAAAGTATCCTGTCAGTAAAAAGTTATGACTGAATGAAAAGTCATGTTTTTTACCTTTATAAGCGAAAAATGTTGTTGATATTATTCTAGAACTCATGAAATTATGAGTGGAGATATTACATTTCTACAATGGACCTAGACAGTAAAATAAAAATCCAGGTGGCCAGGTAAAGTATGTGATTGTCAACAGTAAAAATTTGGAGCCAGACATACTGAATTTTGATTAAATTACCTAATAAAAATTGACCTAGTTCAAAATTGAATGACTCATTGCACTCCCCCTAGTCCTATCCAAGGTTTTTACTACAAAATCTAAGGAAACAAAAGTAAATGTACCTAACTTGAAAATAAATCTTACTGTTAATATACTTAGTAGGGTGTATAGGCGGATGGGCCTTATCGCTCTTGTTGCCTTGACGCGGCGTGGGCCCTCCACTATCCATGATGCCCTGCGCGAACGCTCCCCACTGCGGGTCCCCAACTTGCTGTGTCACCAGTTGTCCGAGGTTCATCTCTTTCGGGAACTCATTGGTCTCTGTACGCGGGTAGCTGATCAAACCTTGGGTGTATAGTTTTTCGGCGAGACGCATGGTCTCTTTAGCGTTTATTTTTAGCTTCCTTGATGCTAGTTTTTCTAGTTCCTACAATATAAGTAAAATTTTTATGATCAAGCATGTTGAAGGTACAAACAAAAATCTTGTTATAGTGTAGGAGACAGACGCGGGGACTAGACGCGAAAACAGGCTGCGGCAGACAATTTCATATACATATTATTTTGTGTTCAAAGCTTCGCACACTTAGCGTCAGTCACGGCGTCGAAAATGTATGAAAGCAGCCTGTCGTTGCGTCTAGTCGCCGAGCTGTCGCTGTCGCGTGTCTCCTACGCTTAGACTAGGCGCAGACCACCGATTTTTAGTTGGCCGATAGTTGTGCCCGATTTTAAATTGTATGAAGAATCGGCAAAATCAAATTTGTGTAATGTGCACACTTCCATAAATGCCCATACTGATCAACTGCCCGACGAAACTATCGGCCGACGAAAAATCGATGGTCTGCGCCTAGGCTTATTCATTAGACATGAAGGGTAACTTAGTTACACTAATATTTTTTATACAATTTAGCAATTACTAATTTTAAGAATATAGTGGGGATACTTACAACTGTATCTAGAGGTAGAGGTCTCCACTTGGACTTTGGTTTAGTTTTGACATCACACACTTTAGCTTGAGGGTTCTCCAAGCAGATGTCATGTAAAACTTGACAAGCATCTCTGTCGAAGAGCCGTATTCTATCCCATGCAAAATCTACACTCAAATTATTCATTGTGTGATTCACTGTAAGTTAATAAGAAATTACATTAACCACAAAAAAAATCCAAGGTTCCACCAACTGAACTTGTACCCACTTGTCAAGATGTATGATAGTATTGAAGAAATTAACTGTTGGTGAACCAAATAAATAAAATAAAACTGATGCAGCTATATAAAATGTAGAGAATGAAAAGAGACAACTGAAAATGAATAAACATGATAGGAGAAATTTCTGTAACCACAATTCTTTTTTTTAACTTTTTGTTTTCTCTCACAGACAGTATGTAAGTCTCACCTTTAATTTTCCAGAATGGTTCTACAACAAAGTTCTCAACAGCTATGTACCTCTCAACCACAAAGCCTAGTGTTGGAAACTGACAGGAGCCATAGCTCACTAGGCTCTCTGCCAACTTACTGGGGAAGACTTTTTGAAGCCTTAGTGTCTGGAACCTTGTAAATGCAGCACCTGGAATAGTTTGTAATAGGTTTTAATTATTGTATTGACACCTGTGTATGTATATTGTCCTAAGGATGAGTGGAGAGGAGACACTGAAATGCTATAAAAAGGCAAATGATATGGTACGAAAGGCAAACTTAATAAGGAATTCTCTCACAGGCCAAAATGTCAAAAACAATGCCTTACCTATCCTTAAGTCCAGCTCTTGTCTTACATCAACTGCATCGCTGACATTCTTATTTGGTTGCTCTAGGTTATGCAAAGCTCTACGCACTGATACTGCAGTGATTTCAGAGAATTTTGCCCGGAACACCTGTATGTTCTGCTTAGCTGCTGTACAAACTTGAATTATCTCAAAACCTATATTTTCACCTTCTCTGTCACAATCTGTCCATATTATGAGACCTTGGCAGCTTTTGATTTCTCTTTCTAAAGTTCTCTGAAATATAAAAACTAGATACAATAAGATAAGAAAGACTTAGCCAAGAATAAGTACAACAAAATAGAGTTTACCTTAATTTTTTCATAATTTTCTGGACAGTATTTAAATACCGGTGCATCAAACAAAGTCAGGGGATTACAAGATTGCCAATTTTTGTATGCACCAACAAATTCTAAAGCTAGAAGATGACCTGAAACTGATGTCATCACCATTTGGCACTTTTGACCCCTAACATCCGCTTCAAATTCATAGATCTTGTTGTATTGGGAAAGCCCCTCTCGCTGAAATTGTAAAGTATTAATAGACCATATTTAGTTAGTAGTAAATTTTTAGGTTTGTTTAAATTTTACGTACCCGTCGCGAAGTTCCTCGGGATAGATGTAATGCAATGTTTTTAGCTGCATCATTTTTTTCAGCAACATTTAAATATTTCATGGTATCAGACTTTTCGCGTTTACTAATTAAAAGCTGGCTACTGTAATAATTACAAAATCGTAATCTCTCTTTTAGGTTATGCGCCGAACGCACGAAAATTTTCATGTCTTGAAGGGGAATATCCTTTGATTTGATTGTTTTGTATAACATATACTTTAAAAGTAAATTAATTTCCTTTTTGTTTACTCCATATAATGAATTTATTTCGTAAATAAAATACCGCCAAAAGAAAACAAACACAACAACTTTTTTTGCAAATGAATGACATTGACATTTTGTTTTTTCTTTTTTTTTTGTTGCGGCTTGGCCGCCTAATATTCGAGTTGAAAATTATTAATACCGAGGCCACACAGAAGAAGAAGAAGAAGAATCGCACTATCACGATGTGAATGGCTAATGGCATTTCATTTAGGTATCGGCAGGTATCGGCATGGCATGCATCTTATTCTGTGGATAAGTCATTAAAATGGATCTTTAACCAAAGCCGTGAAACTACTATTAAAAAAAAAATATTAAAATTAAAACTGTTAAAACCATATGATTGTCAAAAAAACTGGCCGTAAGGATACTTTCCGAAGCCGTTAAACCTGTTAGAAAAAAAAAAAATTGTCAAAAAATTTCGTGAACTGTGAGGGATACATTTTTATTTTGTAAAGCTTAAATTTAAATTAACTTTAAGCTTTAAATTAGAGAGTCACAGAAGAAATATGTAAAAAAGGACTCTTACGTAGATAAAGGCTTCATTTTTTAAGTATTAAGATGTTATCGAGACATTTTCTTGAGAGCAAAACATTCAATTTTGCAAGAATGTGTTTCCTAGTCAAGTGTTTGAAGAGACTGAAAAGTTCACAACAATGGTTATGTCGTCAAAAAGCTGACCCCTACGTGGAAAAAGCTAAAATCTATAACTACAGGTACGTAACTTAATCACTTAACTTGTTATGGCTATAGCCATAACTATCTAGTAATTAAGATATATTTTTAAACTTCCTTATTTAAATTCATTTACTATGTTCATTTTAGATGTCGGAGTGCGTTTAAACTATTGGAAATGAACGAAAAAACCAATATTCTCACACCTGGGCTGACTGTGGTGGATCTTGGTGCTGCTCCAGGCTCATGGACCCAAGTTGCTGTACAAAAAACTAATGCTGACGGTGCTGAACCAAAAAAACCAAGAGGATCTGTGTTGGCTATTGACAAGTTACAAATATTTCCTATTGAGGTAACTACACTAACAACTATTTAATTTTATTTGTCCTTATAGATTATGTTACCAATTTAAAATTCATTTATTTGCAATTAAAATCTATTTGCAGGGAGCAACTATCTTGAGCAACATGGACTTCTCTACAATAGGTGCTCATGACAGAGTAGTAGAATTACTTGGAGGCAAGAAAGTGGATGTTGTTCTCTCAGATATGGCACCCAGTGCTACTGGGGTCAGAGAACTGGACAAAGACAGAATTATTGGACTATGCTACATGGCCATAAGATTTGCAGCATTAGTGACAAAAATTGATGGCAATTTGCTCTTTAAAGTCTGGGATGGAAAGGAAGTTCCTATATTAGAAATGGACTTAGAAAGGTTTTATAAGAGCATCAAAATACTCAAACCAAAAGCAAGTAGATCTGAGTCATCCGAAAAATTTATTTTAGCAAGAGGTTTCAAAGGGATACAAAGACCTTTGGAGAGTGGTCGGTGGGGTTAAGTTTGTTGTTTATGCATAAATAATAGACAAGGTCTTCCAGAATTACTAATAAATAATTGTGATTGCAGATTTTTATAGAAGGAAAATAGAATATGTTCTATTGTTATTGTAATCTATAGATATTTTAAGTAGGACATGCTTTATTAAGAAAATAGGAAAAGGAAAATGAGTAAAAGATTTAGATATAAAATATTACATATTTTTTATTTTGATAGCATATGTAAGCATTTTAATGTTATACTTAAAACAAGAACAATAGCATAATAATGTAGCCATTGTAACTAAAATAATATGTAAAATACATAATATCCAAATTAACAATCATTGCCATATTTCACTTGTTGAACAATAATGTAAGATTTGTACTTTAATATTTACAATAAAATATACATATTTGGCATAACATGTATGTCTCTTTAGAGTCACATTAAACAATAATATCACAACAAATAATTATGTTCACATTTTCCCAAAATTGCGTTTTAAATAATACTTTTCCTTTCTTAATTTGACAATTATTATTATGAGAAAGCATAAAGATAAAACTACAGTACTCCTGTAAACTAGCTTTTACCTACTTTTTACATAAACAATGTCAAAAATACTGATTTTCGTGTTGATGATTCAATCTGCTAATAGCCTAAGCTTGCTGAAACCTAATGAGTATTTGCTTTCCTTGATATATTTTATTAAATCATAGATTAAGTAATTAAATGATCACAGTCAAATGTTTTGTCCAGATTGTGCAATATTTATACAACCATTATAGCATCAACATGAAGCAACATGCACTTTTTTGGCTGAAATGTTAAATAACCATAATAAATTATTAAAGTAATTAAATTCTAATTAATTATAAATTCTGACAAATGACAATCAAATTGCGTGTCAAGTTCTTAATTACGACTTCATTCTAAAATAGCACAGAAAGACAAAAGATTGTGAAATGAAACTATCCATTGTTTTATTATTTAACAAAAACTTACTTTGATTGATGTACGCAAGTATTTAGATAATTGACTCTTGTTTTAAATCAAAACTTTAATTTATGTACATGTCTTCAGAGGCCGTTTCTATATTGTATAATTATTATGAAATCTCGGTTCAGTTATTGCATTGCAAATACATATCTCCAGGAGAATTATTATGTTGCATTAGTGTATAATAAAATCGTTACCAGCAGCTATCTGTTTTTCCTTCACGCTGATACTAACCGGACGGAAAATGCTTATAAATCACGAATTAGCCCTTTTAAAGGACATTGGGAACTTTAATATGAGAATATGCCCCACGGCGGACAAAGATGAAACGTATTTTATTTCAAAGCTTTATACTTGTAGATATATTCACTTAAAGCGCTATGTTGTGAGATATGGGAATTCTGAGATATGACGAGTCTAAGTTGAAAATATATTTGTCTATAATGATTTGATATTTTTACATGTTATGTTGTTTGGCATTGCAGGGTAACCAATAAAAGTAAATAAAATAATATAAATAAATAAAAAATATAAATAAAATAATATGAATAAATTAATATTAGACAACATCTCATATATTATTCCAACCCAAAATAAGTAGCTAAGGCATTTGTGTTATGGAAATCGGGAACGACGAACCACAACACACCCAAACCAGAGACAATGTGAAAAGATCGTTTTCTATAATATTGTCCCGGCCGGGAATCGAACCCGGGACCTCAGGATTGGCCTAACATACCTTGAAAACCGGTGTGTGCGCCTCTCCGCCACGGAGATCGTCAAAAATGTTACCTAAATGTAAAATAAAATAAAATATTAAAACTTCATTTTCTCAATATTCCCATATAAGAGAGAAAAAAAATGCACGGAAATTCATTGGATATTAGTATGTATCATCTGTGATAGGTTTCGTTTGTGTCCGCTACTTTTCGAAAAGTGGGGCAAAAAGTTCCCAATGTCATTTGTAAAAATAAGTAACAGCTTCATAAGTTTTCAATTTGTTCAATGAATAGATGAATAAAGGCGGTTAGCTTTCAGGACAATGAGGTTTTGGGTCTGACTATGCTTAACTATGACCTAGCGACAGCGTTGAACGTGTAGTTTGAAGTAAAGGCGATGGAGTAGCGTACTGTGTACAAAAATGTGAACAAAAACGTTGGTCAAGTGCGCGAAGTTATCAACAGCTGCATCCCCTTTGCGGCAGGTGGTGTTATTTTACTTTACATCTTATAAAGTTTTAAAATTAACGCTCGCGGAATAGTAGGCTTACTCATAAACTTATAATAAACAATTCATCCAAAAAAAGTAAAGCTACTCTTACTGTAAATTAAAGTCACGTGACCCGCAAACCGGCCCCATAAGATTTGGCCTAATCAAGATCGAAGCAGAAATTGTGTGTAACGCATTACGTATACATGAGGCACTGCCTTGTCCACACCAACATCTTTCTCAAAAGACCTCATCCGAACAGTTATAGGGGGGTGCAGTCGACCGCTTCGCCTTGACCATGAAGCATAGCGTAGCATTCAGACGAAGTGCGTTCTAGTGCCGTGTGAGAGCTTGGTGAGCTGCGCCGCAGACAGTAGGCTGGAATGCGCTGCGTGGTCCAACAGTAGCAAGCGCTCGCCACGCTCGTCGCTGCGCGTACGCCGGCACCGCCCGCCGCCCGTCTCTAGCGCGAAGCTGCTGACCGCGCAAATAGCGTAGATGAAGGTCAGCACGAATAGAGCGCAGAATAAGTCTGGAATTGAAGATAATTTCGATTAGTGACTATTATAGCATGGATCCATGGATAATTTATAATCCATGATTAAAGTGAGTGATGGGAGAAACTTAATGCATGTTCTTTTATTGTGTAGGTCGTGATAGTACAGGATTTACAGAACCATGCATCAGACAATGAGCCATAGAAGGGAATAGGTACGCACGATAAAGAATTTGAATTGAATTTCAAGGGGTAAAACGCGCACATTACCTATATTTGTTTTCGGGCAATCAGGTTGAAATACTATGCTTTATAAACTGTGTGCGTCCTGCCTGAGAATCGAATCCGGAACTTCCAAACTCGAGAGAGCCTGCCTAACTAGGTACCACTGGAACGTGTATAAGTGTCAGATTTAAAAGAGTTTGTTACCTAATTTATGTAAGTACCTAAAGTTGGATTTAATAAGTAGCATAAAATTAAGGTGTCATTTCTCAGGCCTCAAGGGCAAGATGCAACTTGAGGATACCACCGTTTTTCGGTAAGTTGACTAAACGGAAACAAGCACTCAACTTATTTAGAATACAACGAAGTTTGAGAGGGTAAACACTCACGATAAAGCTTGTGCCCGCCGAAGAGGCTCACGATGCATGGGTACCCGTCACCAACTACGATAGCCACCAGCAGCAGAACCACGCCAACACACGCCGCCATGATCCACGGCAGTACATACTCCCGCTTGTACTTCACGGCGCCGTGCAGCAAGGATATGCAGCACATCAGGTAAATTGACGTCAGGATCGTGCTCGTGTACAGAAATATCACGGTCACTGTAAATAAAAACAAGTGAATGCTAACAACGCGTTTTAAAGTGCGTTGAATGAAAGTAGGTAAAGTCATCCGCGACGAATAGGTCTATGTTGCGCGCCTCGTTTTTTGATAATGCTTTGAATGAAATTACAAACAAACGTGTATACTACGATTATTACGATTGATTGCCCCTGAAAACATTATTTTTCTCTCCATTGAGCATATCTCATGCATTATATCAATTCACTATAACAACGTCCAATTCACTAATCCATATTATTGAAGCCACTGCAGCGATTAGATAACAGATAACATACCCGATGCTAGATGTTGTGCCTTTGCAAATCTCCGTTGATTGTTAGTGCTGATCACGTCTCCCTCGTGGAACACGAGCTGTTGACCGTAGGACACTTCGAAGAAACCGCGGCTTTCAGCGTCGTCTTCCATGTCAGCATGCAGCATTGATAGCATTTCACCCACATGAGATATGCCAACTAATAATATTATGAGAACAAAAGATGACATTGCCTGAAAATATCCAATGAAACATCAGGATCGATGTAAGATTTGAACACTTGCTTTGATATGATGATGATGTTACTTACGATCTGATGGACGGCAATTAAAATTGTGCCTTGGCGTAAATTGAAAACATACAAAAAATTGTTTAGTCGAATCATCATTTCGTGTGATATCTTACATTGCTTAGTTCTTTCAACCATTTGTGTTATTTATATTGCTAGGACATTGCCAAAGGGAAATGAAAACATTGTTTGGATACCGCGAGTGACTGCGCTTGGCTCGCAACGGGCCTAGCGCGCATGATATTCAATATTGATTTTGTCTGATAGGTGCGTTACGCGCATGTCTTTACTGACGAGTTCAACAACTCAAAAGTACTTTTTAACATTAATATAAAACATTCGCCGTAAAGAAAACACAGAAAATATTTATAAATTAGTTTTATTTCACAACTTATCATATTATAATGTAATAAAATCATGACTGTACCAATCTAACCCAAACTTTTAGCTTGCATTAGTGTATTTGGATAATGATATATGAACTAAATCTATCACAAATATTATATGAAAATAATGCGTAAACTAAATTATTTACAAAAGATATTTTATCTACGCGAAATAGAAATGTACAAGAACCTTTGATTATGTGACGCGTTATAAATTGTAGCAGCTATCTAATGTGGAACTGCTTCATAATATAAAGGAGTAAAGACATGCAAAGAAAGTGCAGAATGTATGCACATAATTGAAATTTAGTGCAAGCTTCCAGAAGAAACTGTCAGTCTGGGTTTGAAAAATGTAATACTGTTAATAAAATATGGTATAATACTCGAATTAGGGATATATTATGTATCGTTACTCAAGAATTAAAATTAAAGATTCGGGTATATAGGGTTACTAAGTATAAGAAGATTATGGGATAAATATGGAGCAGTTTATAATAGCCGCGGAAGATTAATGATAGTCTAGGAAAATGCGTACGATACAATGATACTAATACGAGAATTTTGTACAACCTAGTGCAGACATTATCTACTTGTTCTTCATCATAAATCAATTTGGTACACATGTGATCTACACCAGTAAAGAGTAGTTGAAGAAAGTGGACAATCCTTATATTCAGAGACGAGATAATGAGTGTTGAAAAACAGTCGCGGTAAGGGACGGATCATACTAGATTACAGTAGTGACCGAAGCAGTTGAAAACATTTTGTGACGCATGTAATTTTTGTAAAATACGTGACAATTACACATTGATTGTTAAATGCGAAATAGGTAACCTAAGTGAATATTGTCATATATTAAAACATACACAACCATATAGAAAACGTACACAAAATGAAATATTTAAAAGTTGATTTTCTTACTAAATAACATGAAAAATATTTTTCACATTAAATATTATTTCTCAAAATAACTGATCGATTTATTACATTGGTATTAAAACTTACACACAATTTTGGTTTGTATCGAAATACTCGAAAAAGTATGACTAAGAATATAGTCAAATATTTACAAATTTTGAAATGATAAATATTACATAGTGAAACTTACTTAGCTTACAATAATGGACAATAAATCGATTTGCACAATTCACAGGCAGGCTATTATATCCAAGTTCATGTTAGTTGGATTAGTTGTACTTAAATGTTAGGTAAATACACATTATTTGTTGAAAATGGGAGCAATTTATACGTTAAAACATCTTAAAATACATTGTCCTGCCATGTAATGTCGCCTGTTCTAGCGTCGCTATACAGCCCGTGCACACTAACGTTAATATTGCTTGATATTCGGCATTTCACGTCACTTCACATGCGCCAGTGTTGATGGCACTCTCCATTTGCTTCCAGTGTTATAATAGTTTTACATCTCTAGCACTAATTAGTTACAGAACTAGGCACATAATAATAATGTTTTTCAGTACAAAGTTAATATAGATTCATACGAATTACATGGACAATAGAGGACCTAGTTGCCTTCTACAAAATATTCACATATTATATAATTAAATAACACTTATAGTCACATCATATCCTTTAAGTAACAATACCTAATTCTAATCTCTCTTCTCTATCAACTAGTCACAAATCCGTTGTCAATTACAGCCTGTTTATTGATAGGATCATTCAATTTTGGACAGTATTTTAGAAGTATATTCTATTTTACTACATAGGTTCAATAAGTGCTATATTATGTATGTATGTAGTAACGTTCATAGTTAATTAATTGGCAGTTAAAGATTTAGTGTTGTCACTTAATATTCATTGTAGAAAACATTCAATAACAATTTGAAGAGTAGCTCCAGATTTTCACTTGGTGTTATTATTGGAAAATATTAATTGTTTGTGCAGTTAATTTGGCAATTACGGGTGCATATTTACAAGGTCAAGTGAATAATGTCAAATTGTATTGCCACATCAGTGAAACATGAAACGTTTTGAGTGAAAAGTAGATTCTCGCTTTAGAAAAACAAACCCTGATTCACAAATTAAATCAAGGCAATAAGTAGCGTCCATAAGCATGCTTGAAATTGATATTATTATGGTGACTGATGTTTCTTTTAGTGATAAAATCATCCTCAGAGATTGTTTGACAGTGACAAATTACGGCATTCAATTTAGCACCGCTTCACAGACAGATTTGGGCATCTAAAAGCTAGGAACAGTAATTCACTGTCATTATCAGGATTATTGATTGTTACTTAAAAATCTCTTCATGCAATCATGATGGCTATACCAAGTCACACCGTAAAGTAATTTCATATAGATATCTATGAATGTACCATTTAACTTTCATAGATATACCGTTGAGATGCAGAAAATGTCTACCTTTAGGTTCTATTCCGTAGTGTTTACGAAATGCAGCAGGAGTTTCTTCCGGTGCAGTTGAGGCGGGTGTGGTGGGGGGTGGGTCGCGCGCGGCGGCGGGAAGGCGCGGCGGAGATGGCGTACGACTTGAGGTGGGACTTCAGAGCCGTCGGCAACGGGAGCCGCTCTAAGCCGTACACACACGTGCGAGCGACTATCGCACGGCAACACAGCTCTTGGAGACTTAGCACTGGAATGAGAATGGGTTTGAAGATATTGCTCCCTTTTACCTTTATTTTTCCATATTGAGCTTAAACTTTTGTTTTTTAAGTTATAAGACATCTTGAAATTGTGGTTTTGAGATTGCCAGCAAATTGTAAACATGTAGTATTCCTTTACTAAGAAAACATAAATTTAACAAAAAATAAAGTAAATACAGACAAGTAAACAGACAGTAAAAGATACAGACATTGACAAAAAAATGAAAACATACCTTTATTACTTCTCCATAGCCTTTCCATTCCATTACGATGTAACGCCATTCGGGACAATTCACAGAAACTTTCTCTGATATTAAAGTCACATAGGGGACTGACTTCGAAAAACGCCATGTGATTTTTTGCAGCATATAATTCAGCGTCCCTTTCCTGAACTTGTCGTTTGAAAGCAAGATGGAGTCGATTGCCGACCAATACCTTTGGCACTCCTGGTGCATGCTGAAATTATACACAACTTTTACTTCATCCACAAATTGATAAAATGATAGTTGGAATAAACAGGGTAAGGAACTCAAATACAACATTGTTAATCTGTAAATAAGATTAAATAATTTACCTGTTCAACTTCTTCTAGCCACCTGTCAATACTATCAAATGACCATTTATTGGTAATGTCATAAACCAGAAGGATGCCTTGGGCACCCCTGGAGTAGGAACGTATGATGGTGCAGAACCTGCCTTGTCCTGACGTATCCCATAGCTGCAGCTTCACCCTCTTACCGTCAAGCAGGATTGTTGTGGTTTTATATGCTAAAAAAGATTTTACATTTATAATAGGCATGTAAACTATCTAATAACATGTAATTTCATGCAAAGCTAATTAGAGACTAACACTTTTTGGTGTTAATAACATATGTATAAATAAATGTTGTTTTAATTATAATAATAATAATTGTTTTAACCTTTAACTGGTGACCTGCCCGTCTCTCAGACACCGCGTTTCGTTTTTTTAATTTATCTCCCCGCCTTTTTGTCGCTTCTCCCCGTGCGTTTTGGTACCTTCCGCGTTTGCCACACTCCTTCGCTCAGTAGGAGGCGCACGAGCTCAGGGTCTCCTGTGTTGCCTGTGTGGAGCTTTCGCCGTCTCACAGACGTCAGGTCAGTGCTAATGTGTATTTTACCTATGTGTCTGTTGTTCGTCACCTCACAGTTAGTTTACACAACTTCATAGTGTTTGAGGGACGTCACAGCGGTGGTAATGTATTGTTATTATCTTTTATAGAATGTCTCACGATAAACAAAAGAGGTCTGCCAAAAGAAGAAGGGTTCTTAGTCAGCGAGGTATAATACAGGAGCTTCTAACAGAGAACGACGACGAGTGTAGTAGTTTTGACGACGATATAGGCGATCCTGACTTCGTTTTAGAAAGTCTGCATGTTACCAAATCTGAGCAATCTGGAGATGAAATCAACACCTCCACCATTGAATAACAGTGTCCTGACGAAATAGGAGGGGTTGATGGATGAGATGGAACAAAGTGTTTCAACTATTCAACATCCTTATTGGCCTATGTATAATCATATTCTACTATAGCTTAGCTCAGTCGATATTTTTCAGGAATAAATTCTTACGTCTTAAACAGTGATTGCGACAATACTAACAAGGTAACTAGGGGCAGCTTCTTATTTATCATTGGATAGCTCTTTAGTTATACCTCAATTGAAACTCGTGGCTTATAATGACTACCCTACCCCGCGAGCTGCGTTCAGTTGGTGTTGATGAATTACCACCTAGACCGACTTCTGCCTCGTCCCAAAACCATCCTGGGGTTAAAAGAACATGTGCCATTTGTCTTAGCCATGTAATAAAATGTATTAGGTTCACTAGAACTTATTATGATAAACCTATGTGCCTAAATTGCTGCAAGCAAAATTGTGATGTCTGTAGACGTGAACGTTTCTAGTAAGTGATATTTGATGATTGTAATTTTTTTAATTTCTTATCTTAGGATAGCTTTACCTGCTGAGTTTTGTTGATTAGTATCTAAACTATCTAAAAATGATGATTAGGAAGGTCCCAAAGTGTATTTCTGGGGGCTAGTATGCCCATTTTAGGTGTCTAACTTTTTTTTAAATGAAAAGTACCTTGCTCAAATAAGAATGATTTTGTACCAAAAACTAATGTTTTTTTAAACCATGTTTTTATATTATTTGGACAACTATATAAGTTACTAAATTCTTGGCTTCAAACTTATTTTACGTCAGCCAATTTTTTTGTACATTAGTTTTTCTTTGACGTCTCTTAAACGTCACCTCACCAAATACGCACTGTTGACTTCAGGTCACCAGTTAAAGGTTAATTGCAATGACAGAATTAATTGGATAGTTGAAAAATGCTATTGAGGAATTATGTAGCAATAAATTGGGTATTATACTATCACTATAAAAGATTAAAAATGGATTGAATAGCTTGAATAAATCCAGACATATTTTAAATTATAAATTACTTAAAAGTTATCTACAGCCTTGGCCAAAAGTATTGAGCACCCATGATATTTATTTATTTTGAAGGAATTATACATGTGTCTGAATCAAAACAGTTTTTAACAGTTTTATATTGTTTATTAACAACAAAAAATTAATACTTTGTTGGACCACCCTTTGCCTTAATTACTGCAGAAGTTATTTTTGGTAAAGATTGTACTAATTTATTACAATCGTCACATGTTAAAGCGTTCCACTCTTCACGCAAGCGACGTTTNCCTTAGAACCGAAATAAAAAAGTGCGAAATTGGCAGTCAAAAACAAAAAACCACTTTTGCCGGTTAACCTACAGTTAGATATTAAAAATGAGATGTGACGGCTATGCGCATCAGTGCTGGCAATATAAATTATGATTTATACCATTGTAGCCTAAACCAGTGATTTTTAAATTCATTTGTTCTAAGCTGCCCCTGTCCAAAGCTGCCCCCCTCTCCTATAGCTTAGCTCAGTCGATATTTTTCAGGAATAAATTCTTACGTCTTAAACAGTGATTGCGACAATACTAACAAGGTAACTAGGGGCAGCTTCTTATTTATCATTGGATAGCTCTTTAGTTATACCTCAATTGAAACTCGTGGCTTATAATGACTACCCTACCCCGCGAGCTGCGTTCAGTTGGTGTTGATGAATTACCACCTAGACCGACTTCTGCCTCGTCCCAAAACCATCCTGGGGTTAAAAGAACATGTGCCATTTGTCTTAGCCATGTAATAAAATGTATTAGGTTCACTAGAACTTATTATGATAAACCTATAAAGTTTGGTATTTTAAAGCCTACTCGTAACGAGCTGTTTTGGTCTTTACTGAGAGCCATGGCTTCTTTCTGGCTGTATAGCCCTTAAGCCCAGCTTCTTGGAGTCTTCTGCGAGTTGTTCTTGCAGAAATTGGCGTATTAATTTCAGCTGATAACTCAGCAGCGAGGTCAGAAGAAGTTTTTTTATGATTTTTCAAAGACTAACAATACTACAATATCATAGCTAAACATCTCGAAACGTGTTTTATTGCACGTTGTGCCGTGAGTTTATGTTTCAAAACCTGTCAAAGAAAGGTTTTTATCAAATATCTTTGAGTATCTTTTATAGTTATCATGTATAAGCAGTATTTAGGGGGTGCTCAATACTTTTGGCCAAGGCTGTAGTTATTTGTTTTTCTTCCAACTGATATAGACTTACCACTTCCACTGCAAAATGGTGAATCAGCTGAGCCATCTTCTAAGTCTTGCAAGATTTCTTGTTTGCCAACATCAGAGTCTCCAACTAGCAACACTTTCAAGAGGTAGTCATAAGACTTTGGGGCTGCCGGGGGTCGACCTGTAATGAGTTTGATTTACTTGAAAAACCTATCCTCACTTGCTAAACTTGTTCATGAAATATGTTCTGTAATAAATAAGTACTACTACAAAGAGCAGTCGCCAAGGAAGTACAGAGATTTATGGTGTATTGATTGTCAAAAGTTTACCTGTTCTTTGATGGTGCGACCGGGGTAGGGTCGTGCTGCCGTTCTGAGCGACTTGATTTGTCGGCTGTTGAGGTGCTGCGCCCATATCAGACGAGGGAAACATAGTCATGGTGAAGTTACAGGCCTGAACTCCAGGTGGTCTTTACCACACACTATACACATAATACTGCGTAAAACTGATCTTCTTAGTCGACTAGTTCGGTTATATTTTACACAAAATAACACATCGTTACAATTCGATTGAGGACAAAAAGGCAGCTTTTCTAATTACAGTAATTCACTTTTTCTTCACTGTGCCCACCAAAATACATAGACGTTGGTATACAAGGTCGACACTTGTATCTTCATCGTAGACTTATTTCAGCGCGCTAGGAAGGTTCAAATAGGTGGAACTTATGATATTGTTACTTTATTTCGGATTTTCTAGGATAAATTACAATATCTTTCTTCACGACACAAAAACAACCCAAATAACATGGCAAGAAAAATAATGAATTACAGAATGAATGAGTGAGCAATTCCATGTTATAATCTGTGGATTCGTTTAGTACCATCGACAAATAGAGTAAGTGAATGAATGAATGTTTCTTAAAGTTAAAGCCGAGAAAAAGCGNCAGGAACTCTCCCGTCAGAATGGAAAACACAAGTAGTGTTGCCAGTGTGTAAACCGAATAAACCCCTATCTGACGCTTCTTCATATCGCCCTATAGCCTTATCATCCATCCTATTAAAACTAATAGAACATCTTATTAAAAATCGTTTAGAGTGGCATTTTGAAAGTAAAGGCTTAATATCGGATAGTCAGTACGGTTTTAGGAAAGGAAAATGCACATTGGATAGCATCAGTATTTTTATTTCTGACATCCGACTAGCATTCACTAATAATGAATCTGTACTTGCAACTTTTTTGGATATTTCCGCCGCATATGATAATGTACTTATAGACGTTTTAAAACAGAAACTTTTAGCCCTTCAGGTTTCTTGGAAATTTACAAATTTCATCCTAAATGCTTTATATGGCCGTAATATCTCTCTAACTGGTTCTGATATGATAGATACACGATCAGTTTGGAAAGGCCTGCCGCAAGGCTCTGTTCTCAGCCCACTATTATATAATGTTTATACATGTGATTTAGATTCTAGCTTATATGATAATATTAAAATTCTGCAATATGCGGATGACCTATTAATTTATACCAATAATAAATCTGTTGAAGACGCCTGCAGCTCTATTACGGCCACTCTAGATCTTCTAAAAATATGGATGGACAAAAATGGGTTGGAAATATCTGCTTCCAAAAGTGCTGCTGTTATTTTTACTAGAAAACGAGCTCCGCCACCAATCCAAGTATATTACAATAACATTACTATTCCATTAAAGACAGAACATAAATTTTTAGGTTTAGTTCTTGACTCAAAACTCACTGGCAGCTCACATTGTGAATATGTTGTAGGTAAATGTGAACGTCTTTTAAATTTACTAAGGTGTTTGGCTGGTGTATGGTGGGGTGCTCATCCCTTCTCATTAAAACTTGTATACAACGCCCTTATCAGATCAGTATTAGATTACGGAATGTTTTTATTAGAGCCCGGAAGTATTACAAGTTTCAAAAATCTAGATAAAATACAGTCAAAGGCTTTAAGAATAGTTACAGGCGCAATGAAATCCAGTCCCATAAACGCACTCCAAGTAGAGTGTTGCGACTCACCATTAAGGTTGAGACGCCAATTACTCTCAGATAAATTTTTATTCCGCATAATACAATTTGATAACCATCCACTTGTAGCTAAACTTCAAACTCTATCCGATATGATACCGAATTCAAGTTATTGGGCAAATAAAACATTACCTTGTTTAATTATTAGTTTCCGGAAATTCTCTTCATTGAGTTCTCCAACTCATCGTTCTAATTATCTTCCATTATTTAACTGTAGTCTAGAGTCTCTTTTAACTCCGCCAATTATACACTATCTCCCTATTGAAAAATCAGACAGAAATGCAGTTTATTATTTCAACTTAATTGTTGATTCAGAATTCAATGATTTCCACCATATTTACACCGATGGCTCCAAACATTCTGTTGATACCTGCACTGGCGTTGGAGTTTATCATTCACAGTACAACATTGTTCAAAAAATTAAATTACCTCCTGAATCCACCATATTCACTGGAGAATGTTTTGGACTATTTAAAGCCGTGGAATATATTACAATAACAAAACTAAAAAAATCTGTTGTCTTTACAGACTCAAAAAGTGCCTTACAAGCTCTAGAAAGGTTCCCATTTAAAACTAAAACACAATTTCCAATAATATACCAAATTAGAAGTGCTCTTTATGATTGTTTTTTGAAAGGACTTACTGTACATTTTGCTTGGATTCCCAGTCACAGAAACATCAGGGGAAATGAAATATCTGATCGGCTAGCAAATGAGGCAGTGCATTGTGGAGACTTGTTCCCCTATCTGAATTATTCTCACGACTTAGTGACGTTACCTAAACTACAATATATACAGAAATGGCAAGAAGAATGGGAGGATAGTAGTGTAACTAAAGGGAGAACATTTTTTAAAATTCAACCAACAATTCCGTTGAAGCCATGGTTCTTCAAAACTAAATTTAACAAGATGGAAACATCCATCATTACAAGAATGCGTTTAGGACATACTTGCACACGTGCTCATCTATATAAACTACGCATTATTAATGACGAAATGTGTGAGTGTGGGATAGAGGTCGAGGATCTCAATCATATTCTCTTCACTTGTCCTCGTTACAGTAACCGAAATGTCCTCCTGAACTCATTAATCTCTCTCCATATTCCGTTCCCAACCTCTATAGTATGTCTACTATACTTAAACTGTATAAATGTATATAAATGTATTATTTCATACTTAAATTTCAATAGTATTAAGATATAAACCTGTTGTTCTTGTATTTAATATTTTAGTCGTTATGTATTTAGTACTAGTAGTAGTTACCTATATCCTATGTCCTCACCTGATCCTAATTTCCTAAATTTAAATCCGTTGCCGTAAATATTTTAATCTCCCCGTTTCCCCGTTTTACTCGACTCTGGCACGGCGCATACTGCGCGGATTGCCATAAAAAAAAAAAAAAAAAAAAAAAAAAAAAAAAAAAAAAAAAAAAAAAAAAAAAAAAAAAGTTAAAGCCGTGCACAGATAAGGATTACTGTGAAGCCGTGTCTCTATTAGGCAAGTAAGCGGTGAATGCCCCTTGTTTCGCTTGATAACTCATTCAAAGCAAACAGTCGCTTTTAATTATTACAGATTTCTCTAAATTTAATTTATCCACTTAGGTTCCTAATTTTGCAATGATGGTTGTAACAACTCTATAAACGTAAGTCTAGGCTGCACGCGAGCGGGCCATTAAGGACACTCGATAGTTCTTAGACAGCCTACCTGCTACCTTTATAAAATCGTCGGTTCACCTTGTGGGTGGATGTCCAACGCTGCTCTTGGTTGAGGCCTATGTTCAGCTGTGGCCAAAATGATGATGATTAATTTGTTTCCATTGCCAGCAATGACATATAAAAACATCTTAGATTGCCAGTATGTAGGAACTAATTAATTGGGTTTAATTAAAATAAATGACACGTTGCATATCTTTTAACAAAATTTTATTTTAATATTTCAAACATAACCATATTCATACATGTATACAAGATAGTGAGTGAGTATGTTACTACATACAAAATGATATGAAATGATTATGATGAGGTAATAATTAGAGATTCCTTAATCTTCTTATAACATTATAAAGAAGGCACATTATGTAAATTAAATACATTTTTTTATATAGCTTAAATCTAGTAGGATGATTGGAATGTTAATAGTTTCCGATGCCGGGAATGGGGAATTTTCGGCTGTAGTCTTCAACTTCCTTTTTGAGTGCTTCTATCTTCGATTTGAAGTCAGCATTTCCTTCAATAGTCTTGTTAAAGTCAACAAGCTTAGGCCCTGAGATTTTCACAATCTCCTTGGCGATATTGAGAGCTCTGTCGATGTAGTCTACTACTTTATCAATATCGGCTTCTTTCATTCCTCGAGTAGTTAACGCAGGTGTACCTGAAATTAAAAGTTTTTGATATTATAATTTGTAATAGCGATCTTAACTCTGTTGTTATACCTCAGCTGCACTACTCGTGTAGTTGGTCGAAGTTAATCGAAGTAGAGAGTGTAGACACACACTTGAATTCCCACCTCGTATCGCCCGACTTCCAATCGTTGTCGGCTTTGGCGCCCGATTGATAGGTCCAAAGCATAACGAAGTGTCTGACTGACTACACTACCAGGCCTGGCTCACTCCGCGCTGTACATCCGATAATTACCTACAGCGAAGCGCCCCGCCGGCGGGTATTATATCAGTCGAGTGTCACGCGCGCGCCCGTCAGGACGCTGGCGTGCGTTGTAGTAGGTACCTAATTCTATGATCGAAGTATTATTTAAAAATGGACATAAAGAGAAATAAATATTGTGCGGCGTTCGGGTGTTTAAATTCGAAAAGAAATCTAACGGATTTATCTTTTTTTTTCGCTTCCCAAAGATGCTGAAAGGTATGTTTGCCATGTAGGTAATCAATAATTCTTAGGATAGTATAGGAACCTAACCTACCATGACTACTGCTCAGAATGCGTTCGTTCGTTTCAGCCAAATGACGCCCACTGCTGGACAAAGGCCTTTCCCAAGGTTTTCCATAATTAATGCGTACTTACCTACATACGTACCTCATTACATATAAGTAGATTAATTATTTTTTCACTAGACAGCAACCCTAACAGCGTAAGAAGAGTTCAGAGGCACGCGATAGAAAGAGACAAAATTTGTAGGTGAATAAAATTGTAGGTACGTAGTGCTGTGCGAGCTGAATTCCACTGTATCGCGTCGTAGCAAGACTCGCATTTACTTAAATCGTCTTGCGGAGTAATCCTTCTGTACCTGTACTATTACTTATTCTGTGACACTACGCAGCTAACTTTGGTTCGCGTCGAGAGGCCGCTGGTCACTGGCGCCAGGTGACGTCACGTGTGCGAATCAGGTGTGTCCACAGGATGTTGGGCTAACGATTCGAAGACGATAGTTGATAGTCCTAACTTATGAGCTATGATACTAATCACTCCCCCCCTCCCATTACATGGCATGTCCCTGAAAAATAACCCCAGATAGCCGGCGCGCCCGTGAGCCCCGCCGGCCGCAGGTCTACTAGGGCCGGGTGACGTCACGTGTGCTCACCGAGGCGGATGCCGCTGGGGTTGAGCGCGCTGCGGTCGCCGGGCACGGTGTTCTTGTTGCAGGCCACGCTGCACAGCTCCAGCACGCGCTCGGCCGGCGCGCCCGTGAGCCCCGCCGGCCGCAGGTCTACTAGGGCCGGGTGACGTCACGTGTGCTCACCGAGGCGGATGCCGCTGGGGTTGAGCGCGCTGCGGTCGCCGGGCACGGTGTTCTTGTTGCAGGCCACGCTGCACAGCTCCAGCACGCGCTCGGCCGGCGCGCCCGTGAGCCCCGCCGGCCGCAGGTCTACTAGGGCCGGGTGACGTCACGTGTGCTCACCGAGGCGGATGCCGCTGGGGTTGAGCGCGCTGCGGTCGCCGGGCACGGTGTTCTTGTTGCAGGCCACGCTGCACAGCTCCAGCACGCGCTCGGCCGGCGCGCCCGTGAGCCCCGCCGGCCGCAGGTCTACTAGGGCCGGGTGACGTCACGTGTGCTCACCGAGGCGGATGCCGCTGGGGTTGAGCGCGCTGCGGTCGCCGGGCACGGTGTTCTTGTTGCAGGCCACGNCTACTGGTTCAAATTGAATGAAATTTTAAATATACCGTGTCTTTACAATGCCTGCATAGCTAATGAAAATTCAGCCTTCTAGTTTTATCCACAACGAAGTTACAGGCGGTCGAAAATGGCCTGAATTGCTTCGAGAAAAGGATGGTACGGCCGTGCCGCTTTTTTGCTCGACTTGGTGGACAGATAAAATAAGATGAACCAAAAATATTAGGCATAAATTAATACATAATTATTTATAAAAGTATATAATTTATTTGCTTCATAATTAAATTAAAAACAATTCAGGCAGGATTTAAGGTTTTTTTGTCAACATCTTCATCTCCTTGTGGTATAAGTGCAAACATATAAACAGGATATATTCCACTAGGGAAATTAGTTTGTTTACATTGTTTGATTCTTTTAAGATTTGCACATTTAAATATTTTTAAATACTGCTTAAGTGAGCGTGTTATAGATGAATCTGCATCATCTTTTTCTACTTTTCCTGATGATGTGACATTTTCCTTTATTATTATAACACCATTATGTGCAAGAGAGTCTCTGTAATAATAAAAAAGTCAATATAAAAATATCAATTTAAAAAAGTACAGACCTACTTACATACCTACTACACAGAGTGACTGGAACTAGACCCGCCATAGCAAATTCCCATGTAGAGGAAGTCGTTTGTCATTGGACCTTCCTTTACCCAGCTAACGTTATAGTTTAAGAAATAGATAGAGAACTAAAATAGAGTGGAATAAATAATTATAAAAATACATATTCACAACTGAACTAAAACTGAAAAAAAAAGAATGGTCCAATAATTCACAAACAACCTCCTCTACATGGGAATTGCTATGGAGGGTCTTTTTCCAGTCACTGTACCTATGTTATGGATAGTTTATCTGACATAACTCAGTTTTCACAATTTTAAATGAGAACAAGTATGCAAATAACATATTCATCTTATTAACTCTACATACATACAGTTACTGAACTTGAGCTTATTGTTTAAAAATTAAATATTAACCTGCATCGTATAAGATAAGTTGTTAAATCTTCATCAGTCAGATATCCTAGGACCCATTGGTTCCAAATGATATCATATTTCCGTTCTGGCCTGAATTCTTGTAATCCAACTCTATAGATAGTACCAATTTTGGATTTTTTATCGATACCTACAAATTCTTCAATAGAATTTATAAACTTTTCATCAGGTTCGACAATATCAACTGACTGAAAATTAGGTATCAGTAAATGTTTTGTTATTCTGCCAATGCCCGCACCACAATCTACAGCCACATTTGTACCTGGTGCATTCTCAAATGACAACAATGAATTCAGAAACAATTGTGATCCATTTATATCCACGTCTGATATAAAACCAAAACCACCAAGCACACCATCCACGGTAGGGGGAATGTCAGCCCAATATTCCAAAGCTTTGTCGTAATTAATATCATATTTATTGCTACTCATTACTCAAAAATATTTGTTGATTTGATAATGTTACTCTTTTATTTATCTTCGTTTAATTTTGTAGGTAGTTTAATTTATGTTTAAGTTATATGGTTTCGCAGAATGACGTCTCCGCGCCGCGGTCACAGATGAGACAGCCGCGGTCAAGCATGTTGTGACAGAAGTAGCTGTCAGGGTGAAGAAACTTCCATACAACGGTCATCGAAGTGAAACTTGCTTCCAAACAGCGACATCGGTGAATAAATTCAAATACTTTTTAACTACCCTAAAACGCTCTAGATGTCGCTGCTCCTGTTTCCTTCATATTTTCATTTTTTTCTTAATTAAAATATATTTGAGAATATTGTTAATTACAATGTGAAAACTTTTTTTAAATGAAATTGATTTGTTTTAATTTAAAACTGAANAGGGCCAGGTGCACGTCGGTGCCGCCGGTCGCGATGGCGTAACCACGTGACATCAGCCCCTGGCACAGACGCTGGGCGTTCTTGATCACCTGTTGAGGAAAGTTGACAGTTTTTTTCAAGTAGTCAAGGTCATTATTCTTATCATAATAGAGTCCACGGATTCCCTAAAGGTAGCCTTTAGCTTTGGTCTTGTGCCACCAACGCCGCGTCACTAACTCGCTTCGAAAGGCGACCTTTAAGACCAAAGCTAAAGACGCTTCGTCTGTGACGCTTAGTTCGAAAGTCTACCTTAAGTGGGGGGCGCGCCCCTCAGGAGAGGTGCAAAGACCTTTAAACGTGGCGCGGAGAATGCATTCCAGACTGCTCGATACAACCAAGAAACAATGTGGACTGGTGGATAGGGGGCGCGGAATTTTTTTATGGTCTCAAATAAGTTAAGGAACCCCTGAATTAGACGACTGCGAGCTAACAAAAGAACCAGATTAATTCCAAAATAATTTTATGGAGTATTATTAACTATGAGTAGTCTGTAAAACGACCCCTATTACAACTGCACAGGAAATCACTGTGCGTGTATATCTTTACCTGCTTCTGGTATTCCACGAACTCAGGCGACGTGGCCTGCTTCATAGCTGTAGCGATAGCAGCAATAGCGTGGTTGTGGGGCCCGCCCTGCAGCCCAGGGAAGACCGCCTGGTTGATTTTGCTCTCGAAGTCGTACAACACTTGGGTGCCGTTGGGCTTGGTGGAGCGCACGCCTTTGCGGAAGAAGATGACGCCGGCGCGCGGGCCGCGGAGCGTTTTGTGGGTCGTTGTAGTCACTATATCACAGTATTCGAACGGGCTGGGGATTACTCCTGAAAATAAAAAAATAATCATTGTAGAGCTCATATTATGTCGTTTTGTCGCTCTGGTATATCTATACCATCTGGTATGGAAAGGGTTTATCAATAGATCAGTTTAGTTCTTCTAATTAAATTAGTAGGCCTAGGTACTTTACTGATTGTAAGTAGTAACTGTGGTAGTAAGAAGAAATGTAGGTAAATAAATCGAAATGTTTTTGGATAACATTGTAGGAAATGTTGTCACTTAGTAACTAAGTATGTTTGTGAATTCTTGCGCAATGTTTAAAAATATTCTATGATAGCTCTAAAGATGTTGTAATTGCTGTATAAGGTTAACAGTGATAAATTAAATCGGGTAGGTATGTCATTATATCACAATAATAAGAGATAAAAGTTCGTTAGCGTCGATACATTATACTGCATCATACGTACTATGAAGAAGGGGCATAGCCCTCTTTTCTTAAGAAACTTATAAACGATACAGATAACTTCGAAATTGTCTTTTTTTGTATGTTATTTCGCTCTATAGCCATTTCGATATCATTAAGCCTAAGCGCAGACCACCAAATTTTAGTTGGCCGATAGTTAGGTCGGGCAGTTGATCAGTATGGATGGAGATGTATGAAATTGCGCAGATTACACCGATTTAGTAGCGTCCGAATCTTCATACAAATTAGTATCGGGCCCATCGGCCAACTAAAAGTCGGTGGTCTGCGCTTAGGCTGACAAGATTAGAAGTTACTTATATGTAGGTTTCCAATTAGTTAATACCTGCAGCAACAAGTCCCGATACATGAGCCATATCAGCCATGAGGTAGGCTCCGTTCTCGTCGGCGATCTGCCTAAACCTCTTGTAGTCCAGGCATCTGGAGTAGCAGCTCATCCCCGCGATAATTAGCTTGGGCTTAAACAGCTTGGCTGTCTCTGCTAGCTTGTCGTAGTCTATCAGCCCAGTTGTAGGATCAACCTAGAAAGATTTTATTGTATAAAGCATTTTGAATAAGAATAAGAACAAATTTTATTACTGTATAATGTTTGATATTGGTGTAGGTACACAACATGTGACCGAAATAGATAACGTGACATGCAAGGTCAAATAAATGATAGCCAATTGAGCATATTGGATAGGTACCTACTCTGATACAACATCAGTTAGTAACTATAAATTAGCTTTCTTACTGATAACAATTCAACACATTATACCTACCAAGAAAATAATTAATTTATTTTAGCAATGCTTTTCCTCAGAAACTAATTAAAGAATGACCTTGTTTAGTAGTCTAAACAATAATTTATTACTTTCATTCAATTAAACTCAAATTCAAGATAAAAATTCTTGTATCAAGTAAACAGGTAAAATAAATTATTCTGAAAATGCGTTTTTCTTCAGAAAATAAACAAAACAATGTCCTTGTTTTGTAATCTAAGCAATAACATTTATTACCAAGTCAATATTTAATATCAAAACAAGTTATTAATATTATTTGTATAACAGATAAGCCATCTAGCCTTCACTTTGGCGTCATTATTATCCAATTAACCAATTAATATACCAACAATAATTACGTCAGAAGAGGGTACGTTTAGATAAGATAACCAGAGAAGGTAGTGTAATAGTTGTTTTCTTTTACTTGACCACGTGATGTAATTTTTTTGCAGTATTATCTTCAAACTGATTAGATAATAATTTAACTAATTTTTAACATAGTAAAATAAAAAAATATTTATTAAATCAGTCAATTTTTTTATGTGAAAGGAGGCAAATAATATTTGTAATTAATCATTAGCTAAGTAAGTAATAGTCATTTTTCTTAAGACAATGTTATCTGGCAATAAGTCATTGGCATTATTTTCTTCTAGAGACTACATACTCACTTTATAGGGCATGCTCTCGAAGAAGATAGATGTGGCAGATATTTTCTTAGTTGCTGTGAAGAAGCCATGGGTCAAGTGACCGCCGTCAGGCAGGTCCAGGCCCATGATCCTGCCATGGGGCTCAACCACACCAGTGTACACGGCAAAATTGGCTGGGGACCCTGTAAAAGAAATAGATTTATTTATTTTATCAACCTAAGTTCCAGTTATATTTTCGAAAGGAACTAGCAAAGGTATTTTTAAAACATAATATTTTTTATCAATAACAAAAAAATAATTAAAAGAATGTTAGGAGAGACTACTGAATTGTTTTTAATTCAGTTTAGTATTTTTTTATATTTTTGGAAAGTTTTCAACATTATTAAATTACAAATTATTAATAAGATACATACCAGAGTAGGGTTGTACGTTGACACCCCAGTCCTTGTCACTCAACTTGTAGGCCTCCAAGGACCTCTTTTGTGCTAAAATTTCTACTTCATCAATAAATTCATTGCCACCATAGTATCTGTAACAAACAGAAAAACATTTTTAATTTACAATGCTATCACTGTGTAAAAAGATACTGGACTTGTTTAACAGATAAAAAAGCTTTGTTATCATAACCACTGGATAAACTTCATTGTTCTTAAGTGTTTGTAAAACATGAACGGGCTATCAGTTGTCCGTGTGAACAAACATCTTAATGAATGCTTGTACCTTCCTTGAATTTATTTTTATGAACAGGAAGCTGCTATAAAAAAGGCATTCTCTAGATAGATACTGAGATTAGTATTCTTATGGTTTTTAATAGTGTTAAAGTTTTATGTTACATTATTTCTTAATGTGCTCACAAAAACAAAGTACCCTCCATAGATACACAGAAAGCTAAATTAAGTTTTTAAGTATAAACTAGCGGCCGCCCGCGACTTCGTACGCGTGGATCTCGTTTTACCCCCCCTTCATCTATCTTACGCGGTTCAGATTTTTTCATACAAATGTTTTTTCCCGTTAACTCCCGTTCCAGTGGGAATTTTGCAATATCCTGTTGTAAATAAGCTTTAAGTTTACTAAGGTACCTGCATGCTAAAAGACAATGCCGGAAATTGGCGTCTTTTTTTTTCGCGCGGCCATCGACCAAACTTTGTTTTTTGATTACGAAATAGTGTAATAAATCAAACTTACTATGACATGTATATCTCTAAACTCAGTCTGAACTGAGTTACGAGCATTAAAAGTTTGATGATTTTCATACTAGATTTGCTTTTTGCGCGCAAAGTTTTGTAAGAAATTGCAACAAACTAGTGAGATTGTATGTGTAAACAAACAATACCATCCATTAAAGGCTCCAGACATCAGTATGGAGCAGAATCAGCGCAATAAAAAAATAGCGCAATATTTTGTTGCAATTTCTTACAAAACTTGCGCACAAAAAGCAAATCTAGTATGAAAATCATCAAACTTCTAATGCTCGTAACTCAGTTCAGACTGAGTTTAGAGGTATACATGCCATAGTAAGTTTGGTTTATTACACTATTTTGTAATCAAAAAACAAAGTTTGAACGATGGCCGCGCGAAAAAAAAAAGACGCCACTTTCCATACAAAATCTGGCATTGCCATTTCAAGCGTCTAACTTAAGCGGTTTAGATTTTTCATACAAATGTTTTTTCCCGCTAACTCCCGTTCCCGTGGGAATTTTGCAATATCCTGTTGTAAATAAGCTTTAAGTTTACTAAGGTACCTGCATGCCAAATTTCAAGCGTCTAACTTAAGCGGTTTAGATTTTTCATACAAAAGGATTTTCCCGCTGATTCCCGTTCCCGTGGGAATTCCTAAGTATCCTATAACCTGCCCAGGAGTATGAAGAATAATTGTACCAAGTTTCGTTAAAATCCGTCGAGTAGTTTTTGTTTCTATAAGGAACATACAGACAGACAGACAGACAGACAGACAGACAGACAGACAGACAGACAGACAGACAAAAATTTTACTGATTGCATTTTTGGCATCAGTATCGATCACTAATCACCCCCTGATAGTTATTTTGGAAATATATTTCATGTACAGAATTGACCTCTCTACAGATTTATTATAAGTATAGAAGATTGTGGCACTTTATTTCTCATTATACAACAAATCTACTCACCTCTGGTTTGGTAGACCTTCTGAATACTTATTGTGAAGGCATGAGCTCAAACATTGAAGTACTGGAACTGAAGTAAAGTTTTCTGAAGCTATCATTTCAAGGCCGGCTTCCTGGCGATGCTTCTCATTTTTTATAATATCAAATAGCTCAGGATCAGTCTCCCACAGGTTGCCAGTCAGAAGCTTGCTTGCCATTGTGTAGTAGGAACTATGAAAGGATCTCACTGAATGATTTAACTGTAATAAGTGTAATATTAAATTAAAATATTTTTGCTTCGATTTATGTCTCCCAACTGTAAAGCGCTCTTTCCAACTGAACAAGTGTATACGACTTTATTATAAAAGTTCACAGTTATTTGACCCGCACTGATAATCTTGATTATAACGCAATAACAAATAAAACTTATTCCATTTTGTTTTGATGCAATGGCCAATGGAACTTTATACAATTTCGTATCAACTGATCAACATAATTACTTACTTAAAATTTGTAATATTTTTGATAGTAAACTTGCTAATATGAACCAAAAAAATTAAATAAAAACAAAAAGTTATTCGTGCGACATAACCTAACTTTACTAAAGTTAACGTGCCGAGCCAATAAATAAACGCGCGGTTAGTTAACGAAAGAGGTAAAAGTCAAAATTGGTTACATACCATAAAGTTCAATTTTGTATGGCCTTTTCTGTCCATGATTTGATGATGATTTACTAACTTTAGACGATTGCATCTTCTAATGACGTCAGAGAAAATATTATAAATAGGTTTGGTATTCATGTTTTACAGCACAATACAAATCACAAAGCCACACAGTAAAATAATACTTATTTAGTTAAGTTTCTTCATAAGTTTATCACTCATGATAACCCATTCTGAACTTTACAATCAGCCGCGTAATTTTGATTGATCTGACGGCACTGACGTTAAACGTCAAGACATTTTTTCGGTCTATTGACAAAAAAGCAAAGGCGTATGGTCAATTTAGCCAGACTATAAAAAGAAAATTAACAAGGCACTTCTTTTGTGTGGTGGCGTCTGAACTCCAAACCCAGCAGTGCACAAGTGACTACAAAATTATTATGGTTGTTAGTAATCGTATCGTACCTACATAACGACTGTAGCACAAATGCAAAGTAAACATTCCGGTCTCATTTCATTAGTGTACCAAGATTTTGTGTGGAAATGTTGTGATAATGCTCTTTTGTTACCCGGATTCAACAATCAGAGCCATAGTACAATTTTGTAGACTTGTTAATGATGGCTTAGGCCTATAGGTAGGATCCCGGCGGACAATCTATGCTTGTTTTATTAATTTTGCAGCTACAGCGGGCCGGGAGATCCTGCGATACCAGGGATACGAGGAAAAGATGCTGGAGGGCTCACCTACACCCTCCATGCTCTTCCATAAGGGCCTCGGCCGCCAGGCTTGGGGATGTCCGGCGGCCATCTTGCGAGTCCCTTGGCGGCGGCGTACTTACACGTGTCCCGTGCGTCGCTAGCAGATTACCCGAGAAGGTGGACCATTACCCTCGAGCTCAGGTGGCCTAGGACTAGGACGGAGTTGCTGACGAATGTCCAACAGTAGGAAAATAACTCGCTCGGAAGGAAAATAACTTTTTTATTTTTTTATTTATTTAACAACTAAAAGACAGTTACAGTGGGACAATTACATTTAGATAGCCTTGGATTACATTTAGGTTGGTGGAATGTTTCATGCATTTCGCGACGTAAAAAAGGCCTAAGCTGGACTTTACGAGTATTGAGGGCATTGACTCCAACCATCTTCATGTTAGAAAGCTTCTAATAAGTTAGTTCAAGTCAGATGCATTCTGAAAACTACGAAAACGTTGCTTAACTTCAAATGTATATTTTTATGTTATTCCAGGTTAGTCACCAGCATGAGCTTCGTCCTGATACTAATTTATAAAGTTTAGCGCTGAACACATGCAACGCTGCCAGTGCGGCCGGAAATAGATTTTCTGTCGTATTTGTTTACGTTAGCCAATGTTGAGGTACAGTCGACATATAAATTCCTATTTGTTTCCTCGCTAGGTTGTACTTAGTAGGTACCTAGTATGCCACATTATATCTACAGGGTGATTATTTAATACCTAATTACAACAATTGAAGTTACTCTTATACATATTTACAACATATTACACATATTACAACAATCTATTACAGTTACTTTACTAGAATTTGAAAATTAATTTAACTGTCAACTGCTGCAGCGTGTTGTAGTAACTTTATTAAGTAGATACGAGTAATAAATAATGGAGTTATTTATTGCTCTTGTACTTACCGGTTAAATGAGAGGAAAATAATAGGGGAAGCCAATTAATAAGTCGATATTATACGACTACTTGTGTATGTACAGCACAGTCCCATAATGGAAAATCAATTGTCTAGTGTCGCGCGTACCAATTTTATTTATTTTATTTTTATTTTACAAGGAAAACAATACAGTGTTGAAACTATGTAGACTAACATTTTAGAAAACTTATAACCATTAACACGTTTTCACATTTAGAGCCTGAGTAATGCTTGTTTATCAATAAAAAAATAGAAAAGAAGTTACCAAGCCAGAGTTACCTACTACTAATTAAATTAAAGCTTAATACAAAAAAAAAGCACCTTTCAAGAATGCACATCAAACCAGTCTTGCCAAAAGAAATAAGATCTTTATGATTAGGTATTAAATATTTTTGTATAAATATATCTTTAAATCAAGATACATAACAACAGAGTAAGAGGCGACTTAGGGACTACACATCAAACAGAGAATGGGCAGCAGCGCTCTCTGAAAAACATCAATCTTTTAAACTGCGATCTCCAACCCGCCTGCCAAGCGTGGAGATTATGGCAAAACCCTCCACTATAGTGGAGGAGGCTCATAGTCCAGCAGTGGACTGTAAAGGGCTGTTGATGATGATGATGATGACATAACAACAGACATGTGTCACTTATTTGTGCATTACTGTAATAGTTACTGTGTATTTGAACTGCGGGAGACGAAGATAAATGGCAAGGCTAAAGCGATACGTGATTCGCCTTGCTTGCGCCTCCAATTTGTCACTGTCTGGATGATGACGACTAGTTGCCGATATATTTATTTATCTCGAAATAACTACACGATATAATAATGATAAATGTTATGCCGATATAATGGAAATCTACTTTTAAAAACATCAAGATAAAAACAAATAAAATAGATTTTTCTGGCAATCTATGACTCAGCTGAGAAAAATAATTCAGTTCTTCTAGCTAATTAATATTAAACACCCTTTATCTTAGCTCATTGCTATTGTACGTATTTATGTTACGATTTGTTCGGTAAGTGTATGTATTTCCTTCTTTCAGTTTATCAGCTACGATTTCTAAGATTTTTCTTGTCTGAGAACTTTCGTAGAATGCAACTGGGTATAATTCAGTTTATCCTTGTGTCATGGTTATTATGGTAAGTACTTTCTCATTCAACTCATGACTAGCAATAGTTAGCAGATGTTTGATTTATCGTAGCTCGCTAGCTTTGCTACGAGCCGTGGATTTATCGTAGTATCGGAGCTTTCGTAGCACGCTACGGATTGCTAGGTTGTCGGTCGGATAATTGTATTTGTGGGTGTTTATCGTACCGTATTATTTATTTATTACATCAATCACAGAATATACCTAAGATCATATTTTACTGTAGTAATTTAACTTACTCGTAAGCCGAACTAAATAGGGTTCATTCGAGTATCTATAGCTTAGTAATAAATTACTTATTAGGCTTTTAAGATTATAATGTCTTCGTAAATTATTAATAGGGATAAATTGATGTTTTGATTACTCGTTCTTATTAGCTTTAGAATTGCAATAAACTACTAATCCTTTAATTTATCTTTATAGCTAATTTCTTTTTCGTTTTCTAATAGGCAACCACCGACTTTATCGAGTGATGAGACGGCCCTTAGTCTTGGAAGATTTCTACGGATTATTTGGTTTGACGTATTCTTATCTCGTAATCAGATACATATTAAAATTATCTATTTGTTAATAATATTGAGCATTGAATATTCGGCTCAGGTGCAGGGCTAATCTCTTTTGGATTGGAGTACCTGACGTATGCGCGCAATAAATAACGCATTATCTCGCGGCCGAGTGGCGCCGCCAGCGATCGCTACGTGATTGATTTCTTTATGAGCTCACCGCGTTTGTGAAAGTAAAATGTTCGAAATATGTTTACAAACCCATTCGGAAAGGATTGAAATATGATATGGGCATTTGTGACGAGATATCAATGTGAAAGATTTAGGTACAAAGTGAATTATGATACCTACGAGTTTGGTTGATTCAAAGGATAACCGTTCAAGACATCATTTGGTATGGTGTCTAATACATAAACAACTCTGTAAAAAGACCCATTTGATTTGACCCATTCTAATTAAATTTGTTGCAGGATTTAAAAAAGTGGTAAAATTGAAAGGATAGATAAAATATAAAAACACATGAATATCGGAAAACAAGACCACAATAATATCAAGACCTTACATAGCAGACTAGATAATATGAATAATGAAGTTAGGCAAATAAGACATGGATATTCCTTTTACTAATTTATTTGGTGAAAAAATAAATTGTCTTCCTCATAAAATATTCCATTGCTGTAAATGAAACCTAAGAAACTCACAGCGACAAAACGAAGTAAATTCCACAAAGAAAAGTTGGGTGGCACAGTGACCGTCCACCGCAATTAGCTTGATGTCCAACTTTGATACCAACCTTGAGGATTGTTCTTTGTCTTCCCGCCTATCGATTCCCGGTCCCTTGACTTAATGATGGAAATCACACTTTCCCCCCCCAATTCTCTTAATTTAAAACTCACTTTAACGTTTTTTATTAACTTATTCTCTTTTATTCTTTTATTTAACCGACGCGACGTCTCTAGGAAAATATCAACTAATACTTTATCTTTACACGGCACGAATTCATTTATGCATTTTTATATGAAGGTAGGTATGTAATCGTTTAATCAATGAAGATATGGTATGATAGGAGCTAAAGCGCCACATTTGTTTTTTTTTTTATGTCTGCGTCAATTCAAATGGATTGAAGGAAAAATGTATAAAGACGGCGAATTTTTCAGTATTGCATGTAATTATGACTTGAGAAAACATTGATTTAACAAGTTCCACAGATGTGAGAAGAATTCGCCGAAACAAATATGTACAACGGTGGAGCAAACGAGATCAATGCGGTGAAGCGCAAAGCCAATACTAGTAATTCTGGTGGCTTTGTGCGATGCAGGGTTGCCAACCTTTAAAGAATGCACTATCCATGACATATAACGAATACCGGAAATCCGAATATAAAATAGAAACACTTTTCCTTTTCGGGATCTGTTGCTTAAAGATTGACTGTGACTTACTCGTCTCGCTCGCTACTTATAGGTACTTATTTTTACATTGCATTACACAGCAATAAAATCATTATCCTTTATTTTTCTGAATTAAATGATAATGAGTCTCATGTAGAATATGACTGTGGTCTCTATAGTGTAACGAGAAAAAGTTTGGACATAGAAAAGTCACGTATTGGTTGCTTAATTTTTCTCCCCCGAAACTAATGTTTATAAAGACCACCTTCAAGTAGACAACCTTGACTGCGTAATCTGTAACCAGAGCGACATAGTAATTGGGCAAGTTGCTGAAGAAAATTGGAACTAACAAAGACCTGAAAATAAGATTTAAGTGGCTAATTAATCTCTTTAGCTCGTCTGATGGAGATCCATCATGTCGAGACTGTCTCGTTAACGACGAGAATAAAATGTTAAACTACTTTAATCTATATTAGTTATCTTAATTACCGTACACATAAACTGATCACATTAGCAAATAACACTAAACTTTTACAAGCATAAATGTAAAAAGTTTTAATGAACCCATAATAACTCAGGGACAGTCAAACTTATCTTATATTAACTTTACTAATTGCCTGTGGCACAGATTATTGTATGGTTGGGCTTATAAAAATGTATCTTTCGCAAGTCACATTAGGGTTACCTACATTAATTTAATGGCGCCTAGGTACTATTTGCAAAGGAAAAAATCATTGTAAAATAATTGGACCGGTGCACAAGCTTAAAATTCTCACAGAATGCCTAGAAAATCTAGAATGTAGAGTCTAGATTCTAGCGTAGATGTTACACTACTTAGATAGATTTCTCTGTCGGTGTAGAAACATTATAAATTAATGTATCTTACGTCAATTAGGTAACTATTTATATTATACACAAGGGGACCTATCGACTCCAAATCAGTTTCATGACTATTCTATGATAAAGTGATCAAATTGTTTCGAGTACTCGGAGGTACTCGCAAATCTGTCATAATAAATGCGGATCAATAAAAATGTCGGTGTTTTTCTAGTGCCTCCGCGGTAATGGTGTCATAACCGCAAGCCATTTACTCCTTTCTCCGCCTTATCCAACAGGCAAATGGCTCCGAAGTATATTTCTACCGATTTCTTTCAGCTTTTACTTCCAGCTGCGTATTAAAGCCTTTCATGTTTAGTGAAAACATTTATGTATTTAATTCTAAAATGAACTTGCCTCTGTCGAAGACTAACTATTCTGCATTCAAAATTATAGGTTCCACAATGGAGTGATTAATTGCTCGCTCGGGATCGGTTATGTAGTTCAAAACAGTATCATTAATATCTCCTAAGTACATAACATAATATATCAATTTTGATAGGCTCATTTGAGCATGAACAAAATGTTACTTCATTAAATCAAATAAGTATACTTACTTATATGTAGGTATATTATGTTTTGATCAAATATAGAAGTGGATAGCTAAACAAACGTTATTTTAAATAGGCTCTACAAAGTAAAATAGAAATACCTACATTAAACTACTACATTTCGAATTAAATATTTTATTGAATTGTTTATTTTACCGGTGTTATAAGAAGTTATTGTTGACACTTACTTTTGTAGGTACTTATAAGCAGTAGGTAGGTACTTAAAGTATAAGAAAATGTAGAGCTAATAAACACCACATATTTTCAGTATTATGTAAGTAAGTAGATACTACTACAAAGAAGCGACTTAACCCTTTCGGCTATCACATACTTACATTCGATTATGTTGGACCCGATTGCCACGCCTGTGGTCGTTAGACGCTCCCTTGAGAAAAGTTTGGAGATGTTACTTGCGAAATCTCATGATACGAGTATAATCTTAAAATCATTTGAATCAGGCGATTGGTTTTCAAAATCTGAGAATGTTTGAAACTATTACGGTCTAAAAAGATTCGTGGTCCATTACTCTATCCATTACTGAGGTATTCACTATTATGAAAAGGCTACCCTGCTCCTTTTATTTGATGTAAGTAATTGTACAAAGAGGCCATAAATAATGTGAAACTATTTCTTCACACTTGACTTACTTCTTCGTTTTTGTTTACGAATAAGATAAAGGAAAATATTTTCTTTTGCGCAAGTATGAACCCTTGAACACGGTTTTTCTATACATATTCTCTTCCCGTCGACTGGACAAATAACTGTTTAGATTGAAGTTTTACCTGAACATATTGGTAGAAGATCTCCGGGGGAATTTGCTCGCTTGAACGCTTTTCTTTTGTGACAAGCGAAGTACGAGTACCTACTTGCCAGCTAGATTTACATTACTAAAGAATTTGTTATTTACTTTTATGATTAAGAATCTATTTCGAACCAATATGTCTTTTTTGGTGGATACTTAGTTATTTATAAAAAACTTATCATAAGTGGTAGGTACCTACTTAAGCTTATCTACCAATAAATATTGGTTATCAAATTGAAACAATTCACCAACAGATAGATTATTTGTTGTTAACCAGCAGTTTTTTATTTCAATATTCGGCTATTTATTACTTATTTACTTGCATAAAATAAATAGTTATTTACGTAAACCATTGCTTTTTAGGTAATACCTTTAAAAATGTAGCTTTCTGTTGAGTAACAAGATCTTCGAAGTGTTAACATAGTGCTCTACTTAAAACAAAAGACAAATAATGTTCCTTTTTAAAACTTCAACAATAAGCATCTTTGGCACTGGGCGTTAACTGGATAAAGATAAGTTAAGAAACTTGACACTTTCAGGAGGTTTGCCAAGTAGTGAAGATATAGAGACTCTTTTAGATTTACTATTATTTAATATCATCCTACGTATAAGTAAGTTACGTGTTAATAATTATGAAATAGGTACTCGTAGATAGCAAGCGTGCCAACTATTGTTTTAATGATATCAACTGAACCAATTCAAAATCAAACATCGTCCGAGTAACTACTTCTACTTACGTCACGTGGCAGGAAAGTTATCCTGCCATTCAAGAACTTTTCTGCCCCAGCGGTCACCGGTTCTTCGCGCCGTGTACGTAAGCTTACGGAATACCCAAGTTCATTTTAACTTAGTTCAATTTTGTATTTTCTTATTTTTCAGCTTTGTCTTGTGTGCAATAAAGTACAATACCACACCACACAAAACTGAAAAAGAAATGTAGATGTGTCCAAAAGTAAACATCCAATCATGTTCCAATATTTCCTGATTTTCAGAACAAAATGAATACCTTTAAGTAGGTAGTGGGAGGAGGATAAATGAGAAAAGTTTAATTCGTGTTGAATTTATTTTTTCTAGCAAAAAGATAAATGACATTTTGGTCTTTAAATACTTATATTGTTTACTTTTACTTCAATTAATTACTCAGTTACACTAATAAATACACCATACATTTTAAAATTCTTTTTAAATACAATGTTTATACACATGGCACATACATCTACCTACATTTTATTTACATACATAACCATTTTTCTTTTAAGAAAAAGCGATAAATAATTCATGCCCAACTTAGATAAATTGGTGTTTCTTAGAACTTGACCAAACACGCGAGCTTCGAATGCCCTGAACTAAGTACTAAGGTAGGACTTTATTATACTGTTTCGTCGACTTATTTTAATTTATCGTCATTTGGTATGTACGTTGCGATCGCAGTTTACACATAAATAACGTGTAAAACTTGGGTGGCTAAGGCTATTGACAAAAAGTAAGTTCTAATTTTTGACAATATAGACATTACAATTGCTTTTAGGCTACTCCTTGCGATTTTCCGTATAAAACGATAAGCCGCAAGATTACACATTGCGTAGGTACCCTCATTTCGGCCAGCATATGAGATACCATGTACTTAGTAAGAATTATACGTTCAACAGAACCTTTTGAAGACACAGATATATCGTTTTAAGTAGTACAGCTCACGCCTCTTCCATGATATATGTGGAAACACAGACACCTCTTAAGCGTGACAGCTTTATTGCTAAAACATAGGGTTGTAGAGATCAAGAGCGTAAAAGTATTATTTCAATGATTTACAACTTTACAACCCAAGTTTGTTGCTAACTGAACCATTCACCTATAAAATGTAATTAGCCCTCCTTATTATGAGCAGCGAAGCTGTGCTGTGGAAGTACCTACCCTACTTCCAAAAGAAAATTCTTCCTTTTTTCCTGGTATGAGAAAGCAATTTGCAGAAACCTATTAAATATAAATCAAATCTATGTTATTAAAGGTTTTTGCCTGCTTTAATATAGCGACTATGTTATGATAATCCAATCGATCCAATAATATTGATACATTTGTACAAGTCGTACAAGGATACAATGTTTTCTTCACATTACATTTTTCTTCTGATGTTTTTAATCTACCGAGCCAAAATTATCTATCACAGTTATAGATTTTTTTATCAATTCCTAATTTTTGGCAATAATACGGTTTTATCATGGTAAACGTACGTTTACTACTTATTTAAATTGTAAAGTTTGAGTATACTTTACATATCTACATCACATACATTGATAGTAATTTACAAACTCTAACATTCGATGTTACTTACCAAGATTAGACATTTACTACGCATTATAAGTCGAGACAAATAATTCTGTAAAACAAGTGATCGCTTATAGTTCATATAACAATGTAAGACCCTGAAACTTGCTTGAATGATATTACGAAACATAGTTGACTGTCAGTCAATATTAAATCTCTACAAAATACCTACATGCCACAATTGCCACACTTCAAAGCACAAAATAGAAACAGCAATAATGAAATATTCAATAAATAAAAAACTTAATAGATTATTTATAAAAAAAACTTGATACATTTATCATATGACATTCTTACATACTAAGTAAAAACGTCTTCGATATTTTTACCCCGTCTTTAGTCATACGTAGTAGAGAAGGAGCATCTAACATGCTATTCTAGATGGATTCGAATTTCTTTCTTCTTTATAATGTGCAGGACTGCTGAGTGAAGAACCACTTTACTTACTGTAAGTTAATGTTATGTTTATAAAAATTCATATTTCTTACCTTTGTCTTACATCGACTAACTGTATGATTTATTTAAATATTTTATTTAAGAATGATTAATATTGAAAATGCTGCGGAATTAATTAAAAATACATAAGTCCATATAGCTTAAACTTGAAACATGATCCAGAAAATGGTCGTGTAAGTATTGTTTTCTGTTTTAAATGGACCCGGTTCCATTTACATAATAGGTATTCTACGCTATCACTGAATACCTTTCAGTCGAATATACGTTTCACGTTTTGGGCGAGTTATTTTAGCTCATCACGCGTTGATATAAATCTCTTGTTTCGTTTTTACTGGGTAATCCTTAGGTAGTTTGAAACTGTCTCTTAAATATGAGAATCGGTGAAAATTGTAGTAGTACTCCTTGCCGTCTGGGGAGTATTGTGGGTAGAGTGTGTACGCTGGAAAGTCCAAGTCCGAGAGGGAGTCCGCGAGAGCGTGCTTCGCGAACTCCTCCTTGTATCGTCATGACTGCTCCCGGTACGCCTGCCTCTTTGAGCACTTCTCCTTCAAGATGTAGCAGAGCGCGATGGCTATGAGCACCGCTATCGCAATCGCCATGCTTATGCTGATCCAGATTATCTCCTCGTTGATGCCACTCGTGGATTTTCCTGGGGACAGAAGATATTCACGCTTACTAAAGCTCTCTTAACCTAAATAATATTCAAAGTTGGGGATTCTCTTGAATATTTTAACGATTACTCATTTAATAATATGTAACCGCAGGATTATGTATAAATTGTGACTCTTTCTATTCACAAATTACAATTTTAGATGACTTTATGCCTCAATCGAAATGATCAGAATGTTGACTTTATAGAGATAAATAAAATGATAGCAACCTAAATGGATAATTGTCGCTGGCACTTAAGTGTATGTTGAAAACCTACGTTAACACTTCGGAATGTAATAACTGTAACAGGATTACATGTCAGGGTAAAGGAATCGCCAAAATGTAAACAGTAAAGCCTACCCTCGTCGGCAAACAAGGTCGAGCTTCGTATACAAGATAGGATAGAAAAACCTCTTATTGCGGAGATATAACCATCAGCAAAATGTTGGGTAAGGAAAGTTGCAACTTAGCTCTAGGATAATCTTGTAATGATATTCCGAAATATGAAGGCACGAGCACGGCATAAAGATACACATTACGGCATCTTATGGAGTTGTAATAGATGCGATTTTGCAACAAACATCTACATTCTGTTATCTGTATCAGACTGGCCCATGCCTTCTATGTAGAGAACTTATATGAGAAAACGAGCGGGTTCTTAAATTCTGAAGAAGTTTCGTCGTGGGCGCTGGAAACTGAAACAGACTTAGGAATTCTAATCTTTTTGATGCGTCTGCACATTTTGTTTCATTTTTCAATCCATCTCAAACTGAGACATGCGACCGTGAAATTATTATCCGCTTCACAGAACCAAAAAGCAATTTCAATGAAGTCTAAGCTAAGCTCTCGAAAAATATGAACGCTGCAAAACCGAATGAAAGAAACGAATTGGTTCAAGTAAATAGAACAGTGGGTTTCTAGTTCATAACTGTGATAAAGCCCACTTTAGTGCGTAAGGGACGGCCATTTTATCGATGCTTTTATTGTTTGTCTTTGGAACATTGTCTTATTTTATAACGAGACATTCTTACTTTTTCAGCCCTGAGCCGCTCAGGGCTGAAAAAGTAAGAATGTCTCAGACAGAGTACGCTCAGGCTGTCTGATATATTTGTAACATTTATTGAAGTGATATTATACAGGGTGTTTGGCGGAAGGTTAGACAAACTTCTTGGGTGTATAGGTAAGGTCATTTTAAGAATACAAGTTCGCCCATTTGACCCTAAGTGAGCTACTTTTTTTTTTAATTGATATTTTTGTTTTTATTATTTTTTATACACATTACTACACTGTATAATTATCTTTATCCAACAGATAATATCGTTTTATGTCTTCTTTTGTTAAGTGCGAGAAAGGAATTTTCCGTTGAATTTTCCTCACAATATCAAACTTTGTGAATTGCATTTTCGTCATGCTCATTCAACTAGTTTAACGTACCTACTAACAGCTGGTCTGCCAATCATAACTCAGCCAAAGTTGAACAGTCCCGGGCAAATGGAATTGTCAGGAGACCCGCAGTGACGAAGTAATTAGAGGCAAATAGGAGAAGTCGGAGTTCAAAGACTTCTCCCCAGTTCGCCCATAAACGTATTCACATGGAATATTTATGAACAACGGAAAAAAAGTTATAAATTGAAGAGGAAAGAACACACACCTAAATACCCTGTGACGGAGAGGGACACACAGAAGATTCTCAGCGTCATTTACAAAGAGTTTTTAGAAAATAATTGGGCACGGCGGGTTTTTAATTACCTACTTATTTTTTATGTTGTTTTCCTTAAATTTCATGCTTACTTTTTTGGCTGTGTGTGCTGTTCAATTATATCGTTATCTGCGTATTTTTCATTTATTAAATTAACCTTCTATACCAGAACCAGGTTTTACGTCAAACGTATCTATGTACTTAATTGAAATTACAGCCGCCAGCATCTTTAGCGCAAGGATCCTTGAACAAAAATTCACAGATTAAAATGGATGGTGCCGACTAACGAGATAAGATGGAGGAGGCAAAAACTCGACGGATTACGTAGAGATATATAACAAGCCCTCAAATTGCGTGGCACACGTAATAGAATTTTTGAAACACACAAATAAACTCGGCTGTGACAAATTGACAAGGTTTACCTCGCTTTGGTGTACGTATCTACGTTACAACGGTTATAGAGTAGATCGTTATTCATTGAAAAGCCGTCTATTTGTCTCTTATTCTGAGAAATTAGGTGTTCGACCTCTGAGATCGACTTTGAGACGAGATGCAAGCAATTTACGATTCTGCGTCTATAATCTTTGAGGTCTAAAATAGTCAGTCACCCATATGTGAATGAGTATTTGAACTTGTCGTGAAAGTATTTGCTCAGATTTGTTCTGTACATGAACAAATTCCGTACTGTCGTAAGCTGAAAATCAGAGAAAATTCATGATGTGGAGTAAATAGATGGTTAATATTTTAAACACAAAACTGTGTCCTTAATATGGCACACTAAAAGGCAAAAAAAAGTACCTATTGAGACAAAATACCTACTTAATTTCTAAATTGGAGCAGTGATTGAGTGAGTGACAATTTCATGCAAGTTTCTTACTTTCAATAATGCAATTAACTTAATTTTAAGTACCTAACTCAGTGAGTTAGTAAGATGGTATAGATTTTACAACAACAAGTAGTTAGTGCGCTAAAGGCTAAAGTAAAGTCCGAACAAAGTTCCAAAAATTTATGAAAATACGAAAACGAACGAACGAAACGAGAACATGGTGGCTGAATTTTCTAACAGAATAATTTATGAAGCATGGTTATGAAGCGTTCGAATTTTAAATATTTTTTTACCCATTGAAACTTCATTGAAATAAGTTTAGAGTAGGTAAGTATATAGGTAAAGCATTAAAAGTTCCCAGACGGATCTATATTGCCTCTAAATGATTCTAGATGCAAAAACATTATTCGATTTCAGTTTTTAAAAAGTCATAAGCAAGGTATTACTACGACCCGGTATTTTTAGTAACACACCGCGTTGCATTTTGCACTATTGTTCGCAATGTAGCGTACTGAATAATGCATTTCACACTGCAATATGAAAACGGATAACTATGTGGTTTGTGAAGGCATAATCCATTTTAGTATGTTGTGGAGCACCGTGTGTTTTGTAACTAATTTATTTATTACCAATATGATGGTAGTAACTAGAACCAATATAATAATGAACGTATGACTTAGGTATGTCTATTGCCCTTTTTCACCATCAATCCCTAATTTTTAAGAGACCCCTATAGTAACAAATTGTATGCATTTTGATTTCATAGGAGTCACTTAAAAATTAGGGATTGATGGTGTAAACGGGCATATGTATACCTAACTAGATCAATGATCAACGCATTTCATACCCTATCGATCCAAATATAAAATATTTACAGCCACTATTTTTATACGCGTTGACGTTATTGTAGGAGCCATGCAATAATATCTAGGTTAAGTCGAGTCAAATGTGCTTACAGATCGCGCACGAGCCTATTTCACTACGTATTTATAGTATAGGCCAGTGCTTTTGTCAGCTAAATCATTTGTCTTGATTATGGGGGTGTAGTCTCAACCCTATACATGTCGCTGTCTTATCTTATCTCATCATAATTATGTACCCATACACTTTCAAACGCAACAGCGATGGATATTTAGTAGATTATATTCTAATATATTCCTAGTTTGTAGCGTGGAACTATATTTACTTAAACAGCTTCATTCTTTGTATTATAGTTTGAAATAAGTAGGTATGATTAGGGACATGAAGACTGAATAAAGTAGAACCCGCTGGTTATTAAGTAAGATAGGCCAGACGTATCAAATTAGATTTTTAAGTAAAAATATCTATTTCATAAAATTAAATGTGCTAGGTAGTGTAAGGGAAAGTTTAGCAAAAACATAAAATGTGAACGAAACTGGATTTTATTCGGCGGTGATTACTTAGCGCGAGCTTAGAGTGGGGCTGGAAGAGTGAAAATGGTTTCCAGGCATATTTTGCGTACATAAAGGCATACATACTCGTACGAGTATCATGTACGAGTAGGTATGGATGCTAGAAAGTGCTGCGTGAGTACTCAGCGTCAAAATATTAACGCAGTAACTTCATATGTGCGTCAAGTTCAGTGGACAATGTGCTATACATAGTGTTTTCATCCTAATGTATAGTAAAATGACTAATTACGACATAAAGTCACACTGTTATGGCATGAATCCCCTTACATATTCCGCTCTGCACTACTGTGTCGTGAAAAGCGCATTATATCCTCCTGAAAACAAACAGCGCACGCGATATCTCTTGTCCATGTAGATACATATGACAGCACATCAAGCTAAATACTGCGGAATCTTATGTAGTTGGAAAAAGTGCTGTTTTACAACAAAAAATTACAATCTGACATGCCGTCAGCGACGGTACGCTGTAATACACTGCGTGATTGATTTTGCCCGCCTACGCCGAGTATCACGCTCTGCTCTAAGCACCGTGTGGCATAACGTATGTTTAGGATAATAATGTATCCGGAGATGTAGAGATGCTGGCTTCAAAATATACAGTTAAAGTACCTGCACATCAATAAGAGTCAATTTAAATTATTTTATTTAAAGTTAGAAGGTAGAAACATTAGTATAAATTAAAAGAGACAATCAATTAAGTGAACACGTATTTCTTGGAAATATAATTTACCTATTACTGGATTAAATTGATAACTTCTTATTGCCGAGTCTTACGGATAATGAATTTATTTTAAATGTAAAACTGTAGGTAATTGGGTAATGTAATTACTTTGAGTAATTACTAAAGATATTTATTTCATTAAATAAGTATTCGTTACCTAAGAAAGAACCCAGATAAAGCTTTAAGAGCTTGATAATTAAATTAGATCTAACAATTCAATTAAGCACGACTATCTTTCATTGATGTCTTTATTTCCTAACACATTAAAGACTGCAAAAAAGGGGAACGGAAAATGGATTGGAAACGAAGGGTATTTGCGAAAAGGATTATTGGATTATTTGTTCATCAGATTAACAAAATGTGCTATAGTAAGAAATATACTCACTGTGTATTTTAATTTATATGTACGTAGTATGTACTTGGATTTTAAGCCTTGTATTTCAGCCTGTGTAAAATTCTACGAAGATAATAAGATTGATAAAACTTCTGAAGAAGTTAATTCAAGTCCCTATCGCAAAGTGCAGCCACAAGCCTTAAAATAAAAGTTCACTGGTTTATTTAACGTGTATTTCGTTTTGCAAAAGAATTGAGGATCTCAGTGAAAAACAAAGAGGAAACAAATCCTTTGTTGTACGCTATGTGCTATATTATCTCGAGTATCTGATCAGCTACGTTGAATTCAATATTCAGATAAAAAATCTGCAGCGCTAATAAAGTGTTCTAGTAAAAGGAAAAAATCAGGGTCATTTCGAAGGACCTTTCCATATATTTTTAACTATCGATAAATCTAAAACTGATAAAAAGTTTGCACAGGAGTTTTGTGACGTAATTTATACAAATTTCTGTGATATTACTGTTAGAACAAAGTTGTAAGACGCGTTATGTTATGGGAATAAGTAAGTCACCACAACTGCCATTTTGCTGTTGCTTGCCGCAAAGTTGATGCCACAGTCATAAATTATTCAGCCTAGTATTCCGTGCAAAGGGATTTGTCAAGTCAATGTTACACGCCAATTAGGTACTAAAAAAATAATAAAAAATAGAAAAAATATTCATTTTTTAATTTCCCAGCTGGCCTGTAAATCTTGGATATGCTCATTATTTTTTGGCCCTACCAGCTTCGAGACAAACATTTGGCAAGTGCTGAGAAAAAGCGCTAAAGCAAACTCAGTCACCACGGTCCGCTGATAGAAAGTGGCCTTATGACCCTCATCTGCCACAAGACTGTGGCAGTTTTAATTGTTTAAATAGTGCTAAGTATGATGTCTATGAGTGTGTTCCGTTATGCGTTAGGGGGCGTCCATAAATTACGTGAGACTTTTAAGGGGGGGAGGGGGTCAACGAAAACCTCACTAAATCTCACGTGGGGGAGAGGGGGGGTCTCGGAAAATATCACGTAATTTTTCCCGCAAGAAATAGAGTAAAATTGCCAGAAAACTGGGTTATTGAAGTAAAAAAAAATGATTTTTTTTATGATAATAATGACAATTTATTCCAAAACGTCTAATCAAATTAAACTAAAAATGCCTCCATCTGCATTTGTGAACACTAAAGATGCAGAATAAATGTCGAAATTAAGAAAATTCGAAATAAAAAAAAAACGTCATCGGCATCGCTACTGCGTAAAAAATTGGCCAAGTGCGTGTCGTCAAGTGTCGTGCCACGTGCAGTGTAGGGTCCCGTAGTTGTCTGTCGTTACCACAATATATTTCAGAAGCAAGCAATTACTTCATCTAAAGTCACTTTTAATATTTTCTTCTAAAGAATTTTTACTGGTTAAGAAATTGTATAATACATGAGTCAAATGACTATTACTCTTAAACTAAGGTAATGTATCTTAACCGTTGTTTTCCTTAAAAAAATCATTCCGACTTTACATGCAGGGGAGCTACCCCAGATTTTTTCTTTTTTTTTTCAAAATTTTATTTTCCGTTTTGTCGGCGTGATTAATAGGTATACCTTCCAAATACCTTCACAAAATTACAGCTCCCCAGTGCCAATAGTTTCCAAGCGAAACCTCGTACAGACAGACAGACATCAAAACTATGTATAAAGGTTCCTTGTCAGGACTACGGAACCCTAAAAAATGACATTACAAACGTATGAAAATATTGTGTATTCGGAGTTAAAGTAACCAATAGTCAAATTTGACAGATGACAAATGACAAGTGGTTAAATAACAGAAAAAAATGATTTTATAACAATGTTTAACTTGACTTTTAATACATTTTTTAATTATTATTTACATTTTATTAATATTTAACCATTAGTAGCAAAATTTAACAATTCGTTATTTTAACTATGAATCAAAATGCTGGCTAGGTTGAAGCAATTGCTTGTCTTACTAAACGACGGGAAGCTAAGGAACCCTGCACTGCGCGTGGCACGACACTGGGTTACTGATTTTTTCATATACATCTAATAGACTCGAAGCATAGATATTGCAAAATAGGCATTTTTATTGGCTTAAATATCACGTGAGATTAGGGGGGTGGGGGAGGGGGTCAGGCAAAATCTCACCAAATCTNTAATAGACTCGAAGCATAGATATTGCAAAATAGGCATTTTTATTGGCTTAAATATCACGTGAGATTAGGGGGGTGGGGGAGGGGGTCAGGCAAAATCTCACCAAATCTCACCAAGGGGGGCGGGGGGGTTGAAAAATGGCCAAAATTGTCTCACGTAATTTATGGACGCCCCCTTATGTCCAGCTAGCACAGTTGACACTGCTCCACACTCATTAGCGACAGCACTGAGCGTGAGTGCTCCAAGTTTTTTCGCGGAGGAACTGCTTTGCGCACCGTCACCACTGCCGGGGGACAGGGTGGTCTGTGGGACTCCTGGGGCCCTGAAAAGGGCGCTGCTCCGTCCTGAAAAAGACGGGGTATACGGTATACCCACTAAAACCTCCGAGGCGTTCCGTCATCGCCTAAGTGAGGGTGTCGCGAGTATCTGGCCGTAGCCTTAGAATTCCGCGAGATTAAGTTATTGTTACTTAAAGATAATTATTATATTGAAAACTTGGAAGCCTTCGTCATACCTCCCATCTTGTTGGAGTAGCCGCCCATCTTGCCGGCGACGCGGGCCGACGCGCCGCCCGCCACCACCAGCACCACGGCGCCAGTGCGCAGGTACCTCACGCGGCCTGAGCAAATAAAATAATAATTAGCAAGTAGGTAGAAAGACATCCATGGAGCTCCGGAAGTGTGTAAAGCCGCTGTGAGGGCTCAAGAGAGAACCAAACTTTATTTCAATTACTAGTAGACCCACTGAATGGGACTCTAGAGCAGTGGGTTTACGGAGGAAAAAACCCGTGGACCCACCGATTAAAACTAAAGCACTTATTTCTTTCGGATCTTCACCAAACTAATCTTTTGTTGCGAAAAGTTTATGAATAGAACAACCTAGCTTAGCTTACTAACTCCATCTTTTTGACCAGCACAAAACTACATTCTGGTGTATATCGATCATCACAAACACGCTTTTGGCCTTTACCAAAATTATACAATGCTATAGATTATAGAATATAATCTTCGGCCATTCCGTTCCAACTGCTGCCATCAATTTATACTCTATACTAATATTATAAAGCTGAAGTTGTGGACCATGACGCTCAACCACCATAAACAAGCTATGGTGTTAGTGCATCTAATTTTCACTATCTTGGTTTGTCTATATATACTGGGCAGGGTAAAAAACTTCGTCACCGCGATGCAGGATTGTATGCGCGGTGGAGTTTGCCATAGTAAGATCGTAACAGCGCCATCTGTTGGTACGGTTTGTAGTGGCGCAATTTATTAATCACAGTTTGTTTATTTGGTTGAACGCGCTAATCTCAGGAACTACTGGACCAATTTGAAAAATTCTTTTTGTGTTGGATAGTCCGTTAATCCCTGAAGGCTTTAGGCTATATATCATCACGCTAAGACCACTAGGAGCGGAGCACCAATGAAGAATGTTTCAAATCAGTGATTTTTTTTCCTTTTGAGAGCTGACGCTGCGTAAACGGTTAAAGTTTCGCATAAATTATGTATGATAGGATTTTCCCCTTTAAAAGTTCTACAAAAAAGTCCGCGACAGCATATGTCTATCTTTTATGGTTGGCTCACTGTAACCTTTTTGTCTGGATGTCTGGATGTTTGTTCCTCTTTCACGCAAAAACTAATAAACGGATTTTGTTGAAACTTTACAGTATTATTATTTATAACCCAGGCTAACATATAGGCTACAATTTATGACGATATGTGACAAACTAAATTTCAATAAATAGTTAAGAGGTGAGAAATATCTTTAAAAACGCCATCTATCGACGTGCTTTTGACGGTCGTAAACATTCATGAGAGCGAAGCCGTGAAACGTATCATTAGTCCTAATTAGGAACTAAATATTACATTTATAGAACTGTTCATAATATTTAAAATTTAGTCATTATAGATATTTTATGTAATTGAATAATTCACTGTGTTTAAACGAGCAAATCAAAGTCTAAATTAGTGACCGCCATCTATCGACGTGCTTTTGACGGTCGTTAACATTCATGAGAGCGAAGCCGTGAAAAGTATCATTAAAATTTTATGTAATTGAATCATTCACTGTGTTTAAACGATCAAATAGTATTCAAACATTTAGATAATAACGTTAAAAACCATTTAAAAATCCTATGAGAACTTTTTCGACTTCTACACGGACGAAGTCGCGGGCAAAAGCTATTTGTAAAATCATCATCATCATCATCATCATTTCAGCCATAGGACGTCCACTGCTGAACATAGGCCTTTGTAAAATAATTAGACTAAATTATTAAAAGTGCCTACCCAAAGTCATTAGTCCACGCGGACGAAGTCGCGGGCACAGCTAGTTTTGCATATACCGTGCAATTTTGCATAGGTATCCGTCGCCCAATCTTGATGGAAGGTGTCTGTCTATGCTGCATTTGCCAAATTGTTCAGTCTAAAATACGACCATTCCTTCCGTTTGTGGTATTTAAAATATTGCCGGAGCATTTGAAATTTAAATTGTAAACGATATTGCACTCTATAGCTACAAGGCCGCTGCAGTTGCAGAGTCGTTTGCGAATTGGAATACTAATGCTTCAAAAAAACGCTTTACTTAATTAATTTTAGAGGTGAGCCGATAGTTTCGAAATTAATGCTTACATATGATAGGTACTAGTTATTATTATATTTTTTACATGTTATATGTAGAAAGTCACTCATCGTTGCATTCCCAATTGGTTAGTTTTTGACACCACTCTTGTAGTAGGTATCCTTTTGTAAATACAAAACACGTCTCTCTCATAGATTTTGTATGACAAAGGACTCGTCACGTCATTGATTGAGTCCGCGTTGAAAATAGGGTTTTGTAGCAAGTGAAAACCTACTCTGTTTTTGGAATAGGTAAAATGTTTTATTGGAAGTTGTATCTTAAAACGATGTCAACTATCCGCTTCTAGTTTGTAGAGGCTATAATTTCATTTATTCTAAAATAACGTATTTATTCTAATGTAAACGTACCCACTATAACCGCCATCGTTGTTTCTGCGACTGCCTCGGAATATATCAGAAGTGACAATCTCCTCGGGTTACATCTCCCGACTTTATCTCGCCTCCATTTCGTCTGCACCTAGAACAAAGGACATTAAATATTTATAAAAGTCTTATTCTGTTTTAAAACACGGAATTTGAAGTGATCATAAAATATTCAGAGAGATATTTTTCATTTATTCACCAAGACGAAGCATTGCTACGATATTACTCAAAACTGACTGATTTTATAATACCTAAACAAATAAAATTGTTCTACTAAACTTCATACCAACTATTTTACTCCAAATCAGGCAAAACTTCTAATAGTCCAGTCAATAAATGCCTTAACGACGTTGTAGAGAGAAATCCGTGGAACACAATTTCTGACCTCGGGACTTTATTTAGCCTAGTTAGGTGGTGAACATAGCAAAGTCCCCGCCCTTAGCCCTTGAGCCGGCGGGGAGAGGGGGGTTTAAAGGTACCACTTTTCGGTTTTTCGCTTAATCCTCGGAAACTATGCGTCCTAGTGACATGACTACTATGAACCAAAAAAAGCTTATTCAATTTGCTACAGGTGAGACCGTCAAGTTTTTCTATATCTTTTATAGTTTTTGCGGCATCTGCTCTAGAAGGTCTGTAAAATTGGAAATTTAATTGTTGTCTTACATGTTTCTTTCAGGAGAAAATCGACTAAATCAACATTGAGAAAACACTATAGACATGCGGGAGCATGTTAAGCCTAGTTCCATGGAGGGGACTGCACCGTGCGTATATTTAGACGAACCAATTAGAGCCACTTTTGACTCCTCATCATTCAAAAACTACTGTGCATTAACACTTCAAATTTGGCCCATGTATTGAGATTTGCAAGATATACATCAGCTTCAAATTTCATAAATATACCTCAAACGGTTATTTAGGTATTGACGTTCAAAAATCGATATTTAGAGCACTAAAATCTATCTATCACATGTGAAATGTTAAAATTTACTGGTTTTTTATTTGTTCCTTTGTATTTACATAACTACCTTTCTGGATGCCAAATTTGAACCTTCGAGGTCATCTGGAAGAGGTTAGAATTTGGTTTATAGGTCAGACATGTAGATTTTTGGACGTCAATATCTAAAGAACCGTTTGAGGCATATTAATAAAATTTGAAACTGATGTATATCTTGCAAGTCTCAACACAAGAGCCAAATTTGAAGTGTTAATGCACAGTAGATTTTGAGTGATGAGGAGTCAAAAGTGGCTCAAAGTGATTCGTCTAAATATACGCACGGTGTAGTCCCCTCGCAGGAACTAGGCTGAACATGCTCCCGCATGTCTAGAATGATTGCTCAATGTTGATTTAGTCGATTTTCTCCTGATAGGAACATGTAAGACAAAAATAAAATTTCCAATATTACAGACCTTCTAGAGCAGATGCCGCGAAAACTATACAATTTATAGAAAAACTTGTCTATCTCACCTGTAGCAAATTGAATATGCTTTTTTTGGTTCAAAGTAGTCATGTCACTAGGACGCATAGTTTCCAAAGATTAAGCGAAAAACCGAAAAGTGGCACCTTTAAACCCCCCTCTCCCCGCCGGCTCAAGAGCTAAGGGCGGGGACTTTTGCTATGTTCACCTCCTAACTAGCCTAAATAAAGTCCTGAAGTCAGAAATTGTGTTCTACAGTTTTCCATCTATAATGCTTTATTGACTGGACTATAATGATTCCGAGTAAAATGCTCATCACTTTGTCTAATGTCTTTGGTCACTCACGTTACTCACTACTGCTGTCTTTGGCCTATGAAAAGTAGACCTACATTACATAAAGTATGCTCAGTGTATTTAGATATCTACATTTAAGCTGTATTAATCACAAGCGTACAACAAAGGGTGAATCAAAACAATAGAGAGAATACTCTGTTTCTGTAATGCAATAGGAGCGCTAGTTAACGAGCTTGTCATGGGCCTTAATAACGTCACAGTCGATACTGACATTGATACAGTCCTATAAAGACGTCGTGTGATTGCTGAAAAGGTAATACAATATCAGGAATGTAGAGTTTTGACAATTACATATAACATGAGTTCATGATGTGGCTCTTGTAAGGTGGATATTAAGAAATATATCGATGTAAGATGAAAATAAGTTATAAGTTTATAAATAAATGATTTACTTTTCGTTACCTCTAAATTAGGGAAAGGTTATCGATATTTACATACAGCATTTTCACTGGATTTCGGATTGTCCTTTATAAAGGTGACCTTTGATATTATTTTGTGTACGAATCTCGCTGTAAGTCCATTCCACTGGTCACTATAATTAAATGTTAGGCCTATTGTAGGGCATGCCGTTACACCCATTACTCATGTCATCATTACACGTGACACACCACTCTACCAATTAATACTTGTATGTAAATGAAAACGTTTTCCAATTGTGATGGTTAGAGTAAATTGAATATGATCACAATTAATGAATGCTGTTGGCATTAAATAGCCGTGTCATTTTATGTTACTGGTGTTTTATTAGCTTATTGTTGATTGAACTCTATGGTTCCAAGAAATAAAGTTACAAAATCACTACAATCAGCACTCGAAATTGTCGCTAAAATAAATAGCTTTTTGTGAGCATTATTGTATTAAAGTTCGGCAATTAGGAAGTTGAGCATGCCGGAGATGAATAATAGCTTAGGGAGGCTGTGTTTGGTCTTGGAAGAGTGATAAACGTTCTTTGTTGTTCACTTTTCAGCAAAGCAACGAGAACCTGTCGCGATATCTTTAATAATAATCGTCAAGAACCATCTTTTTTTAACTCGTCATTTAATTTGTCCTTTTATCAAACTTTTTTTAGGTTCTAAATACCTATTAATGTTAATCTTGAAACTTTAATTTTAGATGTAAAATTAGGTAACATCATCCAAAACTATATTTGCCGTCGATTATTACATAAGATTAATTGTCTGAAATAATAATCGAGATTAGTTTCTATAAAGATTTTAAAAATATTTCTATGTGAGTAATATGTATAAGCCGCCACCGTGAAACATATTTTAAAAACTTTCGCGTGCGCTAAAACCCGAAATTTCACAAAGTAAACTACCTACTTAATATAAATGCAACATAAAAGTTAAGCATTAAGTAAACTTTTTACGCCGTTTTTAAGCTGGTCAGTTTATGCACGTAATCATGGATATCGTTCGTGGAAGCTTACATTGTGTAAATCGTGCAAGTTACGAGCGTACGAATAAATATGAGATCGTAATAATAAAAGTTTGAATGTAACTTTGTAAGTGAAGCAATCAGTTTTTCCGGGGTTTGTATAGAAATTGCCAGAGAAATATTCTTGAGGTTCGAAATTTTAGCAGCTGAATTGAAGTCAAAGTTTCTGTATACCCATTGTGTTAGCTTAAAATAACTCAATTAAGTTTAATGTTAAATTTTAAGCATTGAAATAGCGCGTTCACTCTGGGATAGAAGATAGGCCGAGCACGCAAATCTAATTTCATCTTCGGGAAGTACCGGATGGTAATCTTGTTGACTGAGTTCACTATCCCCCCTCGCGGTAATCATGCTTGTAGTAAGTAAACTTCGCTGTTAAAGACAACGCCCGGAGGAGCACCGCCTTTACATAACAACACACTAGTAAGTCCCGGTTTCCACCAAAGCGGAGCGGAGCGGAGAAGTGTTTTGAATAAACAATCAGATTTCATTATTTCCACATCTCTTCTCCGCTCCGCATAGCTCCTCTCCGCGCTGCCGCCGCTGTCAAATTCTAAAGAAAAATTTTACAGCCCGACATCTTCGCTTCGCCTTGGTGGAAACGGGGCCTTAAAGTACAAGGCGTTTCATTTAACCGTAACCCTTACACGAAACTCATTTACCTTCATCTATTAGGGTTCGGTAGGATGGGAAAGCGGAACCTTTCTAATTTAATTTTCGGTGGGTCCGAAAGGCTTCCTATTAGATAAAATGCAAAGGTATGCTTCTATAGCCTTTTCCGGCGTGTCTATCTATTTTACACCTGAATGAAACCATTTCAATGAAGTGTTTGTCACTATAATGAAGTATACACATAAACATGACTCGTCGATTTATGACATGTTCTCAAAACTCATGGATAATTCCAAGTCGTCGACACATTTGGCGGCCTTGGTCTGTAGAGTCCTTAACGGCAATGATTCTCTTTTTATTAATACTATCTTAATCCTAAAACTTAATTGTAATTGATTTGAAAAGTAGAGTTGGAAGTGAGTAAGTCGGAATTAGGTATTTTTTTATACTTCAACTGTTCAAGTAACATATTTCGAGGAAGTACCCAAAGGTACCGTTTTTCCGGAACCTTTTTTATGCTCAAAATGCGCTCGCTCTGTTTTGCTTTTCCTCATTTGTGGCGAATATTTCAAATCTTGTCACGTTTCGTAATCTAAACGTTCTGCATTAAATGAGGTAGGTAGGTACAAATTGAATTGATAATAGCAATCGCGATCGACATAATTATTATAGTCTGTGTCAATGTAATTTGGAAATCTTTTAAATAAGACAATTATATAATAATAATAATAGAGGGCTTTTTATTGTCAATGTAACTCGGCATTATTGTGTACAAGGAATCAAATTTATATTCCAGGATTATAAAATACAATCTGCAAGGAGATTTAATTAGTTACCATCACAGTTAATTTTATAGCTGGCCCAAAAAATTTAATTTTTAAGCGCCAGGCGAGAATTTGTGGAAAACATTTATTAACATCAAGGTTTCGTGGGATACTCGGGAAGAGGAACAACGCTCCCGGTAGAACCATTAACACGAACCGGGGTTGCCAATAAAAATAAGAATAACGCTTCTTTTTGTCGCAAGAAAGTGGCAATCCTGGAAAATATGGGCAGGCAACGTAATTTCGTAGCACATCTACGGGTAATAGAGTTTTGAAGGAAGATATAATAATAATTAAGTACCTACTGAATGGAGATGTGTGATAGAGACAGCTTAGGAAGTGATTTATTAAAATGTAAAGATATCGAGCAATCATTATTGGATTTATCAGACTATGGAAGTATATATGAGCTAATTGTGCCTTAGGAAATGTAGTAACAAGATGCTTACTCGAAGAAAATAAGGTTCACTTGCATTGTGAAGAGTTTAAAAGATGATTATGAAAGTTGTTCTCCGTAAACTCGCAAAAAAGAAAGTTCATATTGGAAGAAATATGTTACATTTCACGCCCCAACCCTTACATAAATTAAACTTATCTGTAAAGTTTCCGCACACAAACGTTTGGGCTATTTATTTGTGCAGAAGATAACTGTAAAATATTTCTGCCCTAATTTGTACGGAAGATTGCACCCGAGTTAACTTTTTGCCGAGATTTATAACGATGATTCGCATCATATGGGTAGGTTTTCTAGAAATTAGAAAACATAGATCTACATAGGTAATGATATTTCTAGTTTATTAAACCACTTGATATTAAATTACTTCCATGTCTAGTAAGTGAATTAACTTTTTTTTTTTATGCAGAACAAAGCGTGTGCGCCTGATGCTTAGACATAGCTTCGCCCCATTAGACACGTAATTTTAAAATTGTGACCAGTGTTGCTGGATTCATGATAAACACTATCAATAAAACTAGCTTTTAAGAATACATATTGTGAATCTGTAGTACAAATTAATAAATTAAAAAAGCAAGTATTTGACTGCAATCACACCTCATGTGAGATGCAGTCTAGGATGGTACATATATACCTGTCCTGTAAGTGCCTATTCACTCTCGTCTTGAAGAGCATTTATATTAGCATTCTACGCGAAGGGCTTTAATTCTCTTCTGCCACGCAATATAATCCGTCTTGCCAGCTTAAAAAGGTAGAATGGTTGTTCTAAATTATAGCCTCGGGTCCGAGTTAAGCAAATTTTAAAGCAGACATAAACGTTACGTTACGTTTTCACGCTTAAACTGGTGAATAAATTGTGAAAAATTTTGATTTATGGGACCATGGAGAAGGATTATGACTAAGGCCCAGAACAGACGGTGAAACGCAACTGCAACGAAACTGCAACGAAACTGCAACTTTCTGATGATTCTGATGAATGAAACTGAAAGTTTCAAACTGGTCGCGTCATGTGTGGTCTCTCAACGGACGCTATGGCAGAAACTTAGATGCAACTATCTGAAGATTCTGATGAATGAAACTGAAACTGAAAGTTTCAAACTGGTCGCGTCATGTGTGGTCTCTCAACGGACGCTATGGCAGAAACTTAGATGCAACTCAAAAGTAACCAGTTTCGTTGCAGTTGCGTTTCACCGTCTGTTCTGGGCCTTAGGGATGAAATTAGAGATGAAGTTTGTAAGAGCGATAATATAACTCATTGCCTTTAGATATAGATAAAGGTTTTTGAAACAGGATACGCGTGCGTGGAAATAAAATTACGCAGGCAGCAGCTAGTTAGTTGACAAGCTAATTTTGAACTCTATAAAATAGTTATAAAGTACATCTATGCTAACCACGGCCGCCTTTGACGGTGGGTAGAGTCTCAAGTTTCAAAAACATCGACACTCAGACCCTTCGCATAGTTTCCTAAGCTATATCATCTTGTGAGTCCCTTGAGACTACGACTTAGTCCCGTCGCGTGGTCAAATGGAGAAAGCTTCTTCGGCCGTCTTTTTGTAACAGTCAACTGAGCTTGCGACGTCACTATTGATATCGATAGAGCCGATAGGGGTAATACCTCCTGTGGGTATACCCTTAGTGGTAGGTATCAAAGGCGAAGTCTTAGCGTGTAAAAAAGTAGCTGAAGAATCAGTACATTTGAAAGCATTACAATTACGTATGCTTAGAAATAATAACATCATGGGAAACGCGCTGCATAAATGCATAATTATCTTAAATAGATAAGCAAGGCAGTGCAACCCTACTACTAACTTAGATTTTAATTCTGATATCATAAGTGCAGGTAATTGCAGCAAGAACCAATGTGCGAGTATTAAGTGAAGCCAGTGCATTATTATGTAAATATCTTTATCTTTCCAATTATGCTGTGTTCAGGGAATTCCTGAACTGCACGCTTATCTTTGAATTTCAACGAGCAAGGTAGCGTCATGTGGAACTGTATAACATAATGGAAATGTTTGCTTGATGTAGGAACACGGCAAATTCCTCGCATTTGCCATTTAGAATACTGTTGAATAAATTGAATTGCATTTAAGTTATGTGCTTACTCGTATAACATACTCGTAAATAGAGGGTTTACCGATAATGTGAAGTATTTTTTATTTGCAACGATTGTTTTTGATATTATAAAATCAATTATTATGTTTATAATAGGCATAACATAACAGTCACTACGGACATAAATAATGTCAATAAACATCTTCATCATCATCATTATCATCTCAGCCATAGGACTAGAATAAACATCTTACTTTTGTTAAAAGATGTTTGTGAGATCAGATAGAGTACAAAAACATTGTTCAGTATTTGAGATTCTGCCGAACTAGGTACAATACCCATAAATCTTGTCTTCGAAAAAGCAGTAAATTACGATTATCTTGAAAGGGGCTGAGTTCAGCCATACATAAAGTGCTAAAATGTTGCGTTTAGCCCTCTTTCACTTCCTGTATAAATGTATAAATTAATTATAGGTCGAGTAACCACGCTTTTGAATTTCAATTAGAAACCTGATTCATCAAATTTTCGTGAATGGCATTGTTGTAAGAAAACAACATTTCAAAAGCTTTAATTACCAGCGAGACGTGGAAAATTAAGCCTTTAAATATTTCTTATTAATTTATAAGGGTGTCAGGAAAACGGTGTTCTTTCATGAGTGTAATTAATCATACTGCCTTAAGAAAAGTAAACATGTTCTGCCTCCCTTAGCCATATGTAATTAAGTTCACATGTTATTTTACCCAAAATCTAATTTAAATAATGTAGAAGAATGAACGGGTTAATTCTTTCCAATGCTGGTACTAGCTGTTTTTTCAAGTGCTAGTATATTTTTGTTTTAGATGTTTTAGCAATTGGGAAATTTTAATTTGTACTTATAAATATTTAATTGAAAATGTTGCCTTTACCCCGAGGATCTGATTTAATTAGTTCGTTACGATTTCCTTAATGCAGATTTATGTTAAAATATTCTTAATGGGACAATATTATTTGATCCTCTAAAAACTAATTGATCTTTTTTGTATGTGCACTTTTAAAAATAAATGATGTTTTTTATTATATTTTATCTTTATATTAATTATTGGGTCTATATTAGTTGATCTACGGATAAATTATGAATGATCTTCATTAAAGGTAACATAATATTCATGTTTAATATACTCTTTTAATATTTGGTAAACAAAAATAATATTTGATCCTCTTTTTTAGTTATTGATCTTTAATTTTGTTAATTTGATGATTTTTATATCAAGTTTGCCTTTTAATATTGATCACCTAATAAATACATTTCGATCTATGTATAACTTAACTTTAAAATATATTTGATCTAACAAAAAATATTATTGGTTAATATTTTTAATTAAAAAATATCTTTTAATTTACGCGGTACTTTGTGGTTGAGTGACAATCGTCCGTCATTGGTTACTGAGTTGGCCAAGGGCTTAGCGGCCAATAAGCAAGCAGAATGGTACATTGCCATGTTTGTTTAAATTACAAGCTTTGCTTAGTTTGGGACTAGAGGCGCTATGTAAAATAATTTCTTACTTCTGACATCCCTGAACCCGACATCATAATTTTTACCTCTTTATTTTTTTCAAATCGCAAGGTTGATTTTCTCTTAGTATACCGATCTCGACCGTGATCAGTGACCATAAAGTCATCTGTCAACGGGTCGATTAGACACGATAAAAGCACTAAACGATATTTGTTTACTTTTAGTGCGACATCGGGTCGTATGGACCTGATAAGTTTTTTTTTTCAAATATTTACTGTGTTTGACGAAACAATTGCAAAACAATATTTATATTTCGTACTACTGAAAAGACCGAATATATCATCCCGCACCAACGCATCCAGCACCTAAGGTCAATTCGACCCGATAACGCAGTGTGAACGTGTTAAGTATGCTTTTTTAATAAAAAAAATCTTTAAACATCAAGTGCCTTTAAATAGTTTCCATCCTTTGACTACAACTTAATAAAAATAAGTACCATAACATAATTATTTTGAAGATTATTTGATATAGACAAAAAATAATTTATACAAATCGAATTATTTAAAAAAGTATCACAATATTGAATATTTGGTGCTCATTTCTTTTATTTTTGAGGACCAACAAGTAACGATCAGATATAATTTTTACATCTCAAATTTTTTTGCGTAGTTCAAAAGAGGTTAAAATATCGATCGATTTCATTTATTTTATGTCTCAAAGAAAGAGGATCAATCATTAAAATAGATGACCATTTAGATTTTTTTATTTGCCGTTTTTGCTAATTTAAAAAGATCATTTAAATACATGCCATTCTTAATTAAGCTTATAAATAACAGCGTACGCATTACCCTGAAAGAATCAACACGTTAATCCTCCAGGTGGGTCCCACTGTACCGGCCGCGTGCGACCTCAGTCCGGGCCTGGCTCGACGTATCACTTCACATGCTACGCAGAGCCATCAGCCGGAGCGTTCCGATTTACTCCCATTGTCCGGTTTTTCCGAGAAGTTGGCGATGTGTTCGCGAAGGGACGACACGGTCCGACCGGGACGCGCGCCGGGAACGTACTGACGGCGGCCGACTCCCGGGATCCCGCCGCGCCCGGAGCCTCGCCTGCTCCGTCGGGATGTTTCCATGTTTTTGAACCCCCAACTTTTATTCTGTACGATACGCACAAAGCTTCGTGACGTGATAAAGCGGAATTTAAACATTTCAACGCGGAAGTAAGTCGTAACGGAAAGGGTTGATTTTGGGGAGTTAAGAAAGTTGTTTAGCTGAAGATGGCATTTGCATCGACTAATTAGCTGGGTTTTTGGTTTGACTTACTGAAATACTGGCAGGATTAAGAAAATTAAATCATAATGCAAAGATTTACTTCGTTTAGTCCATGCATAGATTACGAGTATATGGTATAACTAAAGACTAAAGGGGATTTAGGAAATTAATGTAGGTAAATTAGGGAATTACTTACATTTTAATACAGTATTTTTATGCAGTTCCGTACTTATTGTGGTCGATACGTAGTAATTCTATCTAGTATCTAGCTAATAAAATTCTGTAGACTAAAGTAACACCTACTTATATTACTTTCAAATTCAGTAGCAGTCAATACTGCTGCAAGGAAAGTTTCGACGAACTTTTTAATTATTAGAACTGACTGCGTAATGCAGTGTGCACTCTTGAGATTTCTCGAGGTGTTATTAAAATTTTACTAGGTTGTATTTTACGTGCCTTCGTGTCTTGTGATGATGAATTCATGGTAATATCTGCATAATGAAAAAGATAAAATGTTGAACCTGGGGGGCTATTCAGTAGTAGGTACACAGGATGTAAAAATATTGAGCACTAATACTTCAGGGTGTGTAAAACATGTAAAGAATCGAACTGCAGAAGAATAGGTAATTTTGTCGAAAACGAGTTAGTTCAAAATTTATGAATGGCCAAAGTCAAAAGAATTATGAAAATAAAATATCAGAAAATCTCACCAATCTGTCAGTCTTGACAAGATTATGATCGGGATCTACTTCCCAAAATGATGTTGATTTATGGATTCTCTGCGTTTATATCATCCCCATTTTGTAATCTTTGTCAATAATTAAATAACTTAGAAATAAGATTGTGTGTATAAAAATTTTTCAGAGGCTGTGCCCAGCTAATATTATTACGTACAATAGTATAATAAACGTAGGAAGACTGCTCTTTATGACTTTTAAACCAATATAATGTTGAGTTAGTGGCTATTAACCTGCAGTTTGGCTATGTTCCCCGGTTGGCGCTGCATTACTGGCTTTCCCAATTAAAATCGGCAGGGAACCACTTTAAATGCTAATGTACTTATTGTTTGTGGTCCTAAAACCAGAATGCTTTTAAGCTCAACATAGGTTTTATAAATAACTAGCTGACCCGGCGAACTTTGTTCCGCCTTAATGGCAATAAATAACGGGAGTAAAATCCCATGTCCTTCTCCTGGCTCTAAACTACCTCCCTGACAATTTTCAGCTAAATCAGTTCAGCCGTTCTTGAGTTATAAGTGGAGTAACTAACACGACTTTCTTTTATATAATAGATAATTAATTTACATATGGTAAGAGGTAAAATATTAATTGGTACAAAACATAACCAGAGTGAAAACCTCTTTTGTGTAAAAGAAGTCATTTTCAGGCTTTTAATCCAAAACTGTTATTATTCTGTTAGATGGACCGAAATGCATAAGTAATTCCCGAGGTTTTCAGTCACTTTAAGGCGACGATATGCTATAAAATCTTATATGTTATTACTTAGATTAGTTTAAACTATGTTTGTAGTTTTCAGAGCAATTGCTTTAATTATGAAAATTCTATTTATTAAACGTTCCAGCTGAAGTTATCACACTTCCAGCTGAAGGTATCGAATCGATACCATGTTTATCCACCATGACAATATAGTATTTATCTTCTCAATGGCTCAGGTTTGTTCCAGTCAGTTTAATGTATGCTGCAGCGGTAGCCGTCATCAGTCTTCTTTATGAGCGTGTCTTTTAGTTCATCTACATTAATTAATATTCGCGGACAGGCACGTTCTGCTGTTTTCACCCTCTTTTCGTGATTTAATTATCATAAATAAATAACTCGTCTCTCAAAATCCTTTTAATTACAGCGTCATTCACTTAGCCTAATTAACGTATCGGGTGTATTCTGACAATAAACGTGATGATTTATCTTAGCCATAAAGTAATATTATTTGAAGGATACTTACTTATTACCATTAACCCTGCATAAAAGCCATTTGCATAGCTTTTCGACTGAAAGGATAATATTAAATGCTATGTGAGTATCGTTCTCCAGGGAATACAATAAATTCTGCCTGGTTTAAATTATGGCTATAATGTTTTTCATTATAATTATGGGGATCATAATAATGAGTTCTTTCTTTACGCTTGCTTATAAAAACTCAAAAACTAAGCTGTATTTGCAATTTGTGATTAATAAATATAAAACAGTTTTTCTTTCGAAAAGTCTAGATTAGATAGATTTTACTAATTTGCCTTTGTTAACTGTTTTCGTTTGGAAGACCGAAGACTATTGTGGACGAGAAACCAAGTTTCCGACGGTAGAGCACACGCGCTCTTTAGTAGATTATCTTACACGTCTATGTTATCCCAATCAGAGTAAATTAACTAAATTAAGGTACTTAGAGAAATTACACTTATGTATATCTCAATTATGGTGTAATTAGACTAAATATCTACCTACTTCTACAGGGATATACGCGATGCGATATCACGCCACGTTCAAGAGTTAATTTGCTTGTTTCATTACATAAAGCAAGTGATCATAAGTGCCAAATGGCAACCCATGTCACCCATTTAATCTGTGGGTTATTGCCTAATCCGTGGTATTCTGACAATAGAACCAATTGAAGAATTTCAGTCGATAAGCGCCTGTGACCTCTGAGGGAGACGACGATTGTCTCTACAATAGCTTTGTACTTTCATTAAGCCCTAAAAATTTACGACAGATCCCATAAACATCCATAAGGCTTAAAATAATACCAGCATTTACGTAAAATGACGGGTGAAGGTGACGCACCGAGAAATTTAGGGGTCCCAAGGGGATGTAGAGATCGCCAAAGTTATATTATTCTTAAGCGATGATCGCTTCATTAATAACTTTAAGGAATTTAAGATTATGGGTGCCAGGAGATCAATGCTTAGGTATGAGAAACGTTACGTTTTGTGTCCTTTGAGGATTGTAGGCAGAAAAATTCAAAATAATGTAAGATAACTTTATCAATCAAAGGTAAAACAAGAAAAGATATAGGTAGGTACTAGAGACGTTTATATTACTTATATTGTGTATGTTTATTCCTGAGGAACGATTTCTCGTCTCCCGTAATGAAAAATCCGCGTGAAGTCGCGTGCGAAATCCTGTAAATTAATAAAACGGCACACATTTTTCCGCTGACGTCACAACAACTACGTGAAATAGGAAACGTAATATTTCAGCCCGTCTAGAGTCGGGCCTGATAAACTCGGAAAGTGAATAATAAAAATCCAGACATGAACCTACGTCCGATAAATATATTCAGGGAGTCTTCAACATTTTATTGATTACCGCTCTTTCTTTTTCCTCTTTCTGTTTCGCATTTGAATAATTAATGACTTCATTTTGTGTTTATTTCAATATTACTGAAAGTATACTGTGGAATAATAATAATAATTAGGTACTTAGCCGTCTTATTATGAATTAATTAGGGGAGAGTTCGGTATATTGTACCGCCGGGTAAATTGTACCACCCTCATATTTCGTAAAGTATTTATTGAATGTCTGTAATTGCAACACTCAGCGATACACAACTAAAATCAATTAATATCGGCCATGTGGTTTTTGCCGTGACAACAAACACGTGTGTTTTATTTTGAAAAGTATTTTTTCATTGTTTTCAAGTAACTTTTGACAATACATGTTCAGATTGTAATTTTGTTAAATTTAATCACAGGGTGTTTCTAATATATTATTTAGAAGCGTAAATTAGTGTGGATTACAATTATTTGAAACATTTTTCGGTATTTATAAGCTATATTTTTTACCGATTTTTTAAAAGCACTATCACCTAGTCGGCTAAATTGTACCACATCAAATTGTATGGAACTTTACCAAAGGATTTTGAATTTTTTTTTAGTAAATCATATTTTGAAGTTATAATAGCGTAGTTATGTTTGACTAACAATAAATGAAAGCAGAAGACTGGCAAAGTAGATTAGGTACAAGTGTGCGTTACGATAATTGGAATTACAAAACTTGTACTCAAAATCGTGATAACGTGTAAAACAATATCGATTGTCTATGTTATTAACTACTGTTTCTCTTCGTTTCCTAATTTGTTAAGAATGTATCGTATAATATTTTGCCATAGTTTTTTTAAAGGCTTGAAATTTATTGAAATCCAATTTAGTAACCCTGTGGTACAAATTATCGAACCGGTTGGCCAAATTGGACCGAAGCTCTGATTTCGTACTTTGTTGATTTCTGCTAAATATACAACAATCATGTTAATTAATACTTATGAAATAGTAAGTTGAATAATGTATCTTTTATTATATACCATGGACATTAGCAAAAACAAAAGAAAACTATGTGTAAAATGGGATTGAAAAAAACTGGTCCAAATTAGCGGACTCTCCCTTACATTTCCGATTGCTGTTTAGGAAATGTATAAATTTCCTATGAAATGTGTCTAATATATAATTAATTAGTTACTTCTATTACGAAATAATTAATCAAAATGTATTTAGCTTTACTAAAAGGTATATGTAGGAAGTTATTTATTTAGGATGGAGCTCGGAAATTATGACGCGTAAAACAAACAGACATGTGGCATAATGAAATGGCGCATAAATAGATGGCGCATAGATAAATAGGAAGCGTGTCGCGAACAAATTGCGGCATGCTCTTGTTAAATCCGCAAGAGATCTGTCTACTATTCTTGCTTCATTAATTTTTTATCGGATAATCCTCCGTAAGGAACTCGGCGCCTGACCTGACCCCACTAAAACGGAATTAGCGGCAGCG